TTTGGGGGGGGGGGGCANCCAAAAAAAAAAAAAAAAAAAAAAAAACCAAAAAAAAAAAAAAAAAAAAAAAACGAGGGAGCGACATAGCAAAAGGCTGTGAGGTACCATGAGATCGGTGAGCTCCTGCTCCAGCTCTTGAGTGGCATGTGTCTGTTCGACCAGCTGCATTCGTCTCAAGGTCTACGCCAATGGTGCGAGAGGAAGTTGGGTACAGTAGAGAAAAGGCAGGTAGATGAGAGCGGACAAGCTTATCACGCGAGATTCAGGCCCGTTGGCGTCAAAGCCGAAGCTGGTCGAACCTTCATCTCAATGCTCAGGCTGGGGTCTAGGGGAGCGAGGGCGTGGCGCTGGAGATCGGCCAGGACCGCCTCGGCTTCGTGTTGAGTTTCCAAAATGTGGGTTTGGCTTTGTGCCATGCTATTGTCTAAAACGTCGCTGGCGTCTGGCGTGCCCGGGGACATACCGGCGGCAGGCGCCACCGAAACACGTTGCAGATGTGATGGGACAGTGGCCCGACTGGGTGCAGGGGTGGAAATTGGAGTTGGCGCTGAAGTTGATCCGGGCTGTCCTGTTTGGGGCGAGGCATGACCGGCAGTACCGGTAATGCCCGCAGATGCCCCTGCTTGGCGTGCACTCGTAGATCCTGTTTGGTTCACAGATGAAGGGGCGTGGGAGGGTTGTGCCTGGGGTTGAGGATCAAACCAGGTCGAACTATGATCTGCTGGGTTGGCTGGCCTGGTAGTAGCGTTGAGACTGGCACTGTTCTCCAAGGGGAGGAGAATCATGGGCCGCCCATCAGCCGTGTACAGGATCTGGCCACCAGGGGCTGGGCCATGACTGGAGGCAGCTGGGCCAGGTTGTTGCGTCCGCGGGTAAAATGTGGGATGCTGTTTGCGCTCAATCTGGTCACGAAGCTCATGGGTCAGCTCTTTGAATTCCTGTGGTCAGCACGGCGATACCCCGTCCAGCGCGAAGGGAACAGAAACCGGGCTGCGGCATGAGTCGAGCCCAAACATGGACACTGTTGACGGTTATGATCAAAGCCGAGGAGCGGGAAAAAACAACAACAAAGAAGATGAAGCACCTGCGTTCTCACCTCGAGCAAATGACGATTGCGCTCGCGACTGGCGGCGCGCCGCTGAGCTCCGGCGCCTTGATCCCGACTGGTGTTAATGCGGCCATGCGGTTGCCGGAGCCCGTATTGCTCGTGTCGCACACCAGCGGGCCTTTGCTTGCCGCGACGCTGGCTGCTCGCCATCACGGTACTTGAGTGACTCATCCTCTCATGAGTCCCAAGGCCCCCGCTGGGCCAAAAGCGCTGCCTTCAGCAGCGCTCATCAGCCAGCCCCGAGGTCGCAAAAACAGCGGCAACAACACACACACACTTGTGAAAAGGAGAAATTTTTGGTTTTTTTTTTTTTTGAAATTCAGGATGTTGATCAAAATTTTTTTCGGACCATTGATTTGCAACATATGTTGCCAACAACACCCAGTAATTCTGACATTTATTCTGACAAAATGAGAAAGAGAGAGAGAGAGAGTGTGTGTGTGTGTGTGTGTGTGTTGGGGTTTGTTGGCGCTTGGCAACAGCTCGCTTCGTGTTCAGATTCTTTCTTCGGTGAGAAGGAGAGAAGCCTGGCTCCGCACGCGCGCGCGACCTTCCGCCCGCCCTGCTGGCCCTTGCGCGCGGGGCTTGTGCTGCTCGAACTTTGCAGGGGCATCGTTTGCGCTGTAATGGGCTGATATCTCTGGCTTTCGTGGCGTTGGAGGCTTTCTCTCAGTGCTGTCGTCTTCCATTCATTGATGCTTCTGCTCCTGACGGGTGTGCTTGTTTCTCACTTGCTGGCATCTACCCAGGGTTCCTCTGGTGGCGGATCAATCGCAAACATGGATGCAGCCTATCTTCGCGAGACGGTCGGCGACATGCTGGTGAATGCCATTTCACAGTGTGTGCTGAAGCGGCCCACGGACCCGCTCACGTTTATCGCCGGATATCTTCACAAGCGCGCCGACGAGCAGGATGCCGTCCGAGCCCTTGAGGAGGCGCAGCGCCGAGAGGAGGAGGCGCAACGCCTCAAAGAGCTCAAGGCCCAGGAGGCAGCAACCCTGCGCGTTCTTGGTAAGCTCTTCTTCAGCTCTCGCGCACCAGCGCTTGCTGCGCTCGTTGGCGGGTGCTGATCCGATGCTTTGCTTGCTTGCTGGATCGCTTAGCCAAAGCCCACGGGGAGGACGTTGACGAGGTGGACTACTTGGGCGAGAGCGCCTATGCCAGCATGAGCTCAAAGTTTCCGAGCTCCATCGCCATGTTCTCTTCTCCGCTGCCGTGCGAGACGCCCACGCCGCTGGAAGCCATTGCCAAAGCAGACCACCCGCACACGCCGGCCTCTCGCAAGCTTTTTATCGAGGAAGATGCCTACTCGGATCTGTCCAGCCGCTTTCCCTCGACCATCAGCATGTTTGTATATGCACCCACCCTGAGCGTGCCCGCCGTGCTCAAGTCGAGCCCCGGCAAGACCGAATCCCTCGTTGATGCCGTGGCTAGTCAAGGTGCCGAGGACGCCGAGGACGCATATGCCACTCTCACCTCCAGCTTTAGTACCACTATTAACCTCTTTGCTGAAGCGCCCCGCCCAAGCTCTGCCCGTCCAATCGACAGCGCTGCAACCAAGGTCGCCGAACCTGTTGACTCTTCGGCGCTCTCACCACGGGATGCCCTCATTGTGGCCCTGCCCATTTGCAAAACCAGTGCCGCCACGGAATCCACGGCCTAGGCTGGGCGTCTATTGACCCGGCCGGTCCTTGTATGTTAGTGTATTGAATCTTGTTGTCTGTTCCTATCCGACAAATTGCCACGTTGCCTTTCTCCGTGCCGACTTTTCTTAACCAATCGAAGCCCCCCCCACAATCTCAGCTAATCATCCACGTGAAGGACTATAAATTTTTCAATTACTTGCTCAGGTTGTCGATCAAAAGGGCACAAGGCAGAGAAGAGGAGGAAGAGACGCAAACGGAGGGGAGAAGAAACAATGATATGTAAGGTGGCCTGAAAAAAAAAGGACGGCAGGGAGACGGAGATGGACCAGGGTTTAGCCCAACACTCAGAAACATTGGCGAGAAAATGGCGATGCTTTTATAAGCATCAGGGTGTTGCCTTCAGCAAATCGGCCAACTCAGCCTCGATGGACTCTTTGACTTCCTAAAAGCATGGTTGCACGCATCAGTTTGTGATGGCAGCAGCAGCAAATAAGGCCATGCTAGCCACGACTCAAAGGTTTTCTCAAACGTTATGAAACACGATGAGCCGACGCGCCCGACCTTGTAGCTGTGACGCGAAGCATCCAGCGAGGCGAGACTCAAACTCAGCTCCTCAAGCTTTCGAATGGTATACTCCTCCGGTGCCTCATTGGCATCCACGGCTCTATCAGACAGCAAATATTTTCGTTTGAGAAGATAAGACATGCAGCTTCGCGCCTAGCAAAGCACAAGTGCACGGGCTCCAGCTGATCGTCCTCACTTGAGCAAATCTGCGGGGATGGTCTGATTTGGATCGATTTTTGTGGCGGCTGCCTCCATTGCAAGAAGGCTATCCGAAAACTTGGCACTGTGAGAAAGCAAAGGACAGTCAGGTGACCCAGAGGTGAGGTTAAGCACATTAAAAATCTGTGCAAGTGATCGGCTTGCGGGGGTCATGATGAGGCTCAAGCCGAGCACATGGATGCCACCGCTATGTACTGCACAGGGCACGTACATGTGGTTTGCAACGTCCCTGCTACCAGCCTTGACATCTAAGGAGCTGATACCCGCCGCATGCAGATGCTGAATTGCCTCCTCCACGGCCTTCTCCGCAGCGCGCAGCGCTATCAGAACCAAGCGAAAACGACATCAGACTCGGACGAAGGTTGCCCGGATACACCAAAATATCAAAAGGCCATGCGTTATCTGGCCAACAGAAAAACCATGAGCCCATACCTGGTGTTGTGTCAGCCTCAGCTGCCATGGTCTGCTCTGCCGGCCACGCTATGCCACTGCCGTTGGCTCAAGTGCACAACCCTCGGAAAAAAAAAAAAAAAAAAAAAAAAAAAAATCGAGAGAGGGAAAACAGCAGGCGAAAGTTTTGTGTCATTCAAAATGTGTCAAAAGCTACGGTTCACCTCATCTTTGGCGGGAAAAGAAGTCATTTTGTCGACAATTCATCAACTATGGAGAGAACCTGTGGCCCTCCACCGCCAACGCGGGCAGCACGAGGGTTTCGGCCACCTATCAAGCGGACAGTGCCCCAGAAAGAAAAGGCCAGTAGCAAGACCCCTGCATCTAGAAGCGGCAGACATGGAGAAACGCGTCGCCCAACCCCGCCACAGCCCGAACCCGAGCTTGGCCAATCACCGCAGCAAGCAACATTTCTGCAAAGTCTTCCACCCAGTCTCGACAGCGCTCAATCGCTCCCCGAGAGGACCCAGCTCAGCGCCGCCAATGTGGTGGTAGCCCCCGAATCAAGGGTCTTGCCTGGACCCACGTACCCGGGCCAGGCTCGATGTGCCCCCCGTCCAGTCATCCAGCTTCCACCCATGGCCCGCGAATCCCCAACCTCAAACGTGGGGGTCTGCACCGGGGCGTCCACGCCATGTGCTGCACATGTGCCCGTCGCACAATTTCTAGGTACCCACCAGTAGCCAGATACCAACCAGATCCAGTTGCTTTGCCAAGCCCCCTCACTGTGAGCTCGTGTGCTTAGACCCACGCTATGACGGCTTTTTCGCATTTGAGCAACTCAACGCCGTGCAGTCCCAGGTCTTTGAAGACGTGCGTCAAGGGCCAGTGGCTGTGATGCTTGGCTCGGTACCAGGTCAACACGCACCACCCGTTTCATGGTGTTTTCATGTTATTGTGCTGTGCTCAGGTCTTTGAAGGAGATGGCAACCTCGTGGTTAGTGCCCCGACCGGGTGTGGCAAGACAGTCCTCTTTGAGCTTGCCATGCTCCACTACCTCAAAGAGATTCAGTATGTACCAGGTGGAGGGCATCCAGAGGCGCAATGCATTTACGGTACGCATCGGCTCAAGAGATGGTTTTAGAGTCTCTTTCAATCCCGTTCGCCACCTTGACGCTCTTCCGGCGTGCCAGTGGCCCCGATCAAGGCGCTCTGCGATGAGCGATATGCTGACTGGCATCCTCGATTTGCTCGACTGGGCCTCAAGGTCATGCACGTAACGGGCGATTCTGGTAATGTGCTCGGTTTGGACTCGTCCGCAAGCCAGCCCGGGCTAGAAATCCCACCTCAGAGGATGGCTGACAAACTTGTATCAAACGCCCTGCCGCAGGTTACCTGGCCTGGAGCGAACTCCGGACAGCAGCCCTTATCATCACGACTCCCGTTGGTCACTCGTATCTTCGTATCATCCCTGTTCTGGCTACTTCCTTTTGTACTAGTCTGTGGGCTACATGCTATTTTAACCCGAGAACGTATACCACCTCTTGGTTGCGTGCGTAGGAGAAATGGGACAGCCTGACCCGTCAACTCAAGGTAGGCATGGACCAGTCTGCCCCAAAGCCTCTTTAGCTTGCCTGCAGTGAGCCGTGACGTTTTGTCTATTGCACCCCATCTCGCGTGCAGACAAAGCGGGACAAATTGGTGGCCTTGCTCATGGTGGACGAAGTTCATTTGCTCACTGACGAGCGCCGAGGTTTGCCACGGGCTCACCCTGCCACGAGCATTCGCTGGCGATCTATATAACTGACTGTCTCCACTCACCCCCCTACCCCCTCCTTACTCTCCCAGGACCAGTTGTAGAGTGCATCGTCACCCGTACCATGTCCATGAGTGATGGTCAAGGTCGCTCAACACGAGTAGTCGCCGTCTCAGCGACCTGCCCCAATATTCAAGAGTGCGTCTGCCACGGTTGCGACAGTACACACTGGTGCCTTGACTTGTGCGTGATAGCCCTCGTCCACTAACTAGCGTGTTTATTTCAAATCACAGCATTGCAGCCTGGCTTCAAAGCAAAGACCGGCGTGCCTTCACGCATGTCTTTGGTCCTGAATTCCGCCCCGTGCCCTTGAGTCCCATCGTACGTGCTTTCCCTGGCTTTGAGCACCCAGGCGACGAGCACAAGTTTGACAAGTACTTGAACAACCATCTTCCGTCCATCGTCCAACAACACAACCCCCAAGGAAACCCCACCATCTGCTTCTGCATGACCCAACGCAGCACCTACGAAACAGGTATGGTCGCTTTAATCTGCAACGCAGGCTGACAATCCACATCAATTCTCAAGTCGTTCCAATCCCGTATATTCCAGCTCGTGCTATTGGGCTCGCTCGACAGCGACAGCAGCAACAGCAGCAGCGATGCGCCTCCACCCCCACAGCAAACCTGACGGCCGTGGCTCGCAGCGTAAATGATCGCCAGCTGGCAGGTCTGATGTGGGACCAAAGCACTCCACTCGCCACATAGTTCTTGGCAAGTTCTCACTTACATCTCATCCTAGGCCTGTTAAACATGGGCGTCGCGGTCCACCATGGACAAATGACACCGCATGATCGCGGGCTGGTCGAGCAGGCTTTCCGTGACCGTCATATTGCTTTTTTGGCTGCCACCTCAACGTTGGCCATGGGAGTGAGTGACCATGACGCTACAGACTTTGCAAAGACTGGTCCCGAAGGCCTGTCTGCTGACTTGAGACTGCGGTGGTCTGGCAGGTCAATTTGCCCGCCTATATGGTGATCATCAAGGGGACCAAGGAGTACACGGGCGGTCAGACGCAAGATTTACCAGACATCAAGGTTTTGCAAATGATCGGCCGCGCCGGGCGGCCTCAATATGATCACCAAGCCGTTGCCATTATTGTGACTACGCGGTCCCACCATGATAAATATGCCAACCTGGCCGGTGGCAGGGAAACCGTTGAATCACAGTATGTTTGTTGCGGGGCTTTGGTAAAATTGCTGGCGCACGACAACCAGCTCTTATGCTCGACTGGTTCTGGATGGGGCATGGATGCTTGCAGTCTGCACAAGGCCATCATTGAGCACGTCAACGCCGAGGTCACGCTGGGTACCATCACTTGCGGTGTGTCGATGCAGTCACTTTGTAAAGCCAATGTGCTCGCGCTTTCGCTCAAGTCTTGGACGTCAATGGCAATAGTGGAAGATGCCATCGCCTGGCTCAAATCTTCTTTTCTCTACCGCCGCGTGCTTCAAGCCCCTAAACTCTACGGTCGGTCTACGTTGTACGACGCATTTTTGAATAATCTGGCAGACCGGATGCCTATTGTCTCGTTTCTTTCACAACAACAACAAAGGCGGCCACCGCTCTGAACCAGCTGACAACAGCGTGTTGGCTGTGCAATGACTGGTAGATGCGCGCCTGACGACCGACGAGCAAGCTATAACGCGCCATTTCGATCGTTAGTCGTTGGGCACGGCGATTGATACCCACCATGTCAGGGCTCGATGTTGAACTGAAACGCTGCACCATATCGTTTGCTTAGGAGTGGCGACCGAACAGTTGAATCGCCTCGATGCTGCGGGCCTGATCAGCATGAATGAGCTTCTCGAGTGCCGCCCCACAGGTTTGTGGTGCACACCCTCCCCGATTCAAGGACCACCATTTCTCCCACCCTTCACGACCGGGCTTCATGCTTCATGGAGGCTAGCCATTGGGGGTCTAGTGGCTCGCTACTATGTGGCTTTTGCCACTTACCAGCTCTTTCAGCAGATGTTGGAGGCGACGGATATGGCGGACATGGTGCGGTCTGACCGGCTTTTCGCATGACATGTGCTTCTTGTTGACACAAGCGCGCGTTAAACGAATTTGCTAATTTACGCCGTGCATCGTGCCGCATCAACGAAGCTTAAGCTGCTCTGCGCTGCGCAAGAATTCCAAGAACTGCGTTTGCGTCGCAATGAAAAGACTCCGCTCAAGAAGCTCAACGTGCCCACGAAAAAGGATCAGAGCGAACCGATTCGTTTCCCCATGAAAGAGGGCCGAGGCTGTATTCGCGACACGGCCATGAAGGTCAATTGGTGAGTTTCTAAAAGAAGAGGGCCACTGGGGCACGGCTGCAAAGATCATGAGACACGAGCAGCTGCATCATTCATCAGAGCGTGCTGGCTTCCATAGCTTGGTGCAAGCTGCTCTGGGCGTGCTGCGCGTGGAAGAGTGGAAGCTCAACCAGGACACCCAGAGTGCCTTGCGCACTGCCAACCGCTTGGCCCAATGTACGATGTTATGACGGTCATGAGCCCTTGCTCGGTAGCAATTTTGTAATTGCAGCCCTCTGGCACACTCCTGATGTGACGTATGATCGCAGGTTTTATCGAGTTGGTGTGGATCTCACGCCGACAAGTACCTGCGCAAGCACTGTTAACTGCATTGCAGCTAGGACAATCGCTGCGAGCTCGGTAGGAACAGCTGTCCCTGGGATGTACTGATGTAGCCTGGGTTGGTATGAACTTGTTCCCATGCGATCTACCTAACCATCCCCCTTATCAATCAATGCCACAACAGCATTTGGTGGGACTCGCCGCATATCGCATTACAGTTTAAGAGCGTAGGTCGCCACACATCGCTACAGCTTGTAAATGCAGGCGTGGACAGCGCACAAAAGCTCCGCAGCTATTCCTCAGCCCAACTCCATGCACTCTTGGGAAAACCTACCCTCGCAGAAAAGGTAAGGATCTCGTTCTGCTTGTCGCAATCTTAAAAGCATCCAAATGTCCATGTGTCTGTTCATAGCACACAACGCGCACAATCCAGGTGGCGAGTGAAGTGAGCAAGCTGCCACAATTTCAAGTGGAGCTGGTGGCGGGAGGTGATGCAACATGGAACGTCACAGTCACGCTGCTGGCTGGGGTGTGCGGATCAAAAGCACCCCTCTTCCTTCTGGTGCTCGACGGCAGTTGCATTTTGCTGGCAGAACGCATCAGGTTTGTTGATGGGATGGCGCTGAAGGTCAGATGTTGGATGCCGGCCCAGCTCACCCTTGCTGACGCGAAAATGACTGCAGCGGAACCTTTTTAATGGAAGGGGCTTTCAGCAAGTGGTTCCAAGGGCCCCGCACGGCTACATCGGCGCTTGTCGCGCACCTGGTGCATGGTGACGTGGCAGGGGTGAACCAGCGTGTGGAAGTGGCTGCTGCTGCTGCTGCCAAGCCTGGGGGGCAGCGCAGCTCCCAACTGGATATTGACGGTAAGGGGCCTAGCTGGCAGAGCGTTGCGGCGCTTCGTACAAGTGCTTTTACAAGAAGAACATTTCACCTCGCACGCGTTTTGACAGCCCTGCTTGAAGGCCTGGACGAGGAGGAAGAGGAGAGTCACGTCGAGCACAAGCCCGTTGCAGCGACAAAAAACAGCCGCAATGCCAAGCGTCAGCCAAAGACCGGTGCACGCTTTCAAAAGCGCGGCGAGGATGGCACTCGGGTGATGAACAAGGACTTCAACATGGCGGCTTGCACAAGCCAATCAAATCAGCTCTCCGCTGGAGCACACACGGAGAGTAGAGTGCCACCAGAGCTGCAGGTGATTCCGCAGCACACACTACGGGTTTTTGCAGTAAGTCTGCCACAGCTTGGTTTTGTGCCGCTGTAAAATGTCTGCTCTTCACTTGATCGGGGGTTTGGCAGCAGGCGCAGACCGATATGAAGTCTCCTGTGCCAGAGCCTCTTGCCCGCGATGCCCAGCATCTGCGTTCAAGGTCGGATTTCAAAAATTTGAGCCATGGGACTCCTTTCCCAGGCACATCGTGACTGCATGCCGCTCTTGGTGGCTTAACCATGGCTTCTTCTTAGGTTTGGGGCGCAAGCCTCGTGGCTGCCAACATCACCCCTGCTTAGCGAGAAGCGCACTCCTCAAAGACAGAGTGGCTCAACCGAGGCTTCACAAATTCCGATCCAGCAAACAGAGACGGCGCCGCGTCTAGAAACCCAGCCACGAGATTGGGGAGCGCAGCCTGGGATGCGGGCCGAGACACCCACAAAACGGCCTCGCCAGATGTGGGGCAAAGAATGCCAGACAAGTGCGCGCCGTGTGCCTTGCAGTCTCACTGACGCCCTCGCCTTTCTTGATTAGCGAAAAAGCGATGCCAGCAAGACTGGGTCCAAGACACATTGCTTTAGACGGCGACTTGTTTTGCCTGCGATGTCATTGGCACATGTGCCGACAATAAAGCACAGTCAAAATCTCGGCGTGTCTGCTTGACCTGTGATTGGTGGCCAACTCGATCCATGGATCAGTTTGACTGACATCTCTGGAAAAGCAGAAGCTCGCGGGTTCCCCCTTTCATAGACTTGGACAGAAATTTGGCCATTCAAATTATTGATGACAAAAAAAGAAGAAAAAAAAAAAAAAAAAAACACCGCAATGCTACCAAATGGCAGATGCCTTGGCCAGTCAACATTGTTCTTGTCTTGAGCACCACCACCGCATCGTATCGCATCGCATCGCGAGGATGGAGACGGCAGCATTGCTGCGCGCATATAGCGCCAAGCCCGAGACCATTGGCGAGGGGGAGGCGACCTATGAGTTTGGGGACCAGACCTTGCCCAAGGAAGCGCAAACGCCGTTCAGAAACACGGGTGATGACCAATACTACACTGTGCAAACCATTGTCTTTCTGCTGCAGAAGCTGGACACGAGCCATCCCCAGTATGTGCTGGACGGCAAGAACGCGGGCGTGCCGACGGTCGCGCGTGCTGATCGAAAAGCACTGCTAGACTACTTGCAAGGCAAAAGCGACACTTGTGCTATCCTCAAGCCTCTGCCGAGTCACCCGGTCCCGACCTCAAAATCAGGCAGTAGCGCCCCTGGCACTGCCGAGCCGGGACGCTCTGATACCACAACCACGACCACAGCCACAACTTCCGCCACGGCCCCTGCACAGAGTGGTGAGCCAGCTGCCAAACGCGCTCACACAGATACAGCGCAACCAGTTTCTACCAGGTATGTAGCACATCTGACACATTGAGCGCCCATTGACCTCCCTTCTGCCCCCCCCTTTGAGAACATCACGAAAGCAACCCGCTCCCGTCCAACCCTGCGTTGCACTCACTCGTGTGGTCACCGATTGGCAATGGCACCATGTCCAGCGGATCTGGGGATGCGACAGCTGCTCCAGATGCGGTGGGTCGAACAGACCCTTTACTGGCCAAGATTATGCGCCGCGAACGTGTCTACGACACCCGCTCAAGCGTGCTCCGTTGCCGAGGCGCCTCGTTGGAAAAAGTCCTGCCCATTCTCACCAATCTGCGCTCCAAACACCGCGAGGCGCGGGCCGAAGCGACAAATTCCACCTCGTCGCGTGGCTACGATCGTTACCAACAGGCTGGTCGTCAAGAAAATCGGTGCGCCCGACGGCACTCATACCTGCTGCTGGCATTCTGAAGTTCTGTTCCTGTGCAAGCAACCCACTGCCCTCATGTCATATCGACTCTGCTGCGCAGGGGTGACTATGATGTCAATCCATCCAAGTCTTTCCTGCCCGATCTCGACGGTCGGCGCACCACACAGACCAAGGAGCCCGACGTGCCCAAGGCCCGGAAGAAAACCAAGCGGGTGTGTATGCAGGCTCAGCAAGCAGTTTCCCTCGTTCCCGCCTTGACTTTTGACGAATAAGGCCACACACCATGCTCAAAGAACTTTGCTTTTTGGGGTGCAAATACTCGTTTAGACGCCGATCATCATCGTTCCTGCCGGCACGCAATGCTTGCTGACCATGTACAACATCAAACGGTTTTTGGAGAAGGGCGAGTTTACATCGACCGCGGATCTTTTACGACAAAATGCCGAGAAGCCCTCCACAGGTAGAATGAGCAGCCTTCCCACAGCCATCCGGGGTCTGGCGCACCAATCACCACAACTTGAAACGTCTCACCTTGCCGGCATGGTGTTGTATTTCCTAGTCATCATCCAGCGCAAGAAGCAGAGCGAGACAGTTCCCTACAAGATTGTGGATAATCCCAACATTCTCACATCGGAGCAATGGTTGGTTGCTGCGATGTAAATGTGTGTGTGTGTGTGTGTGTGTGTGTGTGACTGTTCAGCAGTGCATGCTTGTTGAAGCGCGTTGCAGGATTGACATTCGGGGCCACTGCCTCGAGTCTCACTCAACATTGGCACCCTGTGACGCTAATCTCTAGGTTACGTGTGGTTGCGGTAATTGTACAAGGCCCGGCCTGGCAGTTTAAATCGTGGCCAGAGACACTCGATGGTCATCGACCGGTCGATATTTTCAGCAAATGTAAGCAGGCTTGGCTCTTTTTTTAGCTAATGGACGGTGCCTTCTTGTATGCTTTCTCATTTTTATTTGCTTCACCTGCAACTGCTACAGACAAAGGCTTTCATTTCACGTATCAGGGCAAGCCAATTCATGCAAACATTCGCGAGTGGGATGTCGAGGTTTTGACCCTGAATGAGAACCAACGTCACTTGGACGCCACGGCCATGTATGCCTTCTGGAACAGCCTCGATCGATGGAACAACAAGAAACACCCAGAGCTGCGCTATTAAGACCATTTCCATGTGGCGCACTGCAGAAGGATCTTTTAAAAAAAAATTGAGATGGGTCAACTAAACAGTCTTTCATGATCCGCCTGCCAATTCGATGCTCCTTTTGTTTCTCTTTGGCGCAAGCAACTCGAGCAAAGACACAAAGGAGGACCACAGAAGACTGCCATATGCCGAAGCATCAATCTCCTTCTTTTTGGTGAACGCACACACTGCTGCTGCCGTCAGGCTTCCAAAGTTGGTCTTGGACGTTATTTTTAGGATGTGTGTTGAACACACACACACTTTCTCTTTTTTCTCTCTCATGTGGTAGTTGTGCCGTTTCTTCGTGTGCTTTTGTTCTCGTCTATCTGGCTTGTCTACCAATTCAACTTCTCTCTCTCTCTCTCTCTCTCTCTCTCTCAAACTCTCTCGAACTCTCTCAAACTCTCTCAAACTCTCTCAACTCTCTATTTCTCTCTCTCTTAGTTATTACTATTCCTCTCTGTGTTTTTTCATCTCTCTCTTTCTCTCTCTCTCTCATTCTCTCTCTCTTTCTCTCTCTCTCGTGATCTCTCTTGTCTCTTGTCTCTCTCTTCTCTTCTCCTGATTTGTCCCGCCCATGGGAAAAAGTGTGACAAGGGTAACTGTGGGATACCTAGGCCCACAGCGTCAAGAGGAGGAAAGGAGGAGCTCGTGAGCCAGTTGGTTGGTCCCTTGGTGAGTTGGCGCTCCCTATCGCCGCAATAGCAAACACTGGGCCAGGAGCCAAAAGAGGGGCGGGAGCGGAGGATTAGAATCGGAATCAGTGGTCAGTGGGCATTTTTCTTCTTTCCAGATGTGAGTCTGATCTTCCCATGCGCGCATGTTGGGGTTCACGTCGCAAGGAGGGTGGGAAGGGGGCGTTGATGGTGGGAACCGATCGTGCCTGACTCACTGTCAATGTTGCTGTGCAGCTACGGGCTTGTCATTCGGTTGTGGTCCGAGAACATGGCTGAGCTACGGAGTAGGATCTTGCGCGGCGATGTGGCCGCACTTGATGGCCTCGGCACGGGCAAGGTAAGTTTGAGCCCGCCCTAGCACCATCGTGGGGCTCGCTCGCTGCCACGGGGGAGGCGCGATGATTCATGCCCGCACACTTGGACACCAATGCTGACCTGGCGAAATAAGCCATGCCAACTTGCGCACGCTCCGCTCATCGAGGTCTCCCGTCGTACTGCAAAACGCGCAGGTTCGCGTGTTTCTCTCCTCAACCTTTACCGATACAGTTGAGGAGCGCAACACAATTTTGGCCCAGGTAGGCCAGTGGCAAAGTGAAGCGCCTTGGCATGGCTTCTCCTTTCAACATTCTGCAAATCTCGCTTGGCTTTGCCCTGATTCTCCGATGCTGGCTGGCTGGGCGCATGCAGGCGGTACCAGAGCTCAAAGCGTTCGCCCGCACCAAAGGCATCGAGTTTGCTGTGGCCACCATGCGTTGGGGTGTGACCAAGGCGCACGCAGCCAACCACGAGCACGCTCTACTCTGTTTGGCAGAGGTTGACCGTTGCTTGCAAGAGTCTGGTGTGTCATTGATGGCCCAGCTTCAGAACAAGAAAACGGGAATGATGAGAAAGACCTATCATAGATTGGCACCGCACACTTTGTGTCGAAATCCCGCGCCCATGCTCAACACCGTCTTATCGACCGACTCTAGAGGGCTATGCTTTTGTCAGTCTCCTGGCAGAGAAGTATGGCTTTCGGCCCTTCCCAAGCGTCATTGCCAAATCTGAGTTTGATATCATCCTCAGCCATCTGGGTGCGTGTGCGCTGTGGTGCCCAGCTCACCACTCCCCTGGATATCCTTCTTGGACGCGGACCTACTCGTGCATGCCGTCTTTTGCTGATGAGAGCCGCGGTTGTCCTTGTCGTTGCTTGCCGTTGGGCGGTTTAGACGGCAAGACGCTCGAATTGGCGCAAAACTGGTTTGAGATTGATGACAACGCTGTTCCGCCCACGGCTCGCCTGTGCTCCATCACCTCAAAGCTGCCGGACTATGGTCGTGAAGAGGCTCCCGAGGCGGTGCGTGCTTATTGACAGCCCGCAGAGCTCAACACCCTGGGTTGGGCTTAAGACATTTATTCATTCATTCATTTGTCCGAGCTCACAAACCCGCAAACGTCCCTTGTATAGGCTGCTGAAGCGAGCGCACAGTGGTGGGCTATATTCGGTCAACTAGAGCAGGGCTTGCGAGAGGCAGCTCATAAAGCTCACGCCGAGGGCCGCTTGTCCGAAAAGCGACTGGCTGCCTATGTTCAATCGGGTGCGTCTGTGGAAAATTGTGTCACTGTACACGCGTGGTCCCTGGTTGCCTGCCTGGCCCATTACCCCCTTTCCCCCTTTCCAATAGTGACGGAGGATGAGACGCGCGCTGCACTGGACCCCCGTGTTACGGTCAGCAGACATCTCGCTGCACTTTTCTGACACTGCATTCGTTCAACGCAATGTACCTGTGCCCAACCGCCTCACCTCCGTGCCATGATATTGACAGCCATTTGTGAGCGATCTCAACAAACGCACCGTCTGGTTTCGGCGGACTCTTGTGGACTTGTCAGGCACGAATCGGCTCATGACGAACTGCCTCGGTACAACTGCAACATGGCCCTCACAATGGTCATGCATTATTGTTAGATCATTTGGATGATCCTGCTGCCAAACTTTTCACGGATCTGGCTGGGACCTCGGGCACGCGCGACCCTGATGCACGCCAGCAATTGGAGCTGCTGGAGGCAAGCGCTCGCCTTTGCCGAGCAACATCTTGCTGTGATCCATAGTGGTGTGTTGCAAAGTCTCACGCGTGCTCACGGCTGGACCGAACTTGTTAGGAGAAGTACATGCCTCAGGCAGGGTTAACCAATGTTCAGCCTTTCTCCGTGAAGGGGTGGGGTCCTGGCAAGGGTCTGGATGTCAATCAGGTACGTGGGTTTGGGACACGACGTCACTGCCCAATCGCAGAGAAACTATCGCTCATTGAACCTGCCCTGGCTCAGGCCCCGCACAGCGAATACTTGCACTCGTTTCGTGACGCCTTTATCAACAAGATGAAAGAAAGCATCAATGAAGGTATGACAGGCTGCTCGTCGCGTCGGTGTAGCTCAGATGTGCTTGTATGCCACACTCGGCTCACACTCTGCGTTGGACTCAAGTGGCCGAGCGGAAGCGCAAGCATGCCGCAGATCCGCTGTTTACGGAAACAGCCGGGCACCACGGCTTTTGCCGTGAACGTGTGAGCACGTTTCAGGGCCGACATGCCCTCATCGAGACGGCTAGTGCCTACTTTGCTCAAGCAAGCAATGGCCAACTTAACCCTCTGATCATTCACGGCATCTCCGGCTCTGGCAAGGTTTGATCAAATTACCTCTTCGTTGTTTTTTTTTTTTTTTGTTGTTTTTTTTTTTCTTCTTCTTCTTCTTCTTCTTCTTGACATGCGCAGCGTTGTTCTTATGCGTCCATTCCCCGGTTAAAATCCAATCAGAGTTCCGTGGTTGCCTCTGCAGCGGCAAAGTTTGCGGCGCAAAAGTCCCCGCAACATACGCTGGTGCTGCGCTTCTTGGGGTAGGCTCGCGTGTCTGGACTTGATCAATGCGGGTAAATTCTTGAAAGACTACCACTCATCAGCTTCATGCTCTACCCAGCACCTCGAGCGAGTCAACAACGCTCCTACCTCTTTTGCGCTCCATCATCCTCCAAATCCGTGCGGCCTATGACGTGCAAGATGCCAGCGCCATCGCTCAAGGTGAGCACACCAGCAGATTGCAAGCTTGCTGGACTGCTGGACTGCTGGACTGCTTAGGTTCAGCTACAGACGTCTTCGCAGCCCGATGGCGCACCTGCTCAGTCAGACTTGATGCTGCGTGTCCCCTGCTATTTCAGAACCTGCCGAACTGATTCTGCAGTTCAAGGAGGCACTGCAGCTCGCCAGCCCTGCCGCGCCGTTGGTGCTGGTGCTGGACTCGCTGGATCAACTTTTGCCCGATAATGGCGCTCGTAAGGTCAGGCCTTCTTGTCTTGGGGAGTGGGAAGGAATTTTCTGCTCACTCACAGACCTATCGCGTTGGTTCTACGACCTGAGCTAACATGCGGGCATATTGCTTTTGGAACCCGATACAGCTGCAATGGTTGCCACGCCAGCTTCCTGCGGGTGTTCACCTGATGGCCTCCACCTTACCTCAAGCACAATATGAGTGCTTTCCTGCTCTACAAGACTTGCCCGCCCATTGCTTCCTTGAGGTGTGGCCCCGCCCTACTGTGGTGCAATTGCTGCCAGCGCTTCTCACGCCTGTATCTACTGCGGATAGGTACCGGCTTTGAACTCCGAAGATATCCAGGCTTTGATCACGGGTGGGCTCGAAGCTGGCAACCGCACTTTGACCTCCGAGCAGCATCAGACGGTAAGCATGTGCACACCTGCAAAGCGTACACGACACTTGTTGTCCATGGCATTGGCATCTGCAAACCTCTCGTTCTCTCGCACACCCTTACCCCTTGTACATGGCGGCGACATGGCGGGTATCAGCTTCGCTCTGCCATCGCCAAGTGCCCGACGCCCCTCTATACAAGGCTCGCGCTGAATGTGGCCAGTGCATGGCACTCACAAACGCCACTGGAACAATGTGCGTACAGTAAAGACGACGGGCGTTATGTTCACATACTCCATGCTTGGGAGCTAACAATGTTGCTGGCCCATTCGCTTGTCTTGAACGTTGCAGGCACATTGCCTGCTGACGTTCCAGGCATGATCGAGTCTTTGTTTGAACAGCTCGAACAAATCCACGGCACCACAGTGATTTCCCATGCCTTGGGCTATCTCACCCAAGCTTATCGAGGCTTATCGGACAACGAGATGGAGGACATATTGAGCTGTGACGATGACGTGCTGAATGCCGTGCGTAGCTGCTGCTCACTTTATTATTCCTATCCCAGCACATCTGGTGTGCAAAATTTGCTTCTCACCGCCATACACGTTGGCCTCAGGTCTTTGAGTACTGGTATCCGCCACAACGACGCTTCCCTCCTCTGCTATGGACCCGGATCCGCTCAGCACTTGGACCCTATCTGGTGACCAAGGGTACGCTGCTCACTTTCACACAATCAAGCCGGGCCATCGGCGCATCCTACTTGCGCATTCATCCTGCTTGTTCTTGTCATGATGGCCAAACACAGGCAGTGGTTCTGGTCAGGTGCTGGGCTGGCACCACCGCCAGTTCTTCGAGGCAGCTGCACGTCGCTACTTGGTAAGTCTCTATGCAAGCAATCATCAAGGCCCAGGCCAATGTTGCGCAGTATGCAATCAACTTCAAACGTGTCGATCTTCCGAGCTTTAGCCTTTTGTGCTAAATATTCGTATGCTACGGCGAGGTAGGGTGGAAAGCAGTCTATCCGTCTGGCGAGTCACTTGGCGGATTTCTTTTCTGGCCGATGGTGTGAGGAGGAAAAGCCTTTTTCCTCGACCCCCCTGCAACAGCAACGCTTTCAACTTCCCGTGCAAGGTAACACTTGAATGCGCGTGCTGTCAGGGATCTCAGTCTCGAGTCTAAGGACCGAGATGTCAAGCATATGAGTGACACCATTGGCAAGGGAAAATCGGCTGGATCTGGCATTGCTTTGGTTCAAAATAACGATAACATTCTTCTACATCATTAATGCTATCATGCAGGCGCAGCCCTGCGCTATGTGGCGAACCAGCCAGTGGCCTTTGTGAACCCTGACGACGGCAGGTATGGCCATGAGCTTGTTGGTTCTTGCACCGATTGCTACCTGCAGCTGTTTGGTCAAACCGAGGCCCACTTCTACCCCTGTTGAGCACAGCTTCCTGCCAAATATTCGCAAGCTCGAGGAACTGCCACGCCAACTTATCGCAGCAGACCGGTACGACCGCAGATCTTTTTGAGCAATCTATGTCCAAAGTGGCCCCACCTTTTCACTCAACTTGGGGCTGCCGAATCCGGAGTAGGTTGCCGGATGTCATGGAGCAATGCTTTTTCCATTTTCCCTTTGTATACCACAGTGTGGCTGCCTTGGGCAAATCGGCGCTATTGACCCTGGTACAAGCCGCCTCTGATGCTGCAGGTAAGGCCTTGTTGCCGCTTTGAGCACATACACCCCCCATTGGTTTTCGCTTTTCTTTGTCGGAAAAAAGAACCCCCTCCCCTTCACGTAGCTTGAAACTTTTTTTTAAAAAAAAATGTATTGCCTTATAGGGCGCCCGGGCGCCCGGTTGGAAGAACAGCAAAAGACTGCCTTAAGCAAACTGTTGCTGAGCCTGCGCGTCAGTCCGTATGATGAGAGAGAATTGGCTTTTCAAGTAAGTGCCGCGAAAGCTCAGACCCACGCTTTCGCATCGGACAGGCGTGTCACATGTTTTTTTTTTTTTTTTTGTTTGTTTGTTTGTTTGTTTGTTTGTTTGTTTTATAATTATTTCATCCTTGATGCTTGGCAGCTACTTGGCCGGCTGCGTTTGAGCGCCAACAGCAGCCCATACATCAAGAAATTATTGGAAGAGGCACGTGTAGACGACTTGATTTTTTGGGGCGTTTTGATTGAGCCCTCTGATGCGCGCACGTTTGCAGGCTTTGACAGCTGAGGTCGACGCGCGTGCACGCATCGTGACCCCTGTCTGTTGCCTGTATCCGCCGGATCCCATGAAAATCAACGTGCTCACTCATCCGGTGAGCCGCGCATTACTGGTCTCGTGCTTGGTTCAGGATAAGACGATTGACTCTTGAAGTGTGTCATGACACGCCTTGCTCAACCATCTACTGCCTCGCGTAAACTGCACAGGGAGGTGTGCACGGCTTTGCTATGAGCCATGATGGCAGTACCTTGATTACGGGGTGTGACAACCGCACTGTTCAACTGTGGAATGCCGACAACGGCGAGCGTCTCACTATCCTCGAGAATTTCGACTGGATGGTGCGGGCCGTAGCCTTTTCCCGCGATGACAAGTATTTTATCGCCATGCCGTGGTCTGGCCGCTACGTTGTACGTTGTTGGCGATGAGGGTGGCGATAAGGATCCACCCGTCAAGAACTCGATTGGCTTCTTCTCTGTGACGCTCTTGGGTGGGTCTTGATGTAATGCATGCGCTTGCCGGCGGTAGATATATGAGACCAAGGGATTCAACCAAGTTGCTCGGGGTGAAATTGGTGGTAAGGACTGCTGGCACTTCTCCGAAACTGTCGATGATCGCTCTGGCCTGCTTGATCGCTCTGCATCTCGATAGCATCTTCCGCCTCAACCGTGCACTCTGATGAATGAGTGGCCCTTAGAACACTGCCACACCGTGTGGCCAAATCCGTCAAATGACACCTTTTTTGCAGGCTCGGACATGGGCTTTCTTGTTGAGATTGGCGTACGCATCACTCCTTCGCCACGAAGAAGCACAGGCTTGAATGGGCAAAGCAGCCTCAAATCATTCATCATGTTTGCAATCTTTGATTTTGATAGTGTGACGGCAACATTGTCCGCAGGAGTCCCATCGTGGCCGACGACCTCGACGAGCAATGCCGTACGTTGGCTGCAACTGCGTGTGTGGCTTGCCGATCCTCGCAATGGTCGCTGGACTGCACGTGGACTTAGCGGGCAATGCGTGGTTTAAACACAGGGCTGGATATGAGTCGCAACGGAGAACTGTTCCTGCTCAGTGATCGAAGGAACAAGGTCTGCCTTCTTGATCATTCGTGGGAGGTGAGACGCCATGCATTCCACCTCTTGTTTAAGCTAGAGCAACGACTCGGGGACTCACTTTTGAGGCAATCGTGCTTGCTTTTTAGCGAGTCATTACCACCTTCGACGGGGCGTTGGGTGCTTTTGCATACAGCTCGGCGGGCACTGTAGTGGCCTTGAGCGACGGAGACAAAACTGTCTCACTGTACGTGCTGCCGCAGTTCCTGTGGTCTTAGAAAGCCCGCGCGCAGACCACAGTGTATGAGTGTATGCTTTCATCTGACCAGCCCCTCTGATCCATGCTGTCTGGGCTTGTCATGCAGTTGCACCAAAGACCAAGGGCTGCTATGGGAAACCACGCTGGACGAGCACATTTGGTGCATGACGGGCACCATCGAGTACGCCGGTTGTGTTGTTTGCTATGATCTTTTGCGTGCATGCGCGCGCGTGTGTGTGTGTCCCTCAGCTGCAAGCGTGTTCAAGCAAGTTGAAAGCTCATTCCACGGCACTTTTGGATTGTGTTTATAGTCGGGTGGCCGTTGGCACGCTGCGAGGCCAGGCAGTGGTGCTGCATGCAGAAGGGTGTGTCACTACACCACTACCTTGCGCAAGGAGCTTTCATGATCTCATCCAAATCCTTATCTGATCGTAGAGGCGAAATCCTACACAGCATCAAAGCCCATACGGACTCAATCGAATTTATCCGCTTGTGGGGCAACCTGCTTTACACCTGTAAGTTGTAACTCCTCAGTATCCTGCTTGAGCATGTCTGCGCACTTACTGGCCACCGTGTACGTCTTTCCTGGTCGCTTGGATGGGGCGCTATCCAGCGTCAATGGACAATGCTGTCCGTGGCTTTGACCTGCAATTTGCGAATGAAAAGGCAGACAAGGTACGTGTCTAGCACCACATGCGAGCATAGATTTCTGTGGCGCATGCAACAAGGCTCATCAGCGGTCCCCGTTCGATCAGCCCTTGTGGCTGCCCAAAGGCACAAACGCACGCCTTGCAGGTTTACGTAGCGAAGGTCACGGAGCACTCAGCGCGACGGCCATGGGCGCCAATGCCAGCTATGATGACAGCCGGATTGCTGTTGACCTTTGTTAGTCAATCGGCGCATTAATGGCACACGCTTTGCACACGCCGCCAGTTCGACAACTGCAAGGCATTTACATCTTGCGTTTGCCTATTGCTCGCTTCACGACCCACAGACAGTGGCCACACAGAGGAGCATGCCCCAGCCACATGGAAAAAGTCCATGCCGGCCATGAAGCCAAGCACTTTGCCAACAACACATGAAATCACCGTGGTAAGTATAGCGCTCATGTGCGCGTCCATGTGCGCCACTCTCTCTGCACTCATTGGTCTGCCATCACTTTCTATTTCCATTTTTTCCAATGCATCAAGCCTGGTGCCCCCACGCTTTTACTTCAAGCTGGCGTTGTGTTTGTTCAACATGAGCCCGGCAATGCTCAACCCTTTCCCACGTAAGGTTTCTCGCGATCCGCGTGTACAGCACAAAGGCACTGTGCTTGAAATGGATCAACCCCTCCCCCTCGCCCCCCTTTTTTTTCTGAAACACAAACAAAAGGAAAAAAGAAAAGAACCGAGTCTTATTCTGTCAATTTCGACGGCATGCTTGCTTTTACTGTCTACAACGAGGACAGAAAGCCTGACGTGCGAGCTGTCCGTGTGCGCCAAGAGGCGGGCGAGCCAGTTGTGGACTGCCTCTTTGAGGGGTCTGACTTTGAGACTTATCGCTGGCCCGACGGACGACAGCTGCGTGATGGCGTACTCATGGTCGGTGCTTGACTCAAGATATGTGGCATCACGTGAGTGCTTGTGGTGTGCTCATATGCTGCATGCGGCACAGAATCGACAAACCATCACTCAAGCTGATTCCATCAGTGGTGCATGCCATGCATGGTAAGAACGGTGTGGCGGGTGCCATAGAGGCGACTGAGCTGGTACACCTGTTCACGGTCCTGTGTTATGGTGTCGCTTGTTGGGTGTCAGGACGTCAAAGCGAGGTGATCTGGTGATGATAGATAATCGCACGGGTTTGTTCCACCACTGCCGCCATTACGACGAAAACGATGTCAACAATTTTCGGCGCATTACTGAGGTGAGACTTGGCTCGCAAAAAAAATCGAGAGAAGGGTTAGGAGTGGGGAGCCAGCAAGTGCTTGTTCAGGCCCATCCGCAGGTAGCTAGCTCACTGGCTGGAAACAGGGTCTCTGCTTTACAGTTGACGATGCCTTTTGCGTGTCTGGTGCTGAGGATCGCCGTTTGTGCGTAAGTTTACATGGCACCCCAATTTTCAACTTCGATCGTGCTTGTGTTGCGGAGGCCGAGAACAGCTCGATATTTCAAGCAGCTCACAGAATCAATCTGGTTATTTGCAGTTTTGGTCCACGGCAACGGGTGAGCTGGTGGCGTCAGCCACCATGGAGGCACCCATTGCCGTAATCGTACCTGGTTTGGTACCAAACGTTGTCGTTGCACAGCTCACTCGTAAGTGGGAAGCACACGTATGAATATTGCATGTGGCTGTACCATGCATGGCTCAAAAGCAAAGAGACCCATGCCGTTGTTTTTGCAAGAGCGACACAAACCACAGCAAACGCCTCACCACTTTCAACGCACGCTAGACGGCGCTGTCGCCATTTTGCACCTCAAGCTGCCCGGTGAGCGCCCTGCCGTTGAGCTAACCGACGCCTTTACAACCCGCGGGCATTTGGCGCCTGCGATTCTCGAATACAAGTGAGCGCGAATCTCGCTCGCCTTGGCCGGGGCAGCAAGGCCTCGTGCTTCGTCGCTCGCTTCTCTTTTTCTTTCCGACTGACTGGGTGCATCTTGTACAGGAACGCATCGCCTCAGCAAGGCCAGGCAGACACAGACGGCGTTGGCACTGGGTACGGGCACTAGGTGCATCGCTCGCGTGTGCGCAACCGCTTCTCATGCTGATTTTTCTGTGCCTTTCATTCAAGTGCCGGCAGTAACTGCTGTACCATCGTCTGAAATTTGGCTCGCGTGGTGCAAGACCACGCCCACATTGATAATGGCGCAGCGTCGCCCTCAAAAATGCCAATCCTCCTGAGCAGGTGCTTAAAAAAACCTCAGCCTCGTTCGCTTTGCGTGCATCCAAGGAAAGAAGTTGATTTTTATTCCACAGGCCTGTGGCGTGACGCGACATCTGAATTGCACGATGCAGGGTGAAGATAAAGATTAGCACCTCAATTCATGCAAGTCAGATGGTGTGGGTCGGGGTGAACACAAATAAGGCTGGCCCCGGGCCCGATGCTGTAGTCTCAAGGCTTGGCTGCGGTCTGTGATGGGTACGAGGTCGCAACACTCGCGGGGGCAGTCGCAGTGCTGTTCGTTGCCGAAGCAGGAACAGAAACGGTGGGTGCACCCACGACGCCAGGTGTAGAGACGGTGGCGACGGGATTAGTGGGGACGGCGCTAGCAGTGGGGGTGGAAACGGTTGGGGTGGAGACCACGGGAGTGGTAGAGACGGTGGGATTAGACATAGTGGCAGTAGCCATTGTGGGGGTAGAGACGGTAGGCGTGGCCACGGTCGACGTGACAACGGTGGGTCCAGGACGCATAGTGGCAGGCATGGCTGACATGCTACTGTACACGGTGGGCACGTAGGACACGGGACCACCGCGCGCCGAAGTTGTTACGCCCGATGGGGTGGCCTGCACCCCGTTGACCAATCCACGAGTAGTGGTGGTGTACGGAGTGCGTGCGTAGGGGCCGGTACTGGCGGGCATCATGCGCGTGTACGGGGACTGTGTCACAGGCATCTAAGAGGTCCGATCGTCACATGTCAGCGGTTGCACACACAGTGGCAGCACATTACACAAGTGTGTGTGCCCCATCAATCGCGTCTCTGGACGGGCACAGATGCTTACAGTGCGGTTGGTCGTATAGCCTGTGCTTGTCACAGTGCCGTAGGCACCCGAAGTGGCCACGGTGGCTGTCGTTGCTACACTTGAGGTGCGCCGGCAAGAATTCCGATGCGTGTTCCAGGCCTTGACTTGGCAATCACGACTACAGTAGTATTCATTACCACAAAGCGAGCACTTGCAGGTGGCTTCCTTCCTGCACACATGACAGGGAGGCTAGATGGGCGGGTGTGGACAAGGGTTGGCAAGGATGAGGGACAAAACCTCTTCACAGCTGGCTTATTGCATTCCCTCGTCAAGTGCCCTTCAAGGAGGCCAACACAAAGACGTACAATGACTTTGGAAGTGCCAGGCGCCGGGCGCGCTCCAGTTGCCGCATTAGACACCTGTGGTGAGTTGGAAGTGGCCATGGCAGTGCTGGTGGACATGGCACTCATCATGGGACCCTTGCCCGGAGCACCAACGGTTGGCGCGCTGCTCATGACAGGCATGCCAGCTGTGCCGGGGGCCATGGTCCCGGCCGGAGATTGCACGGTGCCCACAGTGCGCAGCTGCCCAGCCGTCGGCACGGAAGTCACCGGACCCATCGGCTTTGAGGCGACACCCCGCGGCATAGCGCCCGACGGATAGGAGGTTGCTGGAGCATAATACCGCGAGGTCGAAGGGGCCATATAAGTCGCCTAGCAAGAGAAGAAGTGGAAGGGAGGACAATGACCACAAAAACCACCCAGTTGATGAGGTCAGCTGATCAACGCAGGCAAGGTGGCACAGCACAAAAGGCCCAAAAGCGATACGCGCGCAGATGGCGAGTAGGATCCATTGATCGGACTCGCTTACCGTCCGATAAGGCGTGCCGACCATCGTCTGTACATCGAGTCACAAACACAGGCAAACGCAAGCACAACATCACATCAAAGTTAGACTGGCTGAGATCACCAGGAACGCCGTGACCGGATTCATGACCAGCCACCGGACAAAGAGTACACATCAAGCCAAAGTCTGGAGCACGAGTCGCACCGAAGGCATGGCCGTATTTGGTACTGGACGAGCAACGGTAGAACCGACAGTGGGAACAGTGCTGGGTTTGGTTGGCATGGGGGAGTACTGTATATTGGCCTGCTGAGCCACCTGCCAGCGTCGCTCATCCGAGCAATCCTGGCGATGTACGCTCCAGTGATTTTTCTAGTTTGCATGCATCCAAGGGACAAATGAGCTCCACGTTGATACAGGGCAGAGATTCAACTCTCTCATGAAACTTTGACTCCCTCAGAACTACAAAAGTGCAATACAGCTGGAAATAGAGGGCTGAAAGTAGAACGGCAAGAAGTGGAGACATGGCGTACCTGACAATCACGTCCACAGTACCAAGCCTGACAGCATTTGCTGCACAGATACGATGCCGGCTTCATGCACACCTGGAATGTTGGTGATCAAGGGAAGACTCAATGAGCAAGAGTGCAAAGGGGCAGGGCGAATCGAGAAAAGCGGCCGCGAGACCAATGGCAGGCGGCAAGCGTAGAGTGGGAAGGCACGCACAGAGCATTGGGACGGGGATATCGTTGGAGCCGACGTTTGCTGTGAACAAGGTGAGTATTTGGCCAACGACAGCAAGAGATAAACGGTGAGGATGCTGAGAATAAGGTGTGATCAAGTGGCCAGGCAGCGAGGGGCAAGGCAAAGACAAGACGCCAAAACAAACCTGATTGGCGACACCTACAAAAGTTGGTATGGAGTAGGACGAGAGGAGAGGTGGTGGGGATTAGCATGTAGGAAACCAAGGGATAAAAAAAAGAAAAAAAAAGAAAAGCCAGCGGGATGGCGTTTTGGACATTGGACAGTGGTAGGGTACAGCAAAAGCGTACCATTGTAAGGCGATCCGGTGTTGGAGCTACGGCGCCCATCAAGAGGTTCAGCTTTGGTTCGCTTAGCAGCGGTGGTGGCTGGGCCTGACGAGCTATTCCGCTTCTTGGTGGCAGCAGCGTCGGCCATGGCAAGAGGTCGGTGATGCAATAGCAAGAGGAACGCACTCGGTGCGACGGCGAGCTAGCTAGTTGGGCAGCTAGCTGGCACCCTCGAGGCCCACAAACGACAGAGGGCGCAAAGAAGAGACGACCCAGATCCTGATCAAGGGACAAGGCTGATGCGTGATGCCGACGTTTGGGTGTTGACAGTATACGAATGGGATAGCCAAAGCGGCTGCAATGCGTCTGAGCTCAATGATAAAGGGGGCTGGACAGGAAGAGGCAAATGGATCGCAATGGGGGGAACAGCATGCATGAGAGGGATTTCTAGCTACGGGTTTGCTGAGCCCGGTGCGTCTGACATTGAAGGTCCGGGGCTGCCACGAGCTGCACGGGCTCAACCCCCTCGACAACACGTGTGTGTAAGTGCCCTGGGTATGGCAGCCCGGCGATCCACGAGCAAGGGAGCAAGATACAAAGAAGAGAGACAGAGAGAGAGGGAGAGAACGGGGGGGGGAGGATGACAGAGGCACACACAGAGCGAGCACGAGAGAGAGCGAGCACGAGAGAGAGAAAAGCGTGTGTGCTTCAAAACGTGGTTCTGTATGTGTGTGTGTGTGTGTGGTATAGTAGTGCGCGTGTCTCGTGCACACACACACAGAGGAACATGTCATGCAAAAGAAGCCAAAAGACAAAAGACAAAAGACAAAAGACAAAAGACAAAAAGAGAGAGAGAGAGAATTGAAGAGAGAGAGAGAAAGGCACACACACACACACACACACACACACAACACCAAAAAGCTGGTCGACGAGGATGGCGGCTGTCGCTGGGGGAAGAAGAGCGGGTGCATTGGCTCACCTAAAACTCGAGCGTCTGGGCCATGACGTGTGCCGGAAATAAGCCGAAGGGTGGAGTTGGACGCGCGAAGCAAAGCAAGAGACAGGGGGCAGGTCTTTGAGACAGAGGCCCCCCTTGAGTTCCAGCCAGACACCCTTGTGAATCTGCAACAAAAAGCAAAAGGCAGTCAGAGAGTGAGGGTAGACGAGTCTGACAATCAGAGACGCAGCGAAACACAGTTGCAAAGCAAAGACTTTGTAAGGTGAAAATAAAGCGAGTTGAGAGATGTGTTTCGCACATGTGAACAAAAGAGAGAGAGAGGAGAATATGAAGAGAGTGAGTGAGACACATGACATGTGATGAGGCAGGAGCACAAGGGTCACGCGCCACGACATGGAAGGGCAAGTCGCTGAGACGCATAGCAAGAAGGCTGCTGCCCGGCCCGCAGTAAACGAGTTGCATGGGAAAGGAAGGCAGAGAAGCGTGCCATGCGGCCATTCATCCACTGCCATGACGGGGCGTACAGATACAAGCACCACCCTTGCATCCCACTCGACACACAACGTGGTCTCAGATCTCCAACTGGAGGCAAGGAACCCAAAGCTGCAGTCGAGTCTGCGTGGCCCTTCCACAGTCGCCTGCCCCTTTTCGCTCACGTCTCAAGGATCCAGCCCCCGAAAGAAAAACCCCACAGCCCGACGCACAGATCAGTCCAACAGAGATGCGGATCGCAGGCAAACCCCACATGCATGTGTGTGTCGTTGTTTGATGACGCACACCAAGAGCCATGAAGACACCATCCAGTACCAAGACCCAAGAAGCAGCTCACACCCCAGCCGTGCCCTCTCAACCCTCATCAAGTCGACGGGTGCAAGCAGCAACCGCTGCCCTAGACGCGCGCCTCACCTTGCCCCTCCCCCCTCGCCCCTCCCCCGCACCACACACACACACATGAAGGGAACAGCTGTGAGATGTACCTCGTGGCGGTCACCACACCAAACTGCTCGCCATCAAGGCAAACCCTTACTGATCTCTCCCACCTGCCACCCCCGCTTGCTTGCTCGCGCCAAGTTTTGTCTGACATTGGATTAGCTCAGCACACCTATGAGACACTTTCAAGCTTAAAAGGCTACTGACATGGTCACACTTGAATGTATCCAACACACGCACATGGTAGAACAAAGGGTGCACTGGTCCGCCAAACTATGTACTTTGAAGGGTATCTTTTGATTTTACATCAGCTTACAAGCACCATTGGCTGTGCTACGGAAAATGGAACCAATTCAACGATAAGTGAAATCAACGTATAATGTATTTACCTTGCCTTTACTTGAAAATCAGCACAAACCCCAAAACCTCCAACATCAACTCCACCACGCGCGGTCAACGTTTACTTTTGCCTGATCCCAACGAGCCAAAAGCCCGGAAAGCCCAAAGTCAAAGTCAAAGTCAAAGTCGCCTCGGCGGGTTTGGGGAGGGTGTTGTTCATCGCACGCCCGACACAACGAGATCACACCGCGTTTGCCCTTGCGTGCGTACGCGCAGGCGGGCGGGCGGGCGGGCGGGCGAGCTTCTGCCCCTGTTCTCGTTGGTTTGTTTGGTAGCAGGAGGAAGCTGTGCGGTTTGAACTGCAACTATGGCGCGGCGGGCTGACGAGGACGACGAGGACGTGCTGCGGGTTCGGGGCAATGAAGATGAAGTTGCCCTCTTGGGAGGACACGACTTGGACAACCCAGGCAGCAAGCCGTCATCGCGTCAACGAACCCTCACCCTGCTCCTCCTCGTCGGCATCAACCTCCTCAACTACCTGGACCGCTACACCGTCTCCGGTGTCCTGCCCGAGCTCAAGGACAAGACCAAGTCAGGCTTCAGCAGTGACCTCTCCGACAGCCAGAGCGGCCTGCTCATGACCGTTTTTGTTGTCAGGTTAGACGTTCGACGTGCCTCCGCCCCTTCACGCGCAACAGCTCTCGGCCCTGTCGTGTGCTCACAACCATCTACCTGCTGAGTAGCTACATGCTGGTCTCACCGATTTTCGGCTACCTCGGCGATCGTTGGAATCGCAAGGTACGAGCAACGTCTGACCAACCGCCCCCAACTGCAGAGATCTCTCCAGTTCACTCTGTGGCTCAACCCCGTTGCCCGACTCACCTTGACTACCCGATCGGCTGTGCTAGAACTTGATCGTAATTGGCATGGTGCTCTGGGCCCTCTTCACAGTTGGAGGCAGTTTTGCCCAGGTACGTGCGTGCTCTCCGCCCAAGGATAGGGATGTTCCCGCACCATCCTGTCCTCCTGTGGAGTTTACAGAACTTATTCCGTGCAACATGTGCAGAACTATGGTCAACTATTGGCCGCTCGCGCGCTCGTGGGCGTGGGCGAAGCTGCCTATGCCGTCATCTCCCCCACCATCATCGCCGATCTCTACGAGCCGGAAGTTCGCACCCATATGCTCTCCATCTTCTACATTGCCATTCCCGTTGGCGCGTACGTGACGCATGGGGACCAAGGTCAAATGAGAGAGAAGAAGAAAAAATTGTTTGGGAAAGAGCACATGACAAACCACAACCCTCATTCTTGACTCGCCTTGCCCGACCTCGATGATGGATACAAATGCCGGGTTATTGCCATTGGTTTTGCTCTTGGGCCAAACTTAGTGCTCTTGGCTTTATCGTCGGCGGTCAAGTTGCGGCTGCTTTTGGCAGTTGGCGTTGGGCTCTGCGCGTTTCCCCGCCTCGTACGTATTTGTCCAGCCACTCGGATCCCGCCCGCACGCACACACGCAAGCACCCACAAAAAGCACTTTTCTGCATACCTGCGTCAACTCATCGGCCTTGATGGCCACCGTGCCGCACGCAGTGGGACTACTGCTGGCGGCCGTCCTTTTCTTCACGCGCGAGCCTCCGCGGGGCGCGAGCGAGGGCCATTCCCATGGACACAGCATGAATGAAGCGAGTGGGCTCAAGGCCTTTTGGATGGACTTCAAGGCCGTCATGGCTGTGCCCACGTTTTTCTGGAGCACGCTTGGATTTACGGCCGTCACTTTCACCACAGGCGCCCTGGCACAGTGGGCCCCCACCTACGTCTACCGGCAGTCTCAGCTCGAGTCGAACCACCTCAGTAGCTCCAGTGCCTCGCTCTATTTCGGTGGTGTTACCGTCATCACGGGCGTTTGTGGCACCCTGCTCGGCTCCATCATCTCCAAACGGCTTGAGAGCAAGACTCCCGCCCATGACAGCTATGTCTGCGGCGTCGGCATGCTCGTTGCCGTTGTTTTCATTGGGATTGCCATCCCGCTCGCCTCCTACCAAATGTGGATTTTCTGGGTCTTGACTCTCTTTGGCGAGGTGTGTTGGCATGGGGTGCGGCCACATTCAGGGAAAACGTAGGCCGTCGATGGGGCACTGTTCCTTCTTCACCTGCCTCATGCATATGATGCCTGGCTTGGGTTATATCGTTTCTAGTTGGCACTGTGTTTGAACTGGGGCCCCACCGCCGCGATTACCCTCTATGTCATTGAGCCCAAGCGGGTACGTCAAACATCCCTTCTTTACCCATATTTTCAAGCGCAAAGCACGCTCCTGACGCAGCCATGTGTTTCCATATGCAGCGCAACACGGCCGAGGCTGTGTCCATCCTCATGACCCATCTCCTCGGTGACGCTGCCTCCCCCTACCTCGTCGGCGTTGTAAGTATGCCCGTTGTGCTTCGACTACCTCGTGCAACAAGCCTTAGTTTGAATGCCGTCTTTCGCTCATGCGCCTGGTTACGGGCCTGGTGGTTATGCATCATACCGGCCCCGTCTTCTCCTGTTGGGAATCGATAGATCTCAGATGTCTTGCATCAAAAGTACGATCTGGTCGATGCAGATAGCCTCATGCTTGCGCTTTTGATTCCGGGCTTTGTATCCTTCTTGGGCGGCCTGGCCTACCTGCGTGGCGCCCACACGGTCGCAGCCGACAGGTACGCTTGGCGTGTGTGCGTCAACAGCGTCGTGGCACCAGCTCTCTGCCACTCACGACTGTGTTTCGCCTTGTGCTTTGGCAGAGCGGCGGCCTCAGTTCGCGAACCAGAAACTGATTTCTCCATCATCAACAGTGACAGCGCCGTCATCTAAAGGCACAAGCGTGTTCTTGACCTAACTTTGTGTTATTCCTTTTTCTTGGCAACTTTGTTTCAGGCCCTGAAACTGGGCTAGGCTCTTTCGATATGTCTATCCCTTCCAAGGTCTGGCTTGTGCGCACTTGTCCAAGACAGCAAACTGTTTTTCTTGTAGCCCTCGGTCTCCTGTCCTTTGATGTCGTACTCTGCGACTATTCGACTGCCTGGGCCCTTCAAGAAGACTGACGAACATATCCTCTGAAAAATTGCCCTTCACACATGCGTCTCGGCAGCAACAGTCGAGCCAAGTCGCTGCACCTCGCCTATTCATGTCCACGGTCACCGTTACCGTCACCATCACAGCCACCGTCACCATCACCATCACCGTCACCATCACCGTCATAGACCAAGAGAGAAGGAAGCACAAACATAGAGCACAACAAGGTTGACCCAAAACGAGGAAAAAAAAAAAAATTAATAAGAACTGAGACAGCACTAGCAAAAGAGACATAAAAAAACTTTAAAGAAAAAACAGCTTGTAACGGCTCTTTTTTTCTTTGTATGTGTGTGTGTGGAGGATCGGCTCCGTCTGCTCTCAACGCTCACATCTGTGAAACTCGGACGACCACGACCACGACGACGCGTGTCTCTCTCACTTGCTCGTGGCCCTCTACCCACCTGTGGCCTTTTCTTGACCCTTGCTTGGTCGCGGAGCTTTTGGCAGTCTGCTTGCGGATTCAGGGTCTTGGCTTGAGGCTATTGTGGGATGGCATATGACAACAACTAGACCTGAAGGGGTGCGGTGTTGTGCAGCCGACATCTGCGCCGTTGGCCGGCGCTTGGGTCGGCCCATGAGCGTGACGCCAACTTGGGCCTTGATGCAAAATGGATGAAGTGTTTAAAAAGGCATGGGATACAATCAGGGGACTCGCGACGAGCACACCTGCCGCGGCGGGTCGGCCTGCCACAGCGAGCGGCTCCATGCCACCGCAGCCGCCCACAGCGAGCGCCTCCATGCCACCACAGCCGCCGAACCGGGTTCAACATGCCACCTCACTCCCCCCCAGCTACTATGCCGCCCGGGCTCAGAAGCGCCACGCCAGGTCCAAGCGCTCTGATAAGTCGCACTCACGCAAGCATGTCAAAATTGAGCCCCCCACGCCTGCCCCGGTCAAGAGTGCGGAGCGGCAGCAGGAGGAAGAAGGTCAAGAAGAAGAAGGCCATGATTTGTCCGAGGTCTTTGTCCCCTATCGACCCCAAGAGACGGGTTGGGGCAAGCCGCATCCAGGTCTGCGCACGACCAGCTCTCTTTTTTTTCCCCGCTCCCCTTTTCTCGCTCAAAGACCATCATTTGATCCCCAATCCTCACTTGTCTATCGCCCTTTTTGCTGTTGTTGTGCGTCTGTGCAAGCGCAAATTGTTGAGCCAGCCTCGTTGGCCTCCGTCCACTTGCCAAAGGCCACCTATCCCTTGCGCAAGTCACTTCCTGCCTCGGTGATTGATGATGGCAAGCTGTCGGCCCTTCAGCTCGAGGGTGTCATGTATGCGTGTATGCAACATGAGCGTATCCTACCCAACGGCTATCGCCGTGCCATCCTGATAGGCGACGGTGCCGGTGTTGGCAAAGGTCTGTAGGAACCTTTTATGGCTCTCCCACACGCCACGCCTAGTCACGATTAGTGACTGCATCCATTGGCACCCATGCCCTGACCTTGACTTTGCCCTCACTGTTCTTGCCCTTGGCTTCAATCTCGGCGCCTTTCCGCGCGCTCTATTGCACTCTGCAATCTGCAAATCAACAGGGCGCCAGATTGCAGGCATTCTATTTGAGAATTTATTGCACGAGCGCAAGCGACATATTTGGTTCTCTATATCCACGGACCTTTGTGCTGATGCCGAACGTGACCTGCGTGATATTGGGTGCCAAGTCAACGTGATTGATGGCTGCCAGGTATGTTCAGCCCGGTCCCCGGTGGACTGTTGGCCCTCTTGTGACGCGCGAAACTCAGTACCATGTCCCTGGCTGACAAGCTGGCGTGGCGCTCGCTGCTCCTCGTCCCTTAACACCCTTGCCTGATACCCTTTTGGTCCCCACCACCATCACCTCAACCCTGGCAGGAGTTGGACAAGATGACAGAGCTGCCAGACGGCGTTCTCTTCTCAACCTACGCCACCCTCGTATCGCCGGGCTCGCGCTTTTCCGCAGAATCTCGTTACGAGCAGCTTGTACAGTGGTGTGGCCCCGAATTTGATGGTATGTGTCTCTGCCTCTGTCTCTGTCTCTGTCTCTGTCTCTGTCTCTGTCTCTGTCTCTGTCTCTGTCTCTGTCTCTGTCTCTGTCTCTGTCTCTGTCTCTGTGTCTGTGTCTCTGTGTGCGTTTCTGTCGTCTGTGTCTGTGACCACTCGCCGTGCTCCTTGCAAACCGATGATAACACGCCAAGTACCTTGGTGCGATCCTCGCTGACAACACCAGTTTCCTTCGTGGTTGCCGTGTAGGCTGCATCGTTTTTGATGAGTGCCACAAAGCCAAGAATTTACACCTCGAGAAGCCTGGGGCTTCGTCAAAGGTAAGACGTGCGTGGTTCACACGCATACTCGATTCTTCGACGCAGATACACGAGAATTTCCAACCCAAAACCGACACATCATGACAAAGGTCGTGGGCTTTTGCCAGGTTGATGAGTTGACTCATGACGCTTTGTCTGTGTGCAGGTGGCGCTGCGAGTCAACGACTTGCAGCAAGCTTTTCCCAAAGCCCGTGTTGTCTACTGCTCCGCGACAGGCGTGACAGACCTTCGCAATCTGGCCTACATGGACCGGTACAGTGCTTTTTTTTTTTTTTTTTTTTTTTTTTTTTTTTTTTTTTTTTCGCCTTTATATCGATTTGTTGTTAAGTGTGGTCTTGTTATTTTCGCTCGGCTTGTGTACGAGATGATGCACACATATCGATTTCCTCGCTTGACCCGTGGCTGCAATAGCTTGGGCATGTGGGGTCCAGGCCAAGCTTTTGCCAACTTTGAGGATTTCAAGCGCGAAATGTCACAAAATGGCATTGCTGCAGCGGAAATGCTGGCAATGGAACTGTATGTCACCTGCTCCTCAGTCCAGCCGATGCGTGTGCTGTGAGCCTTCACTCGCTTGACTTTAAATACGCGGTCTGCTGTACAATCGGCTTGATGTGTAGCAAAGCGCAAGGCGTCTATTTGTCTCGGACACTGAGCTACGAAAGTGCCGAGTTCAATAACTGCGATATTAGTCTCACTGAAGCGCAGATGGACCTCTATAACCGTGCCGCCGAGTATGTTTCGACACCCACACGTTGAACGCATGCGGCCCCGCGACTTGCTCACCAATGTGGCTCGTGTCGGCTGGTGGTGTTTAGCTTTTGGGGTAGGCTGTACCGAGCAGCGAGCAGGCTTGGCAAGGTGCCGCGTGCCTACTACGCAGCCCACCAGCGCTTTTTCAAGCAGGTTAGGCTCCAGGACTGTCGTTGGGCTTTGGTCCTAACCGTTCCCCTTGCGTGTATTCTGAGACACTCCCTCAGAGCGGTGGCTTGCAAGTTAGCGGGGGTTGGGGCTTTTGTGGGGTTCTTGGGAGAATTGACTCCTGCGTGACAAGGTCAAGCTCTCCTAACGACGGCTGCGCGGGGCTGTTCTTGTAGCTATGCCTTTCGATTAAAGTCCCGCAATTGGTGGCTCGTGTGAAGGAGGCGCTGGCCAGCGGAGATCATTGTGTTGTCATTGGCCTGCAATCGACGGGCGAAGCCCGTTTACAAGCGGCATTTGCAGTGGGTGATGCTTTGAAGTTGTATCATTTGGCTTTTTTTTCCACGACCTCCAACATCGCTAACCCTTGATCCAAATCACACGGTTGCTTTAGCGCGAGAGTGGCTATCGAAATAGCCTGGTGTCCTTGACAGAGGAAATTGCGCGAGCTTTCATCGAGAGCACCTTTCCATGGTACGCTTGCCCTTTATTGATTTATTTTTTCCCCTATTTTTGACCCAGTTTTTTCCTGCTCGAATGACTGTTGGGTGACTCTCTTTGCGTCCTCGAATGATGGGTGGAGCACCCGGCCTTAAGCATGACTCCTAACGTGGGTGCATCTTTGCCAAACAGCCCGGGACGAGCGTTTGTGCCCCATGCCGGACCGCCCACTCTGGGTGCTCAGTTGCTCGAGGTATGGGCCCAGCGCAGACTTTTCTTTGGGAAACCCGCGTTCAGTATCGGCTACGCATGTATCCATCTTGACAAGCTCGTGTCTCATTTTGAAACATGCTTGTGTGTGTGTTGCCTCGTGGCTTATCTTGCATGATCTTCTGCCTTCTCAGGAACTCAAAAATTTGCGGCTACCACCCAGCCCGCTAGATGACCTGATTGACCAGTTGGGAGGACCGAGCGCGGTAGCGGAACTGACCGGTCGCAAGGTGAGGATGTGTCCCCATGCGCTGCCCTCGCCTCACATGCGCGGACGGAAACAGAAGGGCAGTTGAATGGGAACAAGAATTATCAAGTGAGCAGCGGCGGGTTTAATCTCACCGATTTCCCCCCACTTCTTCTGTTTCGACAGCAACGACAGGTTCGAGTGGGTCACACATCTTCTTTTGTCATTGAAGAACGGTAGGCTGTCAGAATTGCACCAGCCCGTGATAATGGGTGCGCTGGTCCCAGTTTTAGTTGGTCTTTCTCACCAGAACGCATGCCCGCTTGCCCTTGGCCCGCATGCACATACTCTTTGATGCATCACTTTTGCCTATGCCTCAGAGCGGCAATAAATTGCGGACCCATCGATCCCACGGATGGCATCAACATTGTCGAGAAAAATGCCTTTTTGGATGGTCGCAAGCTGATTGCCATCATTTCTGATGCTGCCAGCACAGGTACCCTGTGAAATCAACCATCCTCTTGATTGTACCTAACTCACCCAGGTCTCATGTCTCTAGGCATCTCGCTGCATGCTGACGTGCGGCGTGAGAATCAGCACCGCCGTGTGCATTTCACGTTTGAGCTTCCTTGGTCTGCTGACAAAGCTGTGCAACAGCTTGGTCGGAGTCATCGGTGCGTCGCTTTCTCGAAATCATGGTCGTGGCCGTGGCCGTGGTCGTGGTCATGATCGTGGTCATGGTCGCCAAAGCTTGTGGGACTTGTCCATTTCCAAGCTCGGCGACGCTTTCTGTCTCCAGCTCATCCACGCGCCCGATTTTCACGCGCTTGAATTCAAGGTCCAACCAAGCGTGTGGACCACGCTACGAGCTCATGTCGACAGAGCTAGCCGGCGAGAGACGATTTGCAGCGGCCGTGGCCCGTCGCCTTCGTTTCATGGGCGCTCTGACACGAGGTACCTGATCATTATCTGGCTCTACGGCACATCTCGCAACCCCTAGGGTCTGCATTAGCTAGCCCCTCGTGTCATATGGCTGCATTTGTCTTTGCTTAGGGGATCGACGGGCCGCCAGTGGCCAAGACATGGGCAGCTGGGACATTGATACCAACTATGGACGCCTGTACGGCCTGCCTGATAAACAGGCACCTAGCCTGGGGCAACTGGCTTGCACTTTCTTGTCGCCTGTTTCCTTGTTGTTGTCCTTTGAGAAACATGTTCGTGACCACTTGCACCGGCTGCTGGGCCACGCTTGGTTGTAGTGCATTGCGCGAAATGGGCGGTCTTTTGCAAGAAAAGAAGAAACGAGAATCAGCCTACATGGCCATGACGGTATCTAGCATTCTGAGTCTTGAGCGGATTTTGGAACACGTGCCTGAAGGGCGGCTGCGAGCGCGCGTGTGTCAACTCTTTCCCACCGATGACGCGCTCTTTCAAGGCTTGAAGGTATGCTTGCGACTGTGATGCGAGAAGGGGTTGCTGGCAGAGGATGTGCAAGACAAACTCACCTGACATCAACACCGCCCCTCATTGCCCATTGATTGATGCAGGCAAACGCGAGGCGACTGCACAGCTCGCAGGCATTCAAATCCGTTTCTGCCTTTTTGAACGGTGTTCTTGGCCTGCCCGTGGAAGGCCAGGTCTGTCAGGCTTGAAGCATGGCCCATCTTGCTCTGCTGGTCGTGCCTCTGCCGTGTCCTCGCCATAGCGTCTCACATGACATTGTACCCACGGAAAGAATATCATGTTTGGTGCGCTCATGGTCCTGCACCGCCGAACCATTGAGCGTGCTAAAGAGGAAGGCAAATACTCCGAGGGCATTCACGAGATTACCGGTCAGTGTATCGCCTTGGCGTGTTGGGCAAGCATTGCTGAAGAGCAAAAGCTCCTCCTCGAATCATGTACGGATGTTCCGATGATAAATTGTAGGCGACAAGATTCAGCTGGTGTCAGAACGAGACATTACATCTGAGGTGCATCACACTGAGCTGACACGCGACCGCGGCATGTCCTTTGAAGAGGCGCTGGACCGTTTGCAAGCCGTCAGTCTTGTGCCAACTCGCTGTCTCACAAGTGCAAATCAAGCGCACGACAACTGACTCGCCCCCCTCGTCCTGTATCCAACTATTCTTTGACATTACAGGCCCCTCCCGGAACTGCGCGTTTTATGCTACAATCGCGCGCCACCGGCGGCCAGCGTGTACGTTTTGCGAGGAAGGGGATTGAAGCCTCACGCTTATCCGTACAGCCCGTGGCCCTTTGTCACCCCCGAAGATGCTCATCGTTTCTGCATCACCTATTGTCTGTGCCCCCCCCCTTTTTTTTTCATCTTCTCGTGGCTCGACAGCGTTGCGTCTTGGTGACGGAAGCTCCAAAGCGCAACCCCCAGCACTCAACGACATACTATTTCTTTCGGCCCAACATTGGCCAAGTCCGCCATCGCTTTGGGGCACAAGAGCTGCTCTCGTACAAGTACGTGACCCGATTAGCTCACGTGGCAACAGGCGAGGAGGCATCATTGACTTTTTCCTGTTTCTCGTATCGATTTGCAGTGCGGTCGAGCCGAGCGCGGTCAAGAGCACCTGGCAGCGCATTCATTCAGAAGCTGAGCGGCTGTGCCTCCATGGCCCTAAATGCACAAGTCGGTTGCCGTTCCTGTTTGTTGATTTCGTTTTCCTTTTTCTTTGACCCTGTCTCTGGTACGCGTTGTTTAACGAAGCGGTTTTTTTTTTTTTTTTTTTTGCCCGGGTTTTCTTTTTTTCTTTTCTTCTTTTTTTTTCTTCGTCTCTTCTACACAGTTCCCAATTGTTCTTTCGGCAAGCGTCGCCAGCGCTTCCACATTCTGTCCGGCCGCTTAGTCAAATACTGGAAAACTTTGAGCGACCATTTGTCACGACACGTGAGTTGACGGAACCGCATTGGAAGCTATGCGCTGCTCTAGCAGCTGACTGGGCGCATGCTTGCACAACTTGACTCGATTGCACTGTGGCTTGGCATTGTAGTCGCGATACTTGATCGTGGCCGAGCGCAGCCTGAACATTGCGAGATGTTCACTGGGACAGAGATCCTTTATCGGCCTGCTGTGGCCTGGTCAGTCCACGCGTGTTGAGGGAGGCTTGAGATGATCAATTGAATTGGTGTTTGTCGTGCGCTCACGGCACTGCTGGTGTTTGACTGCAATTTTTTCTTGTTCTTTTTCAAACTGTCTTGTTGACTGTGGGCGTCGGCGTGGATATTTTGAATACAGATGCCTTGGTTCAGGACCTTCCCAGCCTGTTCGTGCCCGTGGCAGCGCCAGCGCCAAATCCAACTTCAAGTCTTGTTGAGCGTAGCTTGGTGAGTGCTTCGCTGTGCCAATAGCTGGTGACCAGGGATATTGACAAGTGGCTGAAGCCATGGCTGCTTGATTGTGAGAATCTCACCTTGATCTGATCATGGTGTAGTTGGGTGACAGGCCGCAACAGCATCACAAGCATCCGCGCTTGGAGAGGACCATACGATCAGCGCCCGCGCAGCCCCATGTAGCGCAGCCACGTTGGACACCGTCGACCGCCAGCTACACCATGCCTTCGCAAGAAGCCTCCGCGGGCAGCCACGTGCCTCTTTTTAGTCGGGCAGCTGCAGGCCCGCCGATAAAAATGCAGCGATCTGCTACAACACCTGCAGCATCGCGAACAACAGATTTCATTGATCTGACGCTGGACAGCGACGATGATAGCGGCAATGACGATGGCGCTAAAGTCAGCAGCATCCCGACCATGCGTGCGCACCTGCCAGGTCCAATTTCGACACCAGGTGCGGCTCCGTCTAGCCACCCGGAGTCGAAACCTGAGCTGAAGAGCGCACCGGATCAAGCCAGTGCCGTCAGGACCTCCACCTCGTCCCCTGAAGTCATTGTCCTGGATGATGATGATGACAATGATGATGATGATGATGCTGATTCGAAAGCTGTCACGGCCCCATCCCAGCCCTCTCGGCTTGCCCAGCCCGGGCCGGTCTCGCTTCTTGCTGTCCCTGCACCGATGGGTGGGGCTCACTGTGTATCCCAAGAGCGAAGCAGTGCCCAGCAACCCGCTACCAGCACGTTGCCGCCTCAGCTTCCAAGGCACCAGAGCTTGGACGTCAAACCAGTTTTGCTTCCAGAGGGCATTTGGACCGAAAACCAGCAGCTGACGAATGGACCAACGCCCGAAGCGTCGACGCCTCACGAGCTACCGATGCCGCCAGACACAGACTCGGAGGCAGAGGCTTCCGAGTGGGATGAAGCCTCTGATGCCGAATCAGACGTGTCGAGTTTGCCGGACGTGTTTGTGTTAAGCTCACGAAGCACTGCCCCATCACCCAAACGATCAAAATGGTCTCAACCCCCCGCTTAGCTCCTGGCTGCCTCGTCTATCTGGACAGTTGCGCTCTTAGGGGCTCAAAATATGATTATTCTGACTGATTTCGCGTTTTATTATTACAAGCTCTGCTGTTTGTTTGTTTTTTTATTGAAGTTTGAATCAGTTTCCGAATAAAAGTCATGTGTTGTTGATACACATTTCAACAAAAGATCTCCTCGACCCCTACCGCATGAAAGGGCGTTGAGCGGGCGTAGAGCCAAACAGGCACCGAGCTCGCTATGGTGAATGATGGTGTGAGCGCAATGGTGCGATGGATGGTGACGGCGGTATTGACGGGACGCGTCTGACCGCGGGTTATGTTCCTGGGAGAGAAACTCGACGGGTTTGCTTCGACCCAGCGGGCTGACTAGCTTTGGATTAGGACAGATCAAGTCGAATGGCGAGGGGATGACAGGTATGGCAGACCTGGGCTTGATGCGCTGAACACAAACGACCCTGTCGAGATAGGGGCGGCGGGGGATGGATTGTTCAGCAGGCACGCACAAGTGAGCTGTTCCAGCGAGACCGTGGCCATGCAGGCAATGCAGCATCTATCTCCTCAAAGGATGCCCCTGACATGATCAGCAACGCGCCATAAGAAGCGAAAACTACACTACACCACAACAGTGAGAGATGCTGACACAGTCTCTCTCTCTCAAACTCTCTCTCAAACGTCTCTCAAAAACTCAAACTCTCTCTCTCTCTCTCAAACTCTCTCTCTCTCTCTCTCTCAAACTCTCTCTCAAACTTCTCTCTCTCAAACTCTCTCTCAAACGTCTCTCTCAATCTCTCTCTCAAACTTCTCTCTCTCAAACTTCTCTCTCTCAAACTTCTCTCTCTCAAACTTCTCTCTCTCAAACCCCTTCTCTCTCTCAAACGCTCTCTCAAACTCTCTCTGATCTTTTTTTATTTTTCTTCCTTTTTGGGGGATTGGTGGGTGTGGCTGTGGCTCGGTCGTGGCTCGTTGGTGTCGCTGTGTGTGCCGGTTGGACCTCGAGGCCCTGGCTTTGTGGCTGTGCTTCGCCTTTGTACCAGTGCTTGAGGCAGCGAGTGATCTGGGTGTGTCTTGTGCTGTGGCGGCAAGGGAAGATTGGCATTGGTGTTGATGCTAAATGAGGGCCGAGGCCGTTTGGCAAGAAACAAACGTGGACGGTGACGGTTGAACCTCGTTGGTGCTCCCTGGTGGTCTCCCGCGACTGGCTTGCGTGCTTCCAAATGGACCAAGATAGCATTCTTCCTTTACCCTCGTCAATCTGCTCTTTAATGTGCTCTGCGCTTCTCTTTTGGCCCCTTGCTTGAAGACGCACTGCCCTTGCCCTTCTCCTGCCCCGCCCCGCCCCGCCCCTTTTAATCTTTTGTTCTTCCCTCTTTTTTTTTTTTTTTTTTCTCGCGTGCGCTCTTCTTGGTTCTGCTGGTGCTGTGCCAAGCACACACACGCGCACGCACGCACGCACGCACCCTTGGCCTTGGAACACACTTTGCAATTACCTGTGACCTTGGCAGTTGACACGTTCCATGCTGACCCTGGCTTTCCTTTGTTCTGTGAATAGACCTTTGCGCGTGTTCAACGCATCGCCGACCAAACTTACACTGGAACACTTCTCCCCTGTACGGGTTCCGTCATCATGGCATCCGTCAGCGCTGAGCTCGACAAGCGCAATGAGGTGGGTCGTGACCCCGAACAGTCGCCGCTTCGCCCTGGCTGCTGATCCGTGACATTGGGCGTCAAGAGAGCAATGCGTGTTGCCTCATGTGGTGCCCGGACCCGTGGTGTTACAGGAGTACCTCGCTGATTACCAGAAGCTTTACCCCAAGGGCAATGTCTTTGAACTGGTGCGCTTCCTCATCCAGGCCGTGTGCCCTCGCTTCGCGCACAAACGCGCTCATACAAACCCAAATGCAATCTCAACTCCACTTTGTCGCTCACCATCGTTGTACGATCCCAACGCCCATCCATCCAACACAGCGCCGCAAATTGAAGCAAATCGCCAGTGAATTTGCACGTACGGACAAGGATGGCAGTGGTGATATCGATCTTCAGGAAATCGGCGAAGCCCTCAGCAAACTTGGCAAGTCTGTCAACCGCGCTGAGCTCAAGGCCGCCATTCGCCGCGTTGATGATGACGACTCGGGTACCCTCCGCTATCGCGAGTACGTATTAAAGCTGAAACGCGCCCGGAGCATTCAGCCCACAAACCTTCACTGGATCCCCTCACTTCAATACCCGGCTTTCCCTTGATTCGACGTCGCACAGGTTTATCAACCTGATCCTCCTTGAAACTGGCTTCATCTCGGACCCAGTGGCAGAATCTGCTCGCAAGACAAGCCTGGGCGTACGTGCTGCCCTGCTGCCCCAAAGTCTATTCTTCGTTGCCTTGATCCTTCGCTTCTTTATCGGCATCAGGTTGGCCTGGGTCGCGGTAAGCGCAAAGGTGCTCTCAAGAAGAAGAAACGTGGACAGATCAAACTCAACGTTAGCCTCAACTCCAATGGCGACAACGTGGACATCTCGGTCGAGGTCCTGCAAGCCGCAAACCTGTTGCCCGCTGATATCACGGGCCTGGCCGATCCCTACGTCAAAATGTACATCCAGCCCGACCCCAGCAAGAAGACCAAGCAAAAAACCAAGGTCGTCAAGAAGTCTCTCAACCCAGAATGGAATGAAAAGTTTACGTGGACCCTGAGTAGTGCCACCAAGCTAGAGCACCGCTTCCTCACCATTGAGGTCTGGGACTGGGATCGCATCACCCGTAACGACTTTATGGGAGCCATGGCTTTCGAGCTGAAGGAACTCGAGGACCCGGATACCATCAAAGCTGGCTGGTTCATCCTCCTGGACCAGGAACAGGGCCGCTTCTTCAACTTTCCCAGTGCCATCCAGCCAAAGTCAGTGCGCCCCGCTGCGCCCGCGCGTGGACATTCAGTGCGCGCCCGTGACTCCAAGCTCTCGTCCACCCCCAAGAAGTCGGGCCTGCGCGTTGAGGACTTTAAATTCGTCAAGGTGCTTGGACGTGGCTCCTTCGGCAAGGTGTTTCTGGCCGAGCGCAAGACAGACCAGAAAATGTATGCCGTCAAGGCCCTGAAAAAGGTCCGCGTGATTGAAGACGACGACGTTGGTGCCACCATCACTGAAAAGGAGGTGCTCGCCCTGGGTGCCCAAGCCCCCTTTATGGTGCAGCTCGTTGCCTCCTTTCAGAACCAAGACCACCTCTTCTTTGTGATGGAACTCGTGGCCGGCGGTGATCTCATGTTCCACGCCATGAAACACGGTGCCTTTTCGGAAAAGGCCTCCGCCTTTTACTCCGCGGAGATTAGCGCCGGTCTGATGTACCTGCACGAGCGCGGCATCTTGTATCGTGACCTCAAGCTCGACAACGTTATGCTTGACGAGGAGGGCCACGTGCGCCTGGCTGATTTTGGTCTCTGCAAGCAAAACGTGGCCCCAGCGGACGGCTCCACGCAAACGTTTTGTGGCACCCCCAACTACCTTGCCCCCGAGATTGTGTCGTACAAGCCGTATACAAAGGCCGTGGACTGGTGGTCCCTCGGCGTTATCATGTTTGAGATGATGAACGGCATTGTCCTCTTTGATGGTCAGTCGGAGAAGGAGCTCTACCGCAACATTTTGAATCAGCAGATCGATCTGCCTCGCACCATGAGCGCTGAGGCTCGAGCGACCGTGTCAGCTTTCTTGACGCGCCGCCCGGCTGAACGCTTGGGTGCTGGTCCCAGTGAGCGTCGCGATGTGCAAGCGACCCCCTTCTTCAAGGACATCGATTGGGCCAAGCTGGAGAAGCGCGCCGTTCCCCCGCCCTTTGCGCCCAAAGTGCGCGGCGCCAAGGACGCTAGCAACTTTGACCCCGAGTTTACGGCCGAAAAGCCGGTTCTCACGCCTGAGGATTCTCGTGCTTTGGCCGCCATTGACCAGGTCAGTCTATATCCGTGCTTCTTCTTTTTTTTTTTTTTTTTTTTTTTCTTTTTTTTTCTTTTCAAATGGCATTGACACGATCTTTGTCTTGATACCCATGCGTGTACCGAAGCCGTGTCTGCAGCCGTGCACTGCCTCACGCGTCACCCTCACCTCCATTGTCTGCGCGTTAGGACCTGTTCAACGGTTTCACGTTTGAACTGACAAGCACGCTATAATGCCCATGTGATTTGCATCATACCATCTGGATGAACGTGGTCGGCCTGGGATGTGTGTAGCCAGGAAGACTCTCTGGATGCTCGATCGGCCTCATTCCAAGCCTGTTATTTAGGCTCGGGGCTTCAGCTGCTTCTGTTTTGTAACTGTGCTCGTTTTTCTTGGTGCCGTTGTCGTCGTTTCATTGTTGCATGTTAACTCCATGCGCCCGAGTTGCCGTGCCTATCGCGCCCTCCTTCTTTTCTTCGCGTTAGTTTTCATTTTGCTCAAATTTTTACGTGCCTTTTTTGTTTCTTTCCCTTGCTCTTATGGCTGCCTTTTTTGCCTCCAATTGACGGCTGCCCTGATGTTTTTTTCCTGGCCAGGCATTTGCCGGTTTGCTTCGGTGTCCTGCCAACCAAAGCTTCCAAAAACGCATGGCTACCCATCACCACCACCGCAAACATCCTCAGTAACAAAACAAGCAGCAAGAAAAACAAAGAAAGGAAACAAAAGCACGCATCAAGCTTGTCATCTTCCAATAAGCACACAACATGCTTGACAACGCGCGTAACACAGTCAACACACAAAAAAGAGAGAGAAACACACACACACACACACACACACACACACACACACACACACACACACACACACACACACACACACACACTGAGAGTCGAAAAGGGCGGTCAGTACACGTGTCCGCTTTTGACATAGGTCGCGCGCCATGGGGAGCGGTTGACAGGGCGAGGGACACTGCCGCTCGGGGGGACAAGAAGAGGGGGGCAATTTCAGCGCATGATTGACCTGCAGCTCGATGCGCCTGATTCATATGCTTGGGTGTTGATACAGATCAAGATCGCAAAACAAGCATTTTTCCCCGGACCATACTGGGTTGGTTGATGGTCCCCCCCCCCCCCACCAGCCTTCAACGCCGCGGCTGCCTCTACCTGCATGTTGCATGCACCTCACTTGGCGATCCTTGGCCACTGCTCCTCTTAGACACTTTGAACCAGATACGACAGCCCCGGGGAACAGCGCTTGACACACCGGCGTCATGTTGAATGCTGGCTTTCGTCGCTCAAGCTTTCAAGAATACCCACAACTGCTCGGCAAGGGCCTGGGTCAGCGGGACAGCTTCGTGCTGGACGTGGTCGGCTCGCGTGGGGAGGTGCCGTCAGATCACGATGATACAGACCACCTACCCGAAGCAGAAACCGCCGACTTGGTCGCAAAGCTTGGACAACAAGAACTTGACCTTCATACAGACGACGCCGACACGGCCACCGCCACCAAGGTGCTCGCGCCCTCGCGCCGCTCGAGTGAGGAAGCCATCCACGTGCCAGCTCCTGCGCCACAGGCCGACCCCATCGAGACAGATCAAGTACCCACACACCAGCCCGCCCCGCAGGAGCCCGTCCCAACGCTGACCGTTTCACCGATCCCGGAGGAGCCGGCTCCCCTTCGTCATCCGCTTCAAAACTTGCTTCATTGCCCCGTGCACGAAGTCGAGGGTCAACCTACATATGGTGCGGTTCGCCAGACGACCTATCAAACTTCAAATCATGGGGCTGCCGTCATTAGCACGGCTTGCATTTGAGTTTACTCGACCTTGCTATCTTGCGACCCAAGATTTTCGGCTCCAGCCGTCTGTGACTGCGAGCCAAAGCATGTCTGCCCTCTGATATGGGCCCAAGAGCGCCATGTCCAAGCAGTCTGCTTCACCAGACTCGGTGTTTGAATAACCCACAAGCGCTCTATCCTATGGTGTTCCCCCACCCTTTTTAATTTGTTCTTGATTTGTCTCCTCCTCGTTACGAATTCCCCTTTGTCGTTTCGCCCTCGCCAGTCCCCTCCTGGTTTTGCTCGTAATTATAAGTTGCTTCTTCGTGATACCAGCGCGCCCTGCATCCTTGCTCTGGCTTGCCCGGCATCAGGTGGCCCGTGCTCACGCATAAGAGGAAGTGCCCTCAGACATCATGGCGTGATTCCAATATGGCATGGCCAGCTTCATATGGACCGTGTAGTTGAATTGATTGACCAGTAGATTGGTGCATCAACTAATTCGTTCCGTTTCTGCCACTCTTTTATTCTAAACAACTTGACATGCCCACCACTTGACGCCTCACAACCGACTTTCAGACGTGCTGATGGGAGCAGAAGCACTGCTGCGGCGCACGTGTTGCCGGACGTGTGCCGACGCACGAATTTTGAGCTCGGCGTCTTCCCCGGTGCCTGGAGTCCGCCCCGGAACGGGCTCGCCCAAGTTCCCGAGCTCAATGCGCTCCACACGCTCCTGAATGTCATCCCCTGCATCGTGGCAATCTGCCCCAAAATCATCGTCTGCCTGGCGCACGGGGATGTAGCCGGCCTCGTTGTGCCGTCGACGAAGCAGCCACCCAAAGGCCAGCATGGCAAGTAGGGCAAGACCAGCAATCACGGGCATGATCCTACTCACTCATCCCCGCCGTAGCGAGCATGTGCCAGCGTAAGGATTTGAGGCTAGACAGCCGAGTACCAGAAACGACGGCGGTGTCATCGTGGTCACGTACGACATGGCGACAAGGACAAAGGTGTGCCCTTCGTTTTCGTGATTGCGGACGCCGAGTCGGCTCGCTAGTGTAGCTAGTGTGCTTACATCTGCAATCCACCAATCCAGCACCGGCGCCATCCCCATGACTTGTCAGTGCCTCACAGCAAGAGACCAAGATTTGATAAGACGATCGAGGTCCTCACTTACAGGCCAAGCCGTCGCCCAGAAAGACGAGAAAAATGGAGGTGCCCGGTGTGCCAGTGGCGGCAATCAGGCGATCAAACAGCGCTCCGCTAAAAGGCACCAGTGCCAACAATGTTCCCATTCCTATCCTCGTCCCAAGCAGCAAAATTCATGATAATACAGCATCAAGCACCGTGCAGCTCACAAACTGCACAGAGAACTCGAGCATTATCAAACGCACCACAAAGAACAATAAAAGGCATGGCAGACAATCCGCCCGCGCCAAATAAAAGTGCATCACCACCGGCCAGTCCACAGCCCGTGACCACCATTGCCAAGCAGGCCAGGAACCCGCGCCTGGCAAGCGTAGCACAAATGCCAAGCGCACAAAGAGTTTGGCGTGCCAGATGGATGGCAAAAGTGAGTGGCATGCGCAACGAAATGAGGTGGGCGGGAAGTAGCGGGAAGGACGAGCATCATCTACTGGCGGGCCAAAACACGCAAAAGCAACCTGTTGTCCGCAATTCGTGAGAGGAGCAGAATAGCCAGCGACGCCAGCACGCCCCCTGACAGCAAGGAGCAGAGATGAACCATGTGGCTGTGAACGCAAAGCAAGCTCATCTGGGTGCGCTCCTGCAGCAAGCAGTCTGCCTCATGTTTCTCAGTTCGCTCGCTTTGTCTGCGGCAGGAGTCAGACTCGAACCTGGCCAATCCGCCAAGATGTAGTCGCTGCTCGTGGGAGCTCGACCAAGGAGATGGGAGTAAATGTCCACTGCAAAAAAGTCGCGATAGGATCGAAAGCTCAAGAGGAGCATATCTAACCCAGGGATGGCAATGGGCCGTCATCAGCTGGAGTGCAGTGCAGCAACTCTTGATAGGAAGACGTGCAGTTTGCACGTACAAAATAAAAAGACGGGGGCCAGCCCCAGTCCGTAACGCCGAAGAAAACGGCTGCGCTCTGCTGCGGGCATGGCCCGGCGCATGGTTCGAGCCTGAATGGATTCAAAACAAAAGGCTCGCCATGAAATCAGCGAAACTCAGCTACCGCGTTCCTTGCAGTGGAGGAGTGTGGACTGCCCCTCTTACCTCCTCGTCGGCGCGAGATGGTGGAGGAATGGCATCAAGCACGTAAAGCATGCTGATGTAGAGGGGGGCAAAGAAGATGACAACGAGCAAAGGCATGGCGCTAGGGGCTACGTATTGAAGAACGCTGGTGCCAATTGCACGGGCCGCAGCACTATGCATGCCCCAGGGGCCGTAGTGCAATGCAGACTATGAGAGTGCGACGACGACGTCGATTCTATGGCAGGGTGCATGGGTAGCTGCGAGTGCACGTGCGCGCTCAGCACTGAGCATAGCATCTCTGTGGCCGCACCTGCCAAAGACTACGACACCATTGAGGGCAGCGTTGAGGATCTCAGAGCTCTGACGCCCCTCAAAGTAGGTGAGAAAGCCACCAAACAGCCAGCTGGATGGGAAAGCGCCCAGAAAAACGCACACAATCTAGGAGTCGAGATGTCGGATGCACGATCATCAGCAAGTCTGATTGGACCAAGAGCGTTCAGAAGCTGGGGTTTGGAGATCAGTGAGCTTCAGGGAAGGAGGCGTGGACAACGGAATACCGTCACTGGCGGGGATTGCATCAGCAATGGGACAGTGGTCAAAGCCGCCGCCAACAAGAAAGCGGCAACCAGCAGCCGAAACCTACAGCTCAACACTCGTGAGCTCAACCAACGGGAAGATACTGCGCCATGGCTAGGCCGTAGTCCGACACCACGGCAGAGGAAATGTCGAGCGGCGGGCTGCTGGATGCAGTCACCCTACCGTTGACTGGGATTCAGGGTGCTGATGACCAGAATAGCCGGATACTTTGCAAGCGCCATGCCAAGCACGCTGGCAATAGATACGTAGGTCTTGACATCGGTCTACGCACAACATGGGCCGTGATCCCACGGACCGGAAGAAGTTCCAGGCAAGGCGATTGGCGGGGCGTGTCTCATCGGCAACTGACCCAAGTACCACCGAAATCGGCATCGTGCAGAAGATAAACGGGATATCGAAACATATAAACAGCACTGCGTACCGCGATGACAACAGAGGCAGGCCGTCACAGGACCGCGGCGGTGGGAGGCACCGATGCTTGCAAGAGCACACGAAACGAGCGCACGTACAGGTAAGCCAGCGGAGCAGCAATGGCCGGGATCACCACGCTGGCCGTGGCGTTGTTGGCCATCAAGGCCCGCAGCCGCTCGTGTGCCCCCATGCTGCCCAAAGTGAACCTGCCGCTGCTGCAACGCCCGCCACCGCTAATCCTGCCACAGTCCCTGCCGTCGACATTTACGACTGCCACCACCACATCTGCATGCTCGCGCGCATTTCGACGACCGAGCTTCTGGGGGCGCTTAATTTGAAATCAGTCCCCTCAAACTTAACACAACTGATCTCGTCCTTAATCTAAAACTGGTATCTTCAAACTTAACATGGACACGGAGCCTAATCTGAAATTAAATTCTTCAAAATTAACAAATCTTGGGGGTTCTGATAAAAGCAGAGAGCTGCTTGTAGTTTACGAGTGCACGCACCTGCGCTGCTCAGCTGGGAGACGGGCTTGCAGACAGGGAGAGCCGATCGACGGAGAGCGGGCGTGGCCGTAGTACAGCCGGGGGAGGACGGTGGTGGGTGAGAAGAAAGGCCGACAAAAAAGGTGGATTGTTTTCAAATTAGCGGGACTGGTGGTGCTGAGCGTGCTGTTGTGTGGCAAGTGGCCTTGGCTGGTTGATCTCGGCCACGAAACACCTTGCAACATGGGAGCGGTTCGCTGGCAGCTGGTGATGGTGGGCGTGCTGTACTTTACCCAATGCCTGGCGTTTTGCTGCGTCACGTTCTTTACCGTTTACTTCCAGGCGCAGGGGCTTGACCTGCATCATGTGGGCATTATCATGGGCGGTATCTACCCGACCACGCAAATGGTGGCCCAGCCGTTGTGGTGTCAGCTTGCCGACCGTTTGGCGGCCCCCAAGGCCATCATTCTCATCTCCTTGGTGCTCGGGCTCATTGGTATTGGCTCCCTCATGTACGCTGAGAACTTTTTCCAATTGGCACTGTTCACGGGGATCGGCGCCGCCCTAGGTGCGGCCGCCAATCCCTTGTTGGACGCCACGACTATGCAGACCTTGCTGGACAACGACGTGACCCTGGACAACTACGGCAAATATCGCGTTTGGGGTGCCGTTGGCTATGGTGTGTCAGCGGTTATCATGGGTCCTTTGATGGATGCTTTTGGCCTTGACATGCTCTTTTATTGCCTGGCCGGTTTTACGGCCGTTTTCTTCCTGTGCGTTCTTGTCTTTCCCTTTCGGACCGATGCCAATGCCCACCTAAGACCCGAGCAAACCGCTGCGGTGCCTGCATCGGTCAAAGATGAGAAAGAGCCTTTGCTTCAAAAGGCACCTGCTGGCCCTGTTGAAGATTGGCACGAGGGGGTGGCAAGCGTTAACCACCAAGCGGCTGTGGCCAATGAGAACGAGCAACCCTGTGCCAACTCAAACCTCCCTCCTCGCAAACTCTCGATCTGTGAATATCTGCATGCGCTGGCACAGCAACCCACCGTGGGATTGTTCTTCCTCCTCGTCGTTCTCATGGGAACTGGCAAGGGCGCCGTCGACACCTACCTCTTTCTGTATCTGGAAGACATGGGCGCCACCAAGACCTTGCTGGGCATTTCGCTCGGCGTCACCACCATTTCAGGTAAGGCCCGCTCCCGCATGGTGCCCTGCATGATTGCGCTTTGGGTTGACCAGCAAGCCTCATTCCACCGCGCTCTCCTGGGACGACGTAGAGCTTCCCTTCTTTTTTTACTCGGGCTACATGCTCAAGAGATGGGGCACCATCTCTGTGATCACGCTCGCGCTCTTTGCATATGCGGCACGCCTGGGTTATTATGGCACGCTTCAGCACCCCTGGCTCGTCCTTCCTGCCGAACTACTCCATGGTATTACGTTTGGCCTCTCCTGGGCGGCCATGGCATCGCACGCTGCCGCCATCGCCCCTCGCGGCTACACAAGCAGCACCCAAGCTCTGGCGTCGGCTGCCTTTTTCGGTCTGGGGTTTGCCATCGGTACGGCCGGCCCGCTCTTGTCCCCGTGCGCCTGTATCCTTGACATGGACCTCAAAGAATGCCCCTCACCCAGACTGGCCAAACTTTGAGTGGAAAATGTTGTCAAGCAAGTGTCTCACCCTTTCCACTTTGATCTGGCCTGCCTGCACCCTCTCTGTTTTTCAGGTTCCTTGGCCGGTGGCTTTGTAGCCGAGGCCGTGGGAAATAGGATGCTTTTTTTGGGCTTGAGTGGCGTTCTCCTTCTCGTGGCCTGTACTACCATGCTCTACGTCTGCTGCACAAGCCGAGGACGGCCCTTGTAGCTCGACTTGCAGAGTCATGCACGGCTGGTCTCTTTCGAGTATGGTGCCAGCTATCAGGACAATTCGCTCTTACACGTATCGACACCATGTTCGTGTCTCTCTGTGTCTCTGTGTCTCTGTGTCTCTGTGTCACTGTGACTTTATATGAAACTTTAATGACTGTTTCTCCTTTCTGCCTCTCGATCCCTCCATCACGCTCTCCCTTAATTCTCCGCCACGATCTACTCCTTTTACTTTACCTGTTTTAGGAAACAGAGCTTGTTTTTGTTTTTCTTTGTTGTTTTTCAATTTTTGTCGTTTTTGATGAAAAATTTACTTTTCACACACACACACATGAGAGAGAGAGAGAGAGAGAGAGAGAGAGGAGATGAAGTGAGAGAAACGGCAGCGGCATGGGGTTTGCACCGTTGAATCCGTCGTGGCTCTCGAGGCAGTTACCTCTGGTGCTGATGTTATCAACACTGGCTTTTTCGCCAAACCACGTTGATGCGACGGTGGCCGAGGGAGACGCGACTCGGGCTCTGTCCGAGACAGAGGCCGCTCGGGTGGCTCTGCGGGTTGAAGAGCGGGGTTGGCATGAGTTGGACGTGGTTGCTCTTCGACAACACGCCGTGCCTGTAATCTTTCGTGCCGGGTTGACTTCCAATAGCTTTGATGACACCCCCTTGACCGCGCTCGTGGGGCTCAATCGAACGCTCGCCACTGCCACCCAGCCCCTGCGCCACGTGCATCGGTTCGTGTTTGCCCGCATATTCCCCTCCACCACTCCGTGACGCTGCTGGACCCCTCACAAGGAGCCAAGATACATGCTTTCTGTGAACATGACAGTCGCCGCGATGGAACGCTGTTTGAGCACTTTGATGACGAAGCACCGCTGCAACGCATACTAAAACTGCAACCCGGCTACGAGGTCGTTCAAGCCACCCCATCCCAGGTGCAGCTCCAGCTGACTAGTCCCAGGCCTTCACGGGCCCTGCTGCTGTTGGCCCTGAAAGTGACTGTGCAAACATTCACCCGGGTACCCTGCACGCGTGTGTACACAAGGTTTTGACCCCTGCACCCGGCACAGCGACCTACTGGTCAGGTGCACTGCACACCTTACTGCCCGATGGGTGGCCCGTGGAAAAAGACCTGGTTGTCGGCCAAACCTGGCTCGCCTCCAAAATCTGGCTGAGCAGCCCGGGCGTGCGGGTGCCTCAACATTACGATAGCTACCACAACATCTTTGGTCAGAAACCACCTGTGATGTAGTGCGCCGTGACGCCTGTTCGCTGCTAACCTCTGTACTCATCATCTGCTCGTTGTACAGCCCAACTGAGTGGACGCAAGACGGTGCACTTGTCGGACCTAGATAGCCTCAGTCAACTACAACTCCACTCATCGCTCCATCCAGGATATCGACAGAGCCAGGTCTGCGGCATCATTCTGAGATGAGGGATCTGGATGTTTGTCGTTTTGCTGTATGTCGTGCCCTTTTTCTTTTGGATTCACCTTTGAAATGTGTTTGCGCGGGCTGATTTCAACTCCATGTCTCAGATCACTTCGGCACCGTGCTTACCCTCGGCGCTGGGACTTGAGCCCGGGCTGGCCGATAAATGTAAACGCGTACGAGGTCGGGCCCTGGAGCTGGGTCCAGGGGACGGTATGTGCAGCAGCAGCAACAGTCATCCCGAAATGCATGCACAAAGAGGGAAGGTGTGGTCTGGTCTCGCCTGGGCTGGTCTTGGGGGCAGATTGGTCAACCCTGGCTCAGGTACCATTTTCATTCCTTGTTGTGCGTGTAGGACTTTACATTCCGCCGTTTTGGCCGCATGGCGTGGCGTCAGAGACGGCATCCCGCTCCCTCAATGTGTGGTCCAGTGAGCCCAATGTTGAACTCGCAGAAACTCTTTTCAAGCAACCTGTGCCGCTAGAACCAGACTGGACGCTCTCAACCAAGGCTGCTGTCCTCCATCGACTACTGGTAGTGTCGGCTCGGCAGCAGGGCTTTGAACCTGCTGCGCTGGGCCATGAACTGGCCGACCGCTGGAAACACGCTGACGCTTTGAGCTGGAGCAACGATGAATTTTGCGTCTGCTGCGCTCCAGAGAGTGGCTGGCCGACCGACCTAGATCAACGGTCAGCGCGGTTCCAAGGCGTGCTTGCCCACCGATTGGCTGGCTTACCGCTGCCCGTGCAGCGTCTCTACTGGCTCGACTTTGCCGAAGAGAGTATGGCCTATCTCGTCGACGATCGTGCCGTTCTCGCTTTGGCCACTTGTCTCACCCTTGCCGATGCCTCGCGGGTCGAGATCGAGCATCATGAACTGTAATGCGTTTCCATTTTTGCAACCTGTGCGTGCAGCCCGCCAATTGATAGATGAACCACAACCGCGATCTCATTGCGACTGACCCTTTCATTAAAGAATAAAGGGAGAATCCGGGGCTCAACAAGACGGGGCGGAAAGCCGCCAAACGTTCAGAACGTTCAAAAGCCAGCCAGGACGTGCGCCATAGAAAACACACACACACACACACACACACACAAGATTCTTCTCCTAAATGAACCTTTGCGCAACATTCATGTGCTCTTTTTAATTGCTCAAACTCTCTCTAACACTCTCAAATTCGCAACATTCATGTGCTCTTTTTAATTGCTCAAACTCTCTCTAACACTCTCAAATTCTCTCAAACTCTCTCAAAGTAGTTTCTCATTCTCTCAAACTCTCTCTAACTCTCTCAAACTCTCTCTCTTAAACCCTCTCTCTCAAACTCTCTCTCTCTTAAACCCTCTCTCTCAAACTCTGAACAACTCATTCCAATGTGCTCTCTCATTCATTTGTAAACCCCCCCCACCCCCTGCATTCGTTCATCATCTATTCGCCCTTCCTGTCTGCCCTGCCTGCCCTGTCTGCCCTGCCTGCCCTGTCTGCCCTGCCTGCCCTGTCTGCCCTGTCTGCCCTGTCTGCCCTGGGTCGGGTACAAGTGCTTGTGATTGGGGTGCGTGACGGTGGCGAGGGTGTAGGTTTCACCTGAAGGACGCTCTGGGCGCAGAGCCGGCACAATGGTGATAAGAGCCATCCTCGTTTAAGCGTTGTTGTGCCCTTGCGTGCCTGTCCTGCCACTCGCGTGCCCAAGACCGCACGCTCTGGCCAATGCTCCGTCACAATGGACAGGTCGCCGCTTCACTTCAGCCCGCGAACCGTGCGGCAAAGATTTGGCGCCTCTCTACTTGCTCCTCGTGTGATATCCTTGTTGTTGCTGCTGCTGCTGTGCAGCAGCCGCGCTCAGGCAAACCTCTTTCTCGTTACCTCACCCGAAGACCATGGTACGCACCTGCTTGGGACCTGTTTCGGTGACTCGACCACTGCACAGGGATGATTCGTCCCCTCGTGTGCCTCATGCCTTTTTTTTTTTTTTCTCGTGCCCCGTCTTGCCGCGTCCCTACACTTGGTTGCTGACCTCGATCTGTTCTTCCCGTGATGCCAACAGGCATCAGTACTGTTGAGGGCACCTTATCTTGGGCACTCGCACAGGCCGAAAACTCTGCCCAGCCACCCACCATCAACTTTGCCGTGGACAGCGTCACCGTCTTTCAGGGCCTTGCCAACCTGACTCGCGCCAACATTACCCTCTCTGGCCAACGAGCCAATGGAGCATGCACCACACTCCGATGGCCGGTCACCCTATCCCCGGTCACCACCACCGCAGCCCTTTCCGTTTATGGAAATGGCACCACCATCGATTGCTTGAAGATGGAGTTGAACAAGGTGGTGAGCGGTCTCTTCCTTTCTGCCAGCCACAGTACCCTGTCTCGCATCGTTGCCACCAGAAGCAGCTACATCGGCATCCGGGTCAGGGGCTGGCACAACTTGATGTCCCAAAATGAAGCTCACAATTGTTCCTGGCATGGCTTTTCACTCGGCGGAGGGGACTCAATCATCGAAGGGATTTCCGCCCAGAGTAATGACATCATTGGCGTTTCCGTCTTGCTCCAGCAGAGCGAGCTTCGCAATGGGCTACTTCTCGCCAATGGCCACCAAGGCTTGGTCATTCGCGGCAACGACTTGCTTGTTGAAAACTTTACCACAAGTCTCCACGCAACCTACGCCAGCATTTATGCGGTGCAAGCTACCAACGTTGTGCTGCGCAATATCGTGGCGTACACCAATTTTGGCGGGGGTATCATGACGGCTGCCAGCCACGTTCTCATGGACCAAATCGCTTGCCATCGGATGGAACAACCGAACCGCGTGTACGTTAACGCCTATTTTTGCATCTGCGTTCGGGCGGAAGCGGTCAATACAACAGTCCGGGATAGCATCCTTTTTGGCCTCGCCACCGTTCTTCTGATTCAAGGCACAGACACGCTGTTGGAGAACTTGAACATCAATTGGGCCCTCAACTCGGATGGTCTTCCCTTCGCTCTTGGATTCAATACATGCAACATCATGCTGGCCCCGTCGACCAACAATACAATCATCCGCAACGTCAAGTCCTTGGCGCAATTGGGAGGGTATGGCCTCAACATTTCTGGAACCAACACCCTGGTAGAGGATTCCTTCATTGGCCATTTCGCTGATGATGTCGGTCTGAACATGGCGCTTGCCGTCTACATTCACCACACCAGCAGGAACACGCTCCTCCAGGGCTCTGACCGGTTCTCTCTAAGGCTTCAAGCCACCGTTGGCCTCGAGACCTTTGGGCAAAACGTCACGGTGCGCAATGCCACCTTCAACAACAACATGTACGAGCCAACGACCATGATCCGCGTGCGCGGAGGCTCTTGTCAGCTTGCCAACGTCCTCCTTGCCAACAACTCAGGCACCACACTTGCCGTCAATTACCTGCCCTTCGGTACTGCATTGGTGGTTGAAAGCGGGGCCGAGTCGTTTTCCATGACAGACAGCGCAATACATGGTTCCTGCGATCAAGGTGAGCCCCTGGGACGAGGCATCGTGGTCGAGCCTCATCAATATGGAGCTGCTGCCCGCGTTTTTTCCAGACTGGATTGTGATGCCATCAAAAATGAATCCATCGCCCTCTTGGGTGCTGCAACTTTGAGCCATATACGCCTGGGCCAAGCCACACAGTGCACCAAATTTAACGGTGGGCGCATGGTCCTCGACGGCGCTAACGACAACGCCCGTCTTGCTGAGACCACAATCCAAGATCTTATTTTGTGGGGCTCTGCAGCACGACTTGAGATTCGAAACGCCAATCGCCTCAATGTAACAGGCTGCTCACTGACCGATCCCAGAAGCGTCTATCAAAATATGTCTCTGTCTGCAACTGCCGTGTCCTTGCGGAACGTGACAAACAGCAGGGTAACAGGCCTCATCGTACCTGAGACCCTGGGTGCGGCTGCCGGGCTGAAGGTTGAGATGAGTCACAACATTACGATCGAGAACCCGCATATTGTTCTGTCAACCACATGGACCGACAAAGCTGTAACCGTTGCGCCTTACCAGAGTGGCTTGGCCATTCTTAACAGCGAAAGGATCTTGGTCAAAGCTCCCACCATTCTCTTTGCCCTGCCTCACACGTCTGTCGTTTTGATCGACGAGAGAAGTCGATACGTTCTTCTCGTGGGTAGTGTCATTTACTCCATGGTGTCTAACACCACCTTGGTGACCGCAGCTGGGTCCGACATATACATCAGCAACTCTGAACTGACGTTCCACCCTCCTCAAACCAGTACCACCTGTATCCACGCCACAGACACCAGTACTAATGTGATAGTTGGTGTCCGTGTGCCCCAGTTACTATCTTGGAGTACGGCGCAAGGCACGGTGCTTTGTGCCAATGCCTCCATTGGCATGCTCAGCGAAGCAAAAGCCATGGCCGTCGTGGCAGCTTGGTTTGCCGACGTTGGCCAAGGCGTTGTCCATGCCTCGGCAGTATCTGCCACCTCATCTGCTGCTGTCATCCACGATTCAATTTTCACGGGACACATGGATGTGGCCATTGTACACCAAAGTGCACAGCCTCTGCGAGTGTATGGCAATTTTGCGACTCGCCTTCTCGGGGACTCCAGGTACGTTTCTCCCTCTATCTTCCTGCCTCCTCGACGCACGCACGCACGCACAGACACACATGCATACACACATACACACACACACCTGCTTCCTTTGCTTATGGAGAAATCTCACGCCGTGCAATTGTACAACCTAAAGCACACCTCTGGTGGCCATCTTTGCTGAAGACCACCTTGAGCAGCTGCGACTCGAGGCTGGCCCCCTGGTTCCTTTTCCAGACGCCTTCCAAGACGAAGTTACCCATACCGCGCCAAGCGTCGGGAACTATGCTACGGTGTCGCTCCTCGATATCGACTATTCGTCTACATTGGATATGATCAAACCCATCAACTTTTGGTTGACGGGCTTGACCAGTTTTCATTTCCCCGTGCCGAACGCGATTTTGCCATTCAGCCTCATGTCCTTTGTGTCAGGAAATCCTTTCTGTCCCCCAGTAATGACCGATGATCAGCCACAAGCACCTGTTTCCCAGACTCTGGTCGCATTTCAGATTGAGTTCCACGTGCCCTCGACCACGACACTCAATGTGGATCCCTGGGCAGGCAGCTTCATGATTGTGGCACGCCCTCCGGGCGCGAGCAGTGACACGTGCTTTCGCAACTCTTCCACGGTGGAGCTTTTGTTACATGAAGGGACAAATGACACGGCTAGCCGCTTGGTATCTCGCGCAGAACCAGGTGGAACGACTGTGGTGACGTTTGCTGCAAATTGGACCTGGATATTGGCTCGGTTTGCTCTCACAGACTTTACCGGGGTTCGAGATTACACTTGGTTCGTGGGCTGGGCTGTGGACGCCAACCACACTATGATATCCGACTTTTTTACGGTCCCTTCTGAGCTGGTACCAACCAGCTCAAAAATGACTTCGGCTCACATTGAAACGTCGTCCAGCCCCATCATCTCCCAAGCAGTCGACCATGGTGTGCACCGTTGATTTTAATCTCTCACCATCTCCCGATCTCAAGTCTCACATCTTGCTGCTTCTTACTTGATAGGTGTGGAGGCCGTGGTGGGCAGCTTCTCATGGGCCTTGAGCGTGAACACGTTGTTTACGTCCATTCCAGTTTTTGGTGCCATCAACATCACGGTGACAGCCGATCTGCCCAGCATCTCCAGCAAAGTTTTCCTCAACGGTCTTTTGGCAAAGCGTGGGCCAGTCTTGATCAACGACGCCCGGCATCCTAACACAACGCAACCTTTTCTGACCATGGAAGCTGGTGCGGTGATGATCAATGTCGTGGTGAACAATGCCTTGGTCGAAGGCGTGCGCATGTTTGGTGACCGCAGTGCCTTGCAACGATCTGTCATCGCCAACAGCCGTGGCATTGGTGTTCGGGTGATCGGAAATTCGGCGTTCCTCATCGCGCTTCACGTCGACAAAGTCGCGCGTGAGGGCATTGTCGTAGAAGGTCGTCATTGCCTTCTAAACGCTGTCAATATCACACAGGCCAAGGAAACGGCTTTGGTGTTGACCGGCCAAAGTAACACTGTGCAGTTACCTCGGCTGTTGAACAACGCCATGTGCTTGAACGTGACGGGTCAGCACAATATCGTGTCACAAGCTGGCGAATGCACTATGTATAGCTCGAATACGGGCGTGATAGTGAGGGGCTACAACAACTCGCTGACGCTCAGCATCATGGTCCGAGTCACCATCAACAGCATCGACTCGCTCAATCTCTCTTTGGCACCGTGCAGGAGCGATGACAGCGCTGTGTGCCGCGCCCAAGCCCGCCCATTTGTGATTGTTGGAGGATCACGCAACACTATTCGCGACTCGAGAATTGTGGATGGTTTTAATGGCTCTACAGCTTCTGTGTGGCTTGATACAGATGCCAAACTACCCGCAGTGTTGGCATGCCAGATTGAATCAGCCGTCAGCGCCCTGCACATCGAAGGAACATCAGTGACGCTTTCTAGCACTCGAGTGATGGCCAACCTCATCGACGCCACTCTCGAGCGCGGCATCGTGATTGGCAACTCAAGTGTGGGCGTGAGACTTGAAGGAGTTCGCATCGTTGCCGCGCGCTGCTTGGAGTCCTGGGGTATGGAGGTCTCGATCGAATCTAGTCAATGTATTTTGCAAAGCTTAAGCCCGAACCCCTCAGGATCGTGTGTGGGTATCGCGCTCCTTGGCGGCACGGCGACGGTGGCACAGGATTCTTATGTTGCCTTTTCGGTCTGTCAAGGTCAAGACAGGGCCTATGGTGTGCACGTTGGCTCTTCTACACTCCAGGCGACCGTGAATGACCTTCACACTAGCACTGTCACTGGCGAATGTCCAAATGCAAATTTTCTTAGCACCAGCATCCTCGTTGATGCGCACGAGTACGGAGCCACAGCGAGGTCCTTTGCTCGTGTCAGCTCCCAGTACACAGCGCGCTCCATGCTTTTGCTCGGACCAGCCGTCGTAACAGACAGCCAGCTGGGCAATGAGGTCATGACATTTTCTTGCGACTGGCCCAATGATCATGTGGACGTGCGCGGTGTGCGCTCTGCATTCGGCACGGCCGTGTTGCTGAGCAACTCCTCCTTGAGCCAAGTCAGGCTGAACAATAGCGACGATGTGCAACTACACAACCTAACGTGGATGGTGCCCTCCGCGCTATACCCACTGCTGAGTGTCAAGCATAGTCGGCGGGTGTCAATCAGCAACGCAAGCTTGGTGACTCAAATTTCAGCCGCAAGTAATTTCAGCTTGCTAAATATTGATAGCTCAACGGAGATTGTTATGCAGAACAGTAGATTCCTCGTCTCTTCCAAGAGCAGCTCAGCCAATGTCGTGCCTGCAGCGCACGTTCTCCAGATCATGGACAGCTCAGATGTGCGCTTGCTGCGCAGTCGATTGGAGGGTGATTCCGGCATCGAGGCGTGCACTCGTGTGTCTGCTGATACAGCAGGTGTGGAGTTAGTCGACAACACTTTTGTGTGCTCCGGGCCAAAGATTTTGGTCATAGACGGTCAGCGTGTAGAGATTTCGAACAACCACCTGTCAGGCGATCGGGGCGTCACGATGGGCATTGATGTTGGGTCCACTGCGCAAACGATCCAGATCGGGCGCCCAAGTGGACCGTTGATGATTAATCGCACGGGTTGGAATTATATTGAAGCCCTCAGCGTGGGCATGCACCTGTCCGGCTCTCACATGCGTGTGCGAGGAACCGTCTTTGCGAATTGCAACACTGGCATTATCATCAACGGTTCAGACCTGGTGGTCGGTGGCAGTGATATGATCGACCGCAACGACTTTTCAGGTGGCTACGTGGGCGTCCACGTGATTCACACTGATGAAGCGATTATGCACAAGAACATCTTTGGTGCACCACAAGAAACGTCATGGTTTGTGCTTCGCGCCCGTGCTCTGACCCGTGTGTTTGCCTTCATTTGAGCTTAAAGCGAGACTTGCTCCTGCTCGCAAAGAGGGTGTGCCCACGTATGCGCATAAACTGACCCCCACCTCCCCCCACTCAAAAAAAAAAAAAATCGTGCCATGCGCTCCATAGGTCTGCCAACGCGACGACTCATGGCATTTGGTTCACAGATGCAACTTCTCTGATTAGCTTCGACTCAGCCCTCCTGGTGGCCAAGCCAGATTTGACGACCCTCAGCAATCTGCAGGCCTTGTCTGTTCCCAGCTTCTCGCCAGTGGCTCTCAAGTGGGCAGTTGGGTGGCCCTTCAGCGAAAGAGCTACCAATCCCATGATGACACAAGCAGAATCATTGCTCGTCGACTTGAATGGCCAGTTCTATCCCCACCTGGATGACCTCAAACTGAGTCTACAATATTCGCGCCTACCGCCGCGCTCCACGGGAACCCTTAAAGCTACGGCTGATAACGGACGCTTGAGCATGTTCATCATGCAACTACCTACGCCAGTAGCGCCCAGTTTGGTGGCCGCCGGCCAGTGCTTTGCGTATTTTGGTTACAATTCTGGACATTTAAGTTTTACCAACGCGGACGCTGGACCGGATCCTGAGGCGCAGTCTTCTTCGGGCGTATTGAGCATTTCAGTTGGCTTTCCCACAAGCATAGTTGGTTTGCTAGGCGTCGAAGTGGTCAGCGTGATCTGTAACTTTGGGGCCGTGGGCACAGCCGTAGGCTCGGCCACATATGAAGAGCTGCACAATACGACCACAGGGAGTGATGACGATGATGATATTGATGACGACGATGCCGAAGTTGAGCCGTCTTCTTCCCCGACAGTTCGTGCTGAGCCGACAGAACCCACAAGTCCTGCGCAAACGACTGCGTCAGGCGATGCTGGTCTACGTTCTGCCAAGAGCAGTGGCGCCGGTGCGACAGCCGTTGCGGCAGGTGCCGCAGCAGGGGGCGTGCTTGTGTTGGTTTTGGTGGTGGCCCTGCTTGCTCGATACCGTCGAAGGCGACACCAGCTTTTGCCCACCTCGGCTGAGGCGGAACTGAGTGAGGCTGCCATCCAACGCGTACTTGGCGTGGTTACGGATGCGCCTGTTCAAACAGCCAACGACTTGCGCCAAGAAGCGCAAGGCCTGATCTTAAAGCACAAGCATATTGAAATACAACGCACTTTGGGATCAGGGCAGTTTGGCGTCGTGTTTCAGGTGGGTTTGTCTTAAAACGCCATCCCGTCTTTTCTTCGTTCTTCTTTGGCTCACTCGGCCGCATGATCCTTCTTTCAGGCACAAGTGCGGAAAAATGGGCAGCTACTGACCGCGGCCGTCAAGAAGGCCGTGGTGGGCGAGACGGAAGAGGTAGGTTCTAGCCTTCCAAGATTGACCGCAAGAAAGTATCAAGTGATTGCAACATCAAGACTCTCATTTCCTGTCTTTGTAGGTGTCGCGGCAGCTCAACATCGACTTGTTGGCAGAGGCCTACCTGCTCATGCTGGCCAAGCCGCACGATCATGTTGTTGGACTGCTGGGCTTTCATCTAGCTGGGTTAGTGCTCCCCGCCCCAACTCGTTGAGACGCATTATTGCGTTCACCATCTCACGTGCGACACTCTGCCCCGTGTATACTCGTGTGTATACCGCGGGTTCCTAGATCATCCGTCTTGGTTGCCCTCGACTTTGCCAAAGGCGGCGACCTGGAGTCATATTTAGCCTCCTTGGCTGCTCGAGACGCTCAGGTTCGCTTTGAATCAACTGTTATGGTGTGGTATGCGTTGATTCCAATAATGAATGCCTTGAGCTCATAAGCAAGACACGTTTTGCAGGAGCCGTGGCCATGGAAGCTGGCTGCAATCGCCCAGATTGCTTCTGGTCTGGCGCACCTTCACGCTGTTGGCATTGTGCATCGGGTAAGCCGATGGTTTGGCCAAGCACAAACAACGCCCAAAATAGATAAGAAAGGCAATAAAAGGAACGCTCGCGCAACTTGGACGGCGTCAATGACTGTTGGTCATATGTCGTACATAGGATGTGGCGACCCGCAATGTTTTGCTCAAGAGTAGCAAGCCTTTGCACCTGGTCTTGACAGACCTTGGTCTTGCTCGTGCCATCAACGAGTCAATTTACTACAAGCAAACTTCCAAAACGGCAGTGCCGTTCCCATGGATGAGCCCAGAGTCGCTCATTAATCGCCGTTCCTCACCAGCGTCGGATGTGTGGTACGCTATGTCGGCTCAGCGTACGCCGTGTCACCGCGTACCCCCACTGCTTCTCACAATCGACGTGCTTGCCGAACAGGAGCCTGGGTGTCACGGCCTGGGAGATTTGCTCTAATGGTGCGCGCCCTTGGGGTGGCATGGAGCCACAAGACATTGTGCTTGCCGTTCACCGTGGCCAGCGCCTGGCCATTTCCAACAACTGGCCTGAGCAGATCCAAAGGTACTTTGCTGTGCCTTTTTTGCTATGGTGCCAACAGCAAGGTCATGATTAGTCAGCTTGGACATGTCCCATCTCACACTTGCATGGTCTTGGCAGCCTGCTTCGTTCTTCTTGGGAGCTTGACACGAATCTACGTCCCTCAGCCCGAGACTATGTTTCCAAGTTACCCGCTGTTGGGCGCACGTTCTCACTTGCATGGCAAGATGATCAATTACATTCGGTAAGCGGTTGTGGGTTCTTTGTTATTGCTTGATTGTTTTTGTGGCTCTTCACCTCCTTCTAACCATTACATGGCGACGCATGGGTGGCTGTTAGGAAACGGCGCTGTAAGTCCTGTGACGTTGAACTCGCACAAGCCAAGAAAGAACGATCTTAAATCCAAATTTATTCACGTCAATTTTAGTTTTGCCTCCTTTTTGGGATTCTCACGTGAAGGTGGCAGGGATTTATCAAAACATATTGCCGGCCCGCGGCGGCGCTCACGGGAGCGCAGGAGAGTGGCACTGTTGATGTTTGGAAGAAGCCACGTTTGCTCCAGTTCACCAGTTGACTGCGTGGGTGCAGCGATTCTCAGGCTTGTTGCGAGCCATATACGCTCGCGTCTCGTTGTAAATGGTTAGGATGACCCCCACGACGATTGGGGGAACCCAGCCCTGCTCGCCGACGGGCGCCGCCCCTAGAAAGTCGTTGAGGCCGGGAACGTAAACGAATAGGATGGCCAAACTGGTGGTCAGAGCGAGGGCAAAGTAGGTGATGGAGTTATCCCAGCTGTGTTTGAAGATGGACGTCTTGATTGAGCGCAAGTTGAGAAGGTGAAACAACTGGCCAATGACAAGCGTCAAATACCAAGCGGCACGAGCTCGTTGCAAGATGGTGTCCTGGCGATCGGGGCCAATGCCTTCAAAGTCATCGTCGCCCTCGGCAAAGTCATCGTCTTCAAACACCAAATCAGAGAGGCTCAAGCCATTGCTCCAGAAGACCCAGCTGTAGGCCAAAAAGCACCCAATCGACAATATCACACCAGCCTGGAGATATGCATAGATAAGCAGCTTGGCAGATACGAGGCGGTCAGTTGCAATGTTGCGCGGCGGGCGAAGCATGATGTCACGCTCCGCTGGTTCATAGGCCAAGGAAATGGCCGGCGCCAGCTCGGTAAAGAGATCGATCGAGAGAATTTGTAGCGTGGTGAGACCCGCAGGTAGACCCAGAGCCAAGGTGAGCAGCACGGGCAGGATCTCCGGCAACAGATGGGCCAGCGTGTAGGCGATGGTTTTCTTGAGGTTGTCAAAGACCAGACGACCCTCTTCGATTGCGCGAACAATTGAGGCAAAATTGTCATCCATGAGCACCACATCAGCAGCTTCTTTGGCCACCTCCGAACCCTGGATGCCCATGGCTACGCCGATATCTGCTTGCTTAAGCGCCGGGGCGTCATTAACGCCGTCTCTGTATGCGAGAAAATTGTGGCACATCAAATAAGAATGAGGACAGTTGGTGATCATTGGCCGGCCGTAAAGAGGGCTAGCATGGCTTGGCTGGTGGGTCCCAAACGGCATCTCTTACCCCGTGACAGCAACGACTTGTCCAAATTCCTTGCACTTGCGAACGATGTAGAGTTTGTCTTGAGGAGTAGTGCGAGCAAAAACTGTGCCCATGTCACGGCTGAGAATGAGGCGCCAGTCCTCGGCCGTCAGTTTGGAGACATCAGGTCCCTTGATGACGCGAAGTCGATTGGGGTTGATGCTGTCCTGGGCCGGACTGACACCTTCAGAAGAGTCTGACTCTCGCTTCGCCGCCCGCTTTGGCAAAATACCCACCTGCGATGGTGATCCGCCACAATCCGGGTATCAACAAGAATTGAGACGAGACAGCTACCCCCCTGATGATCCACCTGACCCCCGTGCGCGTGTGAGCTGGTTTCGCACCTGTATTGCAATCGCCTCTGCCGTCAAAGGGTGGTCGCCTGTGACCATGAAGACCTTGACGCTCGCCTAGCAATCGCAAGTGACGATGTGAGCACACCCCTCCTTGATTGGCCCAAACAAGCTCGTGCAAAAGACAAAGTGGGGGGCTAGATTCCAACCAAACGCAGATCAAGCACGTACCGTGTGGCAAGCCTCGATGGCATCGCGTACGCCCTCTTTGGGCGGGTCCATGATAGCCGATAGCCCCACAAAGTGCAAGTCTCTGTGAAACAAGGAAGCGCGGAGTCAGGGGTTAGCAGTGGCAAGGTGCAAGCACCTGAGCAACTCAAGGAGGCAGCACGTTAGAGGCTCGGGTTTGACGGTTTTCACGCACGAGGTGGGAAAATTATTCGCCTCTTCGTTGAACTTGACGTCATCTGAGGCTTGAAAGTGCTTATAGGCAAAGCCAAGCACACGACGGCCCGACGCTCCAAAGCGATTGTAGGCAGACATGAACGCATCCTTAAAGTCCTCGTCAATTTGGCGCGTTTGGCCGCGAAAGAGGTAGGTGCTGCATTTGCTGAGCATAATCTCCGGGGCTCCCTTCATGAGCACCGTGTATCCGTCTTCCGTAGGCTGCTTGACAATGACAAGGTGCCACTTGTTGCGAGAATTGAAGGGGATTTCGAACACAACGTTGTTGGCATCGCGCACGCGCTGAATCGAGCGCAGACCGTTGCAAAAGCGCAGCAAAGCCACCTCGCTGGGGCTGCCAAAGTACTGATCCTCCTGCCCCCCAAACTCTGTGCGGCTGTGATGACCAGCGGCATTGGAGGCATGGCGCGACTGGCCCCCGCTGGCGTGGCTGCCTGAGCGTTGGTAGCGTGGATCAGATGCAGACGGGTAGTGCGAAGAGGAATCATGACTCAAGGGGTGCGAGCCAAGCATGGGTTGGTTGTTGGAGGCCGAATCCTCTGCTCGCTCGATAAAGGCTTTGTTGCACACGGAGCTGACAAGGTGGAACATGTCAAATGTATTGGGCACGTTGGCGTCTGATCCTTGGTTTGCTGTGGATCTGCACATGACGAGCACGCAGGGAAGTAAGCCAGCATGTGAGGACAAGGCGCTGCCACCCTAAACAGGAAGCACAGAGGGTTCGATCGTCGCATACTTGGAGCGTTTCCGATCGAGCAATTCGGAAAATTCTTGCCAAAAGAAATCGCGGTCCAACCAGAGCTCAGTGACGGTCATTTCATTCTATTTTCAACAGTCAGCACAATCAGTTGGTTGCGACGGAGTCTAACCCGTCGACGCTGTGGCTCTGTCGGATTGCATGCAGCCTACCTTGGTCAGTGTGCCAGTCTTGTCGCTGCAAATGACAGTGGCGGCTCCCAGGGTCTCAACATAGTTGAGTTTCTTGACGAAGATGTTACGGCTAGCCAAGCGCTTGGTGGCGATGGTCAAGAGGGACGTCACAGTGGCGGGCAGACCCTGTGGTACGTTGGCCACGATGATGACAATGAAGCCAGAAACGAAGGTCGACAAGACGTCTGCGGCAAGGAACAGCAGGGGAGAGATGAACATTAAGAGAAGAGTGGTGGGCTTGTCCAGTCACAATGCTGTAGAGTTCGTACCATCGCCCTCCTTGCGGCCAAGGCCAATGGCGAAGAAGACCGTGGCCATTGCAATAGCAAGGTAGGCAATGAAGCGCACAAACAAGTTCACCTCCCGCTCGAGCGTGGTCAGGCCAGTCTCTGTGCGCGATGTGAGACCAGCGATACGGCCAATGAAGGTCTCATCACCAGTGGCCACAACCACTCCGACACCTAGTGCCCGAAGGTGATAACACAGTGAGAATGCATCGCCTGGCAATTGTGTGGAACGGCGCGCTGCCAGCTCAATCGAATGAATCAAGCCTTCGTTCCCATGTTTGTTGTTTGTTTGTTTGTTTTTTCGTCTGGGGGAGGGGGGGGTTCCAACGCTGCAAGACCTACCGCTGCCTTGCGTGACCAAGGTACCGTTGAAGGCAATGCAAGAGGCCTCTGTCACAATGGTGTCTGTTGGCTCGGCCTCTTCGGAACGTGAAACGGGCTCTGACTCGCCCGTCAAGGCAGCCTGCTCCACCTTGAGGTCTGACACCTCGAGCAGACGCAAGTCGGCGGGAATCTTTGGCAAAGGAGGGGGCGATAAAGCAGAGGCTAAGCACCCCAGGGGGAAGGAAAGGCTGGCAGGGCACGAGAAGACGGAGCAAGGTGGCCACGCGAAGCGGCTGGTGCAGGTAGTCTGACCTTGTCGCCCTCTGAGATGAGCACGATGTCTCCCACAACCAGGTCTGAGGTCGCTATGTTAGCTTCTTTGCCATCACGGATCACATTGCTCTTGGTCGGGATGAATGCCTGCTCAGGATGGGAAAACATGCAGGTGGACGCCGTGAGCAGCACGAAATGGTGTCTCGGAGCCAATCATGACCCTTATAGCCACACGGACCGTAAAAGCGTCCTGTAGCCGAGCGGTCTTGCGCTCCTGTAGGAAGGAGAGGAAGGTCTGCAGAAAAATGATCACAAACAACACAATTGCCACATAGAGGTTGTCTTGCAGGTCGGTGTCAATGGCGAAGGTAATGAGGCAAAGGAGGGCGGCTATGAGGAGGAGAATGTTGAAGAGGTTGTTGTACTAGAGTCGACAAGGGCCATTGCCACAAAGGAAAGTTTGCGAGAGTGCAACGGGGTACAAACATTCGTAAGAAGTGCGTGCTGACAGCATAGGGTGGGATGTTAAGGCTTCAAGAATGCGTGCGCAGTGATACAAGCAAACCTGGCGCCAGTAGAGCGTGCACATTGACACGCGCTTGGGTGGGGTGAGACGGTTGGGGCCATTTTGTTCGAGCAATTCCTTGGCTCGGGCAGTACTCAAGCCTGACAAGAGCCACAAAGATGAGCATGTTGGTCAAACACATATGCAATGATTCAAACGACCAAAGCTTTTGGAATAGATGCTCCAGGGGTGCAATGTGAGGCATACCTTTTGAGCCGCTTGGCTTATTGGGGGAGATGTTCGAATCCTTGAATTTGTTCGCCACCTCCTCGGAGCTCATGGTGTGCTCCTCAATGACGGAGTGCTGAGGTTTAGAGGGCATGACGAATGATGATTTGCCCACACGTGTTTGTGAGGTGGGCAGAGGGATGATGGAGTCAAGGAAGAAAAAGAAAAATGCCAGTCGCTCGATCAAATGATCGAAACTTGACAGTGCCAGCCGAACAGAAGCGAGACGGCGAGATTAGCCGGGGGTGGGAGGGAGTACAGACTCGTTAACCGACTTTACCTTGGCTTCATCTTCAATGGCTTCTTCCTTATCTTCATCCTTCTTACGCTTGCCTTTGCCTTTGCTGGCATGTCGTTTATCTTTGCTGGGGCTGTTCGGTTCAGGACTACTGCTCACCCCTTCATCATAGCTGGCCTGCGGGGGCGACAGATAGGAGAATGAGAAGAACGATCCCCACGGCTAACAGTGATGAACCCATGCACAATGTGTATGTGCATCATGAATGAGTCGGAAAGTTGTGTGTGTCATGTGGAAAGCTGATGGGATCAGCGCTGGTGTGGGGCATGAAGGGAGGGACAGCGATGGTCGCAGGAGTGGGCTACACGACAGCAGTGTTGATGCATCAGCATGGGGGGAAACCGAGCCATCCAACAAAAACGAACTGAAAGAATCAAGCCAAGTTGGAAAGGACAACACTGGTTGATAATGTAGCATCGAAAGCCGGGACGGCAAGGAGAGAGAAGCCACAAGGGAAGAAACAGGACATCTCTGATTCGCATTGAAAACACGGAATGTTGATGGACAAGGCAAAGAGTGGAAGTCATGCATCAGCTGCACCGACGAGTGCACAGGCGACAGCATGTCCGTGCCTCACGTCAGCGCTTGGAGCCTGTGTTGGTTGCGCGTGGGCTTTTCGGCCTACCTGGCTGGGGCTGGGGCTGGCACCCGTGCGCTTGGCGGGCGAGGAGATTTGACCGCTGATGATGTCAGCTGTGCTGCCGTTGGCATTGCTCACGTCGTCCAAATCAATCGGCTGTAGCCGCGAACCAGCATGTCCATCATCTTCGACCACGGGTTGAATATCCTGCACACCTGTACTCTCCTGACCCGGGCTCTGGACCGCCAAAGTCCGCGACATGGAGTCGACGGATGACTCTACCATAGATAGCAAAGCAGGTGTAATCATTGTTATGGAAGCAAAAAAATCATCATCATCTTTGCATGTCAGCACTTTTTTCTTCCTTTTTTTCCTTTTTTCTGCTCTGTGTGTGTGCTTGTGTGAGTGTGTGTGTGTGTGACTGTGAAGAATGGGTCGGTCACGCGCGGGCGAGGGGTGGGGGTGTTGCGGAGGTGCGGAATCTCGAGCGCGCAAGATACACATGCGCAGAAGAGGTGAGCCCATCACGATGAGGCGAGGGACTCAAGGCGTTGGAGCAACAAGGGGACAAATGCTGACTGGTTGAACACACGAGTTTCGCGATGCAGAATGGTTTGGAGTGCTTGTCCGGCAGCACATCCACTGTGCCACCAGTATCACCATGACTGATCCGACAGCACAGCACAAGACAGCCCGACACAACGCAGCGAGATACTAGGCTTGACTGAGCAGGTGGAGGAGGGCTCCCTTATTTTTCTGGCTGACGCTTTCGAAGCCAAAGGCAGCGAGACCTACCGTGGCCAGTGGCCAGCTTGTAGCTGGATGTGCGGTCGATGGGCGCATTGTCCGAAGCATCGAGCTGGTAGTCCATGGTGTTTGGTGGTATTGACGGTCAGTCGAAAAGGGACTGGGGCCACCACGGGCTGGTGGGAATGGGTGGCCGCACACGAGAATGGCAGGCCAAGCAAGTCCAGGCACAAAGAGAGGGAGGGCAAATCCGACTGACGCACGGGTCGAAGGGGCTCGCTAAAATACGAGTTGGTAAAACAGACGGTGCACTCAAGAACCCAGGAGGTTGAAGGATTCGTGTTGAGAATCTTGCAAGTGCCCTTGCTCAGTTGCTCAAGAGGCAGGGTCATCCACCCATGGTCACGACCAAGGGACCGCGTGGCATCCAAGAGCGAGCGAACCAAGCGATGCTGCGCTGCTTGGGGCGCAAGTGCACCGCAGTGGTCGTGCCTGCATCGGAAACCGCGCATTCCCACGACCGTACCAAGGACACAGGACTGGTCTTTTGAGTGGTGGTGCGCCCCCCCATGGGAGAACGATGTGTCCTAGAAGGTTGCATCTTGTCGTTGCTGCAACAAGCTCAGTCGTAGATGTGAAGGCAGGCAGTGAAGGTAACGACATTGTTACTTCAGAGAAGCGCTTGAGCATGTCACCCCTTGGGTGGGCTCAAAAGGTGTGCATCACTTGGTGCACAGACAACGCAGCACCGCAAGCAAGGGTTCCAAGGAGGAGTCATGGTCAATCATCATCATCTCACCACCAGTCCCTCACTTTTGCGTCATTCATCTTTCTCTCTTCTTTGGGCTCTGCGTCTGGAGCCATCGGGGGTGGTGTTCTCTGAGCATCATCAGTGGGTGAACAGGTGACGAAAGGCAGGACAACGAGATGCGCTGCCGTTGGTAGGGACTACACGCGACAGTAGTACTCAGTGGCCACTGCTTGACCAGCAAATTGGCGCAAGAAATCAACTCAAACGCTGTCCTTGCTCGACAACATCGCGCGACAGCCGTCTTTATATATCACCACCACCCCTCCTCCCCCCTCCCCCACCGCGATGCCATCCGGCCGCCACGCATGTACTGCCTGAACATTATGATAAGCTGGAGCCCTTTGTAAGTTGATGCTGAATGAGCTGACGACATCAGCCACTGGCTGGTGTGGACAGGATGACGAGAGCGGGGTGTGTGCGCGTGCAACCTCGTCATTCCTACGCCTCTGACTCGAGGCACAAGCCATGCGACCAACAAGGCACACCCACGGCGCGCGATGCGTCGTGCAGAGGACGTGGACACGCGTCACACACACATCTCCCAGCGCAAACGGCTGCAATGCCGGCTCCAGTTTACTGTAACCGCATTACTAGTACTACAGTATCCCTTCAATCCACTGCAATAAACTACATGTAGGGCGACATGGGCAACTCCCCTTGAAATTGTCATGCGATATGCAAACAATTACACGGTTTATATACTATTTTATCAAGCCTACACTTCGAGCATAGCAACTCAACACCTGTTAACCTTCGGGTTAATATGGGGGATATGGCGCAGTTGGAAGCGCGTTAGACTGAAGATCTAAAGGTCCCGCGTTCGATCCGCGGTGTTCCCAGTGCTTGGAACAATTTGAGGCACGGCTAGCTCCTCTCAATAACTTTTTTGCTTCACGTGTTTCCAAAGCAAACGCCTTCTGCTTTGGGTTTTTTTTTTTTTGTTCTGTTCCCATTTGCAAGCAAATGGTGGTGGGCTTTCTTGAACAGACGAGGGTGTTTGTCTTGGTCGGCGGCGGCGGGTTTGCTGTTGGGGCTAGTGGCTAGTGGCCCTGGCATGAGTGGCGATGGCGCACTAATCACATCGAGGGTCGGAGCGATGGGCAGGACGTGTACAGAGGCCAAGCTTGTTTGTCAAGACTGCTGCGGGGCCTTGTCTTCGGGCGCGATCTGATCCAGGCAGGGTCTTGAAGCGCCAGCAGCAACTGCTGACCAGCTGAAAAGCAACCAACCATGGAGCCGGACACAGCAATCAGCTGCTTTGCCAGCCAATTTGAGCCCCCATGCAAGCGTAGCAAGCCCGCCCGCAACCACCCCGGAACGGCCAGCACCAGCACGAGGCCGGACGCCAGCCCCATTACCCCAGTCGAGGGCCACCCTTTGCCCGCCATGTCTTGGACCCATCACCGTCTCGCCCCGCCTGCCGATGCCGATCATGGTGCTCCGACTGCAAAGCTGGCCAAGCGTATGGCGACCGCCGGCCCCGCCCCAGCCCCAAGGCTTTTGATGTCGCCCCGAGCCGCCCTTGCTTATCGCCACTGCCTTGCGGTGCATTGGCAACAGTATATGGCCCAGCGTGAACATCTCGACGAACTCTGAGCACGGCTGATCCGCACCTGCCCTTGCGCTCGCAGGTCGAGCGCCAATTGGTCGTTCTCTGCCCATCCAAAGCGACAGGCAGCAAGCATTGAATTGAATCGACACGCGAAAAGTGATTGCTCCATACACATCCCTCCTCTCCGCCAAAGCAACGCCAGCGCATCAATTCAGCCAACCCCTGACCCTGGCAGCTTGACTCAACCCCACGCTCGCGCGCCAGCCAGCGCGGACAAGCCCTGTCTGAATGAAGCCCCTCCGCTCCCTCTCTTTCTTTGACTTTGCTCTCCCTAATCTATACAACCAATTCATCCTCCTCATCTCATCTCTCTCTCTCTCTCTCACCTCTCTCACCTCTCTCTCATCTCTCTCAAATCTCTCCCACATCTCTTCTTTGCTCTTATATCCCTCTCATATCTCTCTCAAATCTCTCTCAAATCTCTCAAATCTCTCAAATCTCTCAAATCTCTCTTGTCGTCTCTCCTTTGAATGACACCACTGAATGAACAGTTTTTGTTGACTTGACGTCTTGATGTCCGGTTCCTCGGCTGCTGCTGCTGCTGCTACTGCTGCTGCTGCTGCTGCTGCTACTGCTGCTGGTGCTACTACTGCTACTGCTGCTACTGCTGGTGCAGGTGCTATCGTCTTGGCCCGTCTCCGTTCGTGACTACGCATCTCGAGCAGGCAGACCAGGCCCAACTCTTGGTGATTTTGGCTGTCTGTGCCCCCCCGCCCTCGTCCTTCGTCCTCGCCTCGATTGCTGGGGCAGAAGATTGAACCACCATGAGCGGGCGCTTGATCTAGGGAGCATTCGCATTTGCGGCTCGCCCACAGCACATGCGACAGAGCAAACCCGTCCTGATTTCTTTGGCAAGCTTGTGTCGCCCCGAACCCTTGCCATGGCAAACAGACCCCCACCCCCGCCCAAGCCACAGCGCGCGCGACCGAACCATCCGCCCGACGACGTGAACAACTCCCCCTCCCCAACCCCTCTATCCTCAAGCCCGAAGATTCACTTCCCTCCACCTCCCGTCTCCTCTGCCCCCGCCGCACCCAAACGACGTATGTCCTTGTCGTACCCGCCTCACTCTATTTGTTTGCCGACGAGTCATCACCCGAGTTTCCCACGTCCCGCGCCTCACCGCCTTTTGCTCTCACCCGTGCTCGCGATGGCATCATGGCAGCCGATCGCCCCTTGTCCGGGTTCCAACCATCACGTGCCCCACCCCGGCCCCCACCGCAGTCTAGCAAGCCCCGTCTCCATGCTGAGTCAAACACTACTGTTGAAGCCCCAGCTGTCCTTCCTCGCCCTCTCAGTACCCACGCCTACCCCGCCCCAAAACCCATTGCCCGCAACCCTCCGCCCCGCGCGCCACGTCCCCTCAGCGGTAGGTCGGTGGTATGATATCATCATCTGCAAACAATCGCCTGATGAGATGGTTATGCACATGCAAAGCTGGCGCTGCTTTGTCGACGTAACAAACTACCTTTGACTTGATCCCCATCACCGCATGCCGTCATGGCTACGCTCAGCTCTTCTTACCCCGGCGTGTCACCCTAACTCTACGTCATCATGTGCCACCGCCATCAACAGGCCTTCGACCAGTTCCCGCACAACGTCCGCCTCGCCCACCTCGCGCTCTCAGTGCTTTGGGCGAAGCAAATGAAGAGGAGGAGGAGGAGGAGGAGGAGGAGGAGGCAGAAGAAGAGCAGGAAGACCCTGTGATCAATCACAACCCCAAGGCCCAACTATCCGCTGAGAGTGGCCGCCCCAAGGCGCGCCCACGCCCCACTCCCGGCGCGCCCCGGCCAATCTCGGGCGTCACCAAGCCGACTCGCGTGAGCATCGCCGTTGTAGATCCGTCCCTCCTCACAAAACGCGTACACATCCCCACACATACACCCAGTCGGCACTTGGAAATGTGGGCTCCATGCATCGCCTCACCGCCGCATGGCCGGCCCACGCTTACGATGTCATAGCTGCCTCTCAAACCACCTCGAAAGCACGGACTACAGGCTAACATGGCGATCGTGGAAGAGGACGAAAGTGCCGAGGAGGCAAACCCTGAGAACGCCAACGGACATGCCCAGCTGCCTGGCCTGGAAGAGGCAGATGAGGAGGAGAAGTTTGACGAACACGGTCATGATGATGAGGGACGCCTGCCCCTGGGCCTAACTTCTGCTCAAAACGTGACTGCCAGTGAACTACGCGAACTGTACGACACGATTGTAGAAGAAGACGAAGACGATGAGGCCGACGAGGTCGATGGCACCGACGATGTGGTGACCAGCCTTGTGGCAGATGGCCGTGGCGGTCTCAAACTCTCTGCCAAGTATTACACGCATGGCCTTGGCTCCTCTATCTTTGTACTGCCCCCACCGCGCCCCCGGCTCACTCTGGTTTCGTAGCCCTAACCACGAGTCGGTGCCTTGGTCATAGGTTTTCCGCGCGTAGTACCCCAGACTACGCAGCCTTAGGGGATGGTCCGCCACTGCCACCTCCTAAACCCCCTAAACCGGCCCTCGGAGTTGTGTCCAGCCCACCCAATAGCTTCCGTGATTCCATTCATGACGCAGAAGGCATCTCCGCAGATCAGGAAGGCAGCGTCCTTTTTCGCCGCCGTGCCGACTCAAAGAAGCGTCTTCGACCCGTGCGTACCCTGCATCTCATGTCATCGATGAGATGAGCGAGCATACGAGAGACAGACAGACAGACAGAGAGAAAAGAGAGGGTGTGTGTGTGTGAGGGGGGGGGTGTCTGTGTCTGTGTTCATGCAAAGCATAACGGCCTTGGCTGCACCTGATGCCTTGCTTTCTATGCACAGTCGAGCACACTAGACATCAAAGATCTACAGTGGAGCCACACGGCTCAATTTGAGGTTGAGGACGTGGATGTTGAGGCTGCCGACTTTCGCCGCGCCATCGCAAAACTTGCCCAAGACCTACATGAACAACACCCCACGTACGCTGCGCATCGGAGTGGCACCTCGAGACTTGTCCCTCGTCGCTTCATCCGCCTTTCCTCTGTCCTGCTCTCGCCACAGCCGACCCAAGTACCTGACCATCTTGCCGGGTCCTGCCGAGCGCGTACCTTCCCATGAGCTCGCCCTGTGGACTGTTATTGACCCTGACAACCGACCCATGGAGCTGTCCTTCAACCCTACGGCTACCGTGCGTCCATGTCCCACCCCCCGCTTCCGCCAGCATTCAGTGTCCACCCTGCTTAGGGCCTTGAACCTGCTCCAACACAGGTGCGGGCCGCCATCGAGACGCTCTTGCGTGCGTGCGGTCGCCCCAAGGAAGACCCACAAGACTATCTGCTTCAAATCTGTGGTCGCAACGAATTTGCTGAAGTCGATTATGAATGTACCCTGCGTCAATGTGGCTTCTTGGAAGCAGACTCGACCCTCATGGGGGTTGCAGCCGCCCAAGCCAATCGTGTCTCGAGCTCAACCATGCCCTCCCTGGAAGAAGATCAAACCGCGCATCCGTCGCGTTTGCTCATGGCAGCCTTGGTGCCGAAAGCGTGCGTAATACAAACCACCCGTTCCCGATTTTCGTCGTTGCCTGGTCAATCAGCGACGGCAGCGGCAGAGCAAGGTTTGGGGCGTTGTTGTTTTTCCACAGTGCATGTGCTCATACGACCGCTTGTTTCAACATGGGGCATTCCGCAAGCAGGGGTCTGCGTCCTTTCTTAGCCAAGAGTCAGGGCAGCGATGGACTGGACCGACCAAAATTGTATGCTCGTGTCACCAGCGCCGTCAAGGTACATCAGTCTGTCCTTTTGCTCGCATTCATTGAATGCTTACCGACATGCCTCGTCCACGTTTGTGAGTCCAACACTTTGCCAAGTGCTGACACGATTCATGCTGGCTGGCTACCATTTAGCTCCCTTTGAACCGTACCGTGGTGGATGTGTTGCTTGAAGCCATTACCAGTACCTCGAACCAACTGCTCAGCTCCACAAGCGAGAGCTTGGCGGCCTTGACCGTGTTTGAGCAAGCCGTGAAATCTCTTTGCGCAGCCATTGCTCGCGTGGAGCCTCGCTCTGTACGGTTCAACTCCTCAACGATGTCCCCACCGCAATCTCACTCGTGTGCAAACGCTGATCACTCACCTTTGCCTCGTCACTCTCCTTCTTGATCCGCCACCTCTGCTTCTTCTGCTTTGTCTTGCTCCCTTCCTCACTCCCTCTCTCTCTCCTTCTCTCCCTCCCTCTCTCTCTTTCGCGTCCCAGCTTCGAACACAGCTGCAAAACTTGCGGGAGAGGGCAGTCAAAGTCAAGAATCGCCATGAATTGGATGCGGAGGTACATGCGGTCATGGAAGCATGTCGCCTGCTTGTGCTTCAGTATAGCCGCGCTACAAATACGGATCTCTTGCGTGCCCCGCCCGACCCCGACGCTGGAAAGACGACCGTTGAAGTGACCAATGTGGAAGAATGTCTGTGTATCACAGTTTCAGCCCTCCATCGTCTGCCTTTGTTATGGCAACAGCGCCATCATCATTTTCGAGCCGAGGTCTCCATATACTGCGGCGGAACCCTCCTGTCTCCATCCATCTCCATAGCGACCACAAAGTCCAACTCAACGCTGGACTTTGCCACGTGGTTTGAGACCATCTTCTTCACCGAGACCAGCACGCTAGAAATGAAGACCCCGCTGAAGCAACTGCCCAAAGAGTCCCGCATTGTCATTCAGCTTCTGGCTAGCACAGCTGATCGCATAATGACATGGGATCCTCTGGGCTGGGTCGCGCTACGCGTGTACGACCATCGCGGTCGCCTCAACAGCGGCTGGCACCTGCTGGGGCTGTGGCTTGAGCCCCAACCCAATCCCACGGGCACATGTGGCAACAACTTGTACGCACCAGACAGTCCTTCCATCATGGTCCGACTGGGTCCCGACGACCGCATCATTCGTTACGGCGATGTTCTCGACCCCGGCGTGCGCATTTCCCAGCTTCCACGACCCCCGTCCATGCTTCTCAAAAGCGCAACGCCATCAGAACCGGGCTCGCCGCCTGCTGCCCTTCACCCCCTCGAATCCATTGCCGAGACTGGTAGCGCTACAATCGACGCCAATCTGGGCGAAACAAGTAATGAAGCGCGTCGCCTTGCGAGCGATCCTCTGCCGCAGGTGCCTTCTTCACCTACGCATCCCACCTTCAAGAGCCGCAACAGCAGTCTTCAGAGCCTGGTGGCGCCCGATTCGGGTATTTTAGAGTGCAATCGCACTTGCATCGTCAAGCATGCCTATGCCGCGAGCCCAGAATCAGATGAACTTGTGCTAAGCCGCCATGACCGCATCCACGTCACGCGTGAGGCTGCCGACGGCTGGAGCTTTGGCACAGCAGAGAGCAGCGGTGCGCAAGGGTGGTTTCCCTCCAACTACGTGAAAGAGGTTGTGAACAAGCCCAAGCCACCCCGCCCACCATCGCTACCGAGCTCCGCCCTGACTTCGACTGCGGATCTACCAACGCCCGCCAGCACGCCCGCCTCTGCTACCCCGACGGCTGGTACTGACTCGACCGCGCTGCCGCCTCCCTCTGGTTCTTCTCAAGAAATCAGCTCGACCGAAGAGGGTGTGCCGCTGTTTGTGGCGCGCTTCGATTATGAGCCCCGGTTCGAGGACGAACTGGCCCTGCGTAGCGGCTTGCCGGTCCAAGTGCTAGAAAGCCCGGACGGGGGATGGTGGCGCGGCGAGTGCCAGGGTCAGACGGGCTGGTTCCCGTCCAACTACGTGGAACGAGTTCTGGTGAACGTCGCGGCCACAAGCGAAGGCCATGAAAGGCGCGATAGCCTGAGCAAAGGGCAGATTCTACAAACGCAGGAATCCGTTGGCTACGAGCAGTCCCTTGCCCAAGACGAGGGTGACGTGTTTGTGGCCATGCACGCCTTTCAGGCGCAGCATACTGATGAGTTATCTTTGACCCCGGGCGATGTCATCGTCGTGCTCCAGCAGCCAGATGGCGGTTGGTACGAGGGCGTCGTGGGAGACCGCCAAGGCTGGTTCCCGGCCAACTACGTCCGAGCAACGATCAAACCGCCCACAAGTGCTGGATCTGCCGGCATCAAGCCCAATGCTGTCGCGTTTAATGCGAGCAGCATGTTCAATCCCCTTCCCGGTCAGCTGACGCAGGGCTCGAGTCACAACTCTTTGGACGTACTTATCCAGCGCATCGTGCACCAGCCCCTTACTCCCGCGCAACGCGAGCCCATTTGGAAGGATCGCTACAACCTCTTGAAGCGCAACCCGCTGGCCCTGCCACTGATTCTAGATGCCATGCCCCTGCTCCGAGAGCCGAGCGTGGCTCGGGAAGTGTACCAACTTACACTCGAGTGGCACCCAACCTCGGACGAGTCTGCTCTGCAATTGCTGCAAGCCCGGTACGCCGAAGAGGCGATTCGCGCCGCGGCGGTGCATCACTTGGCCAACCTCTCCTATGACAAATTTCTGGCATATCTGCCGCAGATGGTGCAAGGGCTCAAGTATGAGCCCTATCTAGACAGTGCGCTATCGCGCCTTCTCTTTGACCGCGCTCTTTCCAACCCACGTCTTACAATCGCCTTCTACTGGCACCTCAAGGCAGACAGCGAGACGCAAGGCTATGGGCAGCGATTTGCCCTCATGTTGCAATGCCTGCTCGATTCTGTGTGCGATGAGGCCCGGGAAGATTTGCATGATCAGCAAGTCCTCATGGACGCGCTGTGCAACATCAATGAACACGTGCGTTCCTTCTCGGTGACGGAACGGCGCCTTGCGCTGCGTCGTCAGCTCGAGCAGCTTGCTCGCCGCTTACCGGCTCGCTTCCGTCTTCCAATTGATCCCAGCGTGGAGCTGAGTGGGCTGTTGCTCGATGAGTGTGGTGTCTTCAACAGCAACGCCGTGCCGTTGCGACTGTCCTTCCAGAACGCCGATCGACGTGGTGGCCCGCTTCGGGTCATCCTCAAGGAGGGTGATGATCTACGACAGGACGCTTTGGTAATGCAGCTCATACGACTCATGGACTCTCTTTGGAGACAGGTGGGGCTCAACCTGGAAATGATCACCTTCTCCATCATACCTACGGAGCGATTGGCTGGCTTGATTGAGCTAGTGCCCAACTCAAAGACGCTGCGCGAAATTCACACGCTGGCCGGGGTGACCGGCTCCTTTAATGACCGCATTCTCTACAACTGGCTGCGAGAGCACAACCCGTCTCCTGCAGCATGGAAACAGGCGCAAGCGCGCTTCACTGCCTCGTGTGCCGGCTATTGTGTAGCAACCTACATTCTAGGGGTATGCGATCGCCACAACGACAATTTGTTGGTCACGACAGACGGCCGCCTCTTTCACATCGACTTTGGTCGCTTCCTCAACAACGCGCAAAAGTTTGGGCCCATTTCACGAGATCGAGTTCCTTTTGTGCTGACCTCGGACATGGCTTTTGTAATCAATGGTGGCGAGAAAGCGACGAGCAACTTTCAGCGTTTTGTTGATGTCTGCTGCAAGGCCTACAATGCCATTCGCCACAATGCTCCGCTTCTAGTCAACGTGATGATGATGATGCTCAACGCTGGAATGCCTGAACTCACCGCGCAGGTACGGTGATGTGGGTGTTAAGCTGGATGCCAGGGTTCTAACAAGACTTAATCTGGAAGCTATCTACTTGTTGCGACTGTCCAAGATTCATTTTTCTGATTTTTCTCTGTTTTCGTTCCGACTCGTGCGCTCGTACCTTGCTGATCCCGCTGGCTTTGCGTGTTGCTCAGGCCGACTTGGGCCCGATGCTGGGAGCTCTCCGTGTCAACGAGAGTGACGAGAAGGCCATTGCCGCCTTCACTAAGGTTGGCACGGCACGCATCAGACGCTCGTCTCCCTCTCTTTTGAGCCTGTGCAGCATGTGCTTACCGTGAGCGTGTGATGTGTGATGTGTGTTAGATGATTCGCAACTCGTTGTCCAACAAGTTTACTAAGCTCAATTTTTTCCTTCATAACCTGGCCCAGCTCAAAGGCTCCACTTCGACCAAGGTCGAGGGTCCTGTTTTGAGCTTTATGTGCGTACACCAACCGCTGGCAAAGGGTTTTGTTCTCCAGGGCAATTGGCTGGTTGCGGCTGACCGGCTGGCTCAGAGACGTAGTTGCTCGTCTTTCTGACCTACAGTGGTTCTTGTTGTTGTGTTGTATATCACTGGGACGTCTGAAATGACTCAGTCCAGACGAGGTGGAACTTCCGAAGGAGCGCTTGCGCATTCGCCGGGCACACGTCTTTGACTTTCAAAAACGCCGAGATCTGGACAACAACAAGGTGCGTTTCGTCACTGGCGTAGTGGTACATCAGATTTCGCTAGGTCTACAGTTTGTCGCGCGGTTTGCGGCTCCCATTCCTGACACTTTTGCTTCTTGGGGTGTAGTATTATGTTTATTTCATTCAGGTCGAGCGCAACGACAGCACTGTCTATTTTGTTTTCCGTCGCTTTTCAGAGTTTGCTGAGCTGAATCACAAGCTTGTAGCCGTAGCAGATGTGAACCTGCCGACCTTTCCCTCGAAAATTTACATGGGTCGCTCGCACACCCGTGTGGTCACGGAGCGCCGGATGAAGGCATTGAATGACTATCTCGTTGCTCTACTTGCGCTGCCACGTACCGTCGTCGAGCATCCGATCGTCTACTCCTTCTTACATCATACCAAGCGAGATCGCCACGATGTTGTCATGCTCATGCAACCGGTACTGCCTTTGCAAGGGCGTAGTTGGGTCTCGCCACGATCGCATCCGCTCAATCTGACTCGTCGCCTGCCTCCTCCGTAGTCGCGACGTGCCTCAAAACCCTCGGCTGCGAACCTGAGCGAACCTGTGAGTCGCGCTGCGTCTACGCCGTCCATCGTCACTTCAGTCTTGGTTTAGTTTTGGTTTTGTTTTGGTTTTTTCTTCCTTCTCCCTCTCGCCCCTTTCTCTCTCTTTCTCTCTCTCTCTTTCTCTCTCTCTCTCTCTCTCTCTCTCTCTCTCTCTCTCTCTCTCTCTCTCTCTCTCTCTCTCTCTCTCTCTCTCTCTCTCTCTCTCTCTCTCTCTCTCTCTCTCTCTCTCTCTCTCTCGCACACTCTGCCTCACTATCTTTCCCTCTTCTCATTCGTGTATTCATGTTTTCTCCGCTGCAGTCTACGCATGGAGAGGTTAGCTTGACAATCAAGTATGATTTCAAGCAGGAATCCCTCAGCATCATGGTGCATCATGCACGCGGCTTGGCTCCGAGTCCCGGCGCCACCACGGCTGGTGCGTTCTTGACTCCGATGCTCGTTGTGTAGTATCACGCGCACAGCACACGTGTTCGTTTTCTCTGTTGGGTGGCGCAGACCCGTACGTCAAGACATATTTGTTGCCAGAGCGCAGCCGCGAGACGAAGCGAAAGACAAGCACGCAGCACGGCGAGTTGAATCCGACGTATAACGAACTGCTTGAATACCATTTGAGCCGGGAAGAGCTTCCCAACGCCGAATTGGAAGTAAGACTCCTGCTATGTGTGTGTTTCCTGTCGTCTTTTTCTTGTTCCTTTATTTTTTTTTTTTTTTTTTTTTTTTTTTTTTTTAAGCGTTTCATACGAACCGCATCTGAGTTGCGCTATTATCGAAGATCGCTGATGTTCTCGTTGCTTGCGCTTCACGCGATGCAGGTCGGCGTCTGGACCAGAAATGTTCGTGGACTCAAGGTTGTGCTCGGTTTGACCACCGTGCCCCTCGTACATGCGCTTCAGCATCAAGTACGTGCGCGTGTGACTGGTTGCCCGGGTTTCTGGCCTTTGTGTTCCTCAGCATCACCTGACTAGAGGGTCATGCTGAACTGATGCCCTTGCAGCCCGAGCCAGTCTGGTACCCGTTGGAGCAGCCGGAGGAGTCTCTGGCCTAGAATCGACCCTGTTGTTGCGATGCAGAAAATGGTTCGCTCTTGTGATGAGCGAGAAGTTTGATATGTAAATGTGCAGTTCCCTTTCTCATAGCCCACCCGATAATAGACTAAAATTACTCTTGCTCTTGCCTGTGTCCACAACCTCGTGCCGTGCTCGTGCCGTCGGCTCTAATATGCACGAGTGTAGACATGCTTTCAACCTGGAGATGCAATAATTGAAACCGCGCTTTCTGTGTTTCGACCGTTTGTTGTCGTGCTCTCTACTTACGTGCTTGTGGTGAGACCAAACGCTACCAGACTTTGCCGTTCAGATTCATCCGACGACGATGTGAGGTACTCAGATACAGAGGGCTCTTCAATTAAAGAAAGAAAACATAGCGGTATGCTAGATTTATGATTTTACCTAAGTCTAGCAGCTTACATTTTACTGGGGGTTTGCCGTGTCTTGGCGAGTACAACGCACAAGACCCAACGGGCATGAGGTAGCAAGAGCTGGGAGCCAGGCATTCGGCGAGGACACGCGAACGATACAAACAGCGCCGATGAGGCAGGCGGGCAGTCGCAAATTAGCAATCAAAGTTGCAAAAGGCGCTCATAAAAAAAAGCGCAAAATTATAGGAAAATTACAAAAAAATATCGCGAAATTGTCTCTGACTCACTCTCACTCTCTCTCTGTCACTCTGGTTGGTGTAATGCAACCCAAGGTTCGAAGGGAGCGAGACGGGCAGGGTTTGCCCAACGACCAAAACCGTACTCTGCGACGACTTGAATTTATCAACTCTTGAATGTATCAACTCGCAGTGGAAAGATAGCATCGAAAGATAATAAACAGCAGCAAAAGATGAACACCACCCAAGTACCCCATAGCCACTTGCCGGCTGACCTTGCCGTCGGTCAGCAACTGGATGCAGTTGACACAACCCTGCAGGACGTCACCTCCCTGAGCCACATGGCCAGCAGAACGGGTCGGTTTGACATCGGCACCGGGCATGTCTACTGCTACTGCGTCACCAGGTACCGCCTTGCTGGCAGGCCGCGTCAATCGCTGAATCTCCTTCAAAGCATCGTTCAATTGCCGCTGAAGCAGCTGCTGCTCACGCTCAGAAGTCTGTACCCGATGAGCTTGCTCAGTATTCATCTCTTCCAAGCGTTCCTTGTGGCGCTGTAATTGCAAAGTCTGCTGCGTGAGCTGCTCCACCTGTCGTAGGCTACGCTGTGCTTGCTTCTGTAGCTCAGCCACTTCATCAGCCGTCATCCCAGACTCAGTCTCAGGTTCCACCAGAGGAATGGCAGAAACGTCTGCCAAAGCCGGGTCTGCACGCTGACGAGGTTCATCATGGAGAGAGTCGCGGTCCAATGCAGCCAACTCGCGATACTTCTGCTGGACTGAGTCAAGTTCATGCTGCAAGGCTTGCAGACGGTCTTGCAGCGTCAGGGCATCAGCGCGGGCACTCTCGGCCTGAACGTCGCGCTCGCGCACCTCCTCTTCAAGCACGAAATTTCTACAAGCACCGGCGGCATAAGTGTCGATGAATGCAAACAAGCAAATGACCAAATCCAATGCAGACCGACCTTTCGTTTGCGGCCGCAAGCTCGCGCTCCAGTTCCGCCACCGCACTGGTCTGTGCAGCCTGAAGGTCTTGCAGTTGTAGACGCTCCACCTCGCCTCTTTGCGCCAACTCCTGCACGGCCTGCTCTCTAACTTCCTGTGCTTCTTGAAGCTGGAGCTGAAGCTCCCGTACCTGGGCCTGGACGTCCCTGCTCATCTCGGCATGGTCGCTAGGTTCAGTAGCCAGCACACTGGGGTGAGCGACACCACCCGACACGGGCTGGATAATGCAACAAAGCCAACCTGCGTAGCTGATCCAATTCTGAGCGGTGCTCCTCCTCAATCCGTCCCAGCTCCAGCTCATGCTCTGCTTCGAGCTGACGCACAAGGGAGGAATGGTTGGCGGCTGCGCCCTGCCTTGCTTCTTGCCAAGTCGCTTGCTAGGTGCAACGACAACAATCAATGAACACGCATACCCACAGATCACCTCGGCACAGCTATCACGGGTGAGTCACAAGCAAACGCAAACCTCATCTTGCAGGGCACGGATCTGTTGCTCAAGAGTCACTTTGTCCTTCTCCAATTGAGCCATCGCTTCACGAGCCATCGTCAATGCTCCTTCGTGCTCCTGACGATGAAAAACATATCAAAACAGAAAGGGAGGAACGCAAGAAAATGTGAGTACAAGCCATGCACCATGCAGCAACCGCGAGCAACCATGACCGAAAAATTAGACACCATTCTGGACGCACTTTCACGTCTGCAAGCGCTGCTTGTTCAGCGCTTTGAGAGTCCTGCAGTTGTGTCTGAAGATCATCTCGCTCTGCTTCAATCGCGCGCAGCGCATCCTGCAGACGGGCGGGACAATGTCAGGCTCACAAGCACACACAAGCGGCGTACCGACGGCAACGTAACTCAGACCACGCAATGAATCGAAAACTCACATAAAAGTCGGAGTTCATTTTCTTGACTTTGGCCGCATGCGTCTTTTGTGCCGTGGCTTGCTGCTGTTGCAGTTGCCGAATCTGCTCCACGAGTGCGGCGGATGTTTCATTGGCCGAATTCTCTCGTTGCTGCTGATGCTATGAAAAGGTTGCAAGTATTATCTGAAAACGTACGTTGGGCACTACATACCATGCCTTGACAGTAGCTCACCTCTGCAGTCACGGTATCCAGCTGTGCGCGCAGCTCAGCCTCAGCAGCATCGCGCGCACGCATCTTCTCCTCTAACCTGTAGTTCAGCAGAGTCCATGCCCGGATAGATGAGCGAGACGCGCGAGGCAACGTACAGAGCAGACCAAGACAGTCACGCTCGTCCAGTCTTGCTCCACCTACGTTCGGCGCGCCTGTCGCATCTCCTCATTGTGAGATTTTTGTGCAGCGTCCATGGCATCCGTCAGCTCATCCACTTCCTCCTGCAGCGACCTGATTTGCTCTTGCATGTCTTCTTCATTTTTAGCCCAGCCAGTGGCTTGCTGCTGAAGAGCAACTTGGGAAGCTTGTTCGGTTTTGAGTGCTGCGTGGGCATCTGCCAGCTCATCCCGTAGAGATCTCAAGTCCACCTCCAGCAGATCCCGCTCACGTCGTGCGCGCTGCAAGAGCTGCTGCGAGTGATTCATCTGCTCCATCGTCTCGAGAAGACGTGGCAGAGTAAGAGCGTCACTGGCCAGTCAGCTGCAGCGCTATTGCTGAGTGCTTGTTGAAGCAGTCGCTGCGAGCGATTGAGTTGGTCGTTGCTCTCCTGAACTCGTCCATCACTGCTCTGGGATACGGGGACCCGGTCAGCCGCAGCGCTATTGCTGAGTGCTTGTTGAAGCAGTCGCTGCGAGCGATTGAGTTGGTCGTTGCTCTCCTGAACTCGTTCATCACTGCTCTGGGATACGAGGACCCGGTCAGCCGCAGTGCTATTGCTGAGTGCTTGTTGAAGCAGTCGCTGTGAGCGATTGAGTTGGTCGTTGCTCTCCTGAACTCGTTCATCACTGCTCTGGGATACGGGGACCCGGTCAGCCGCAGTGCTATTGCTGAGTGCTTGTTGAAGCAGTCGCTGCGAGCGATTGAGTTGGTCGTTGCTCTCCTGAACTCGTTCATCGCTGCTCTGGGACGGTGGCAAGCGCGATTCCCCTTCTTGTAATTGGCATTGCAGCGACGCGCAAATTTGGCGTTGTTTGCCGAGGAGACGTTGCGTTTGATTGAACTGTTGAATCGTTTCAAGCAATCGGCGCATGGTTGGGCCTACTGTTGCGTTGGAATCAACCTGCTCATCAGCGCCCTGTTCTGCTTTTTCTGCTTGCAGAGCTTCAAGTTGTTGCTGAAGGTCTACGACTTGCTGTTCGAGTTGACTTGGGTGGTCTCGGCTGGCATCGAGGTCAGCGGCCAAAGTCGCCGAATCAGTTTGTTGTTGTTCTAGGCCCGTCAGCTTCTGTGACAAATCATCGCGCTCAGCACACGTAGCCGTATGCTGTGCTTCCAACTCCTGAAGCTGGGTTTGAAGCTGAACAGTTTTTTCCAAAGCTGTATCATGTTCAACCTTTAGCGCACCGTGCGCTTGTTCCAGGGTTTGAAAGCTAGCTGCAAGCTCTTCCAACTCTGCAGCGATCGTTTCGTGTCGAGCTTGCGCTTTGTTGCGCTCGCTGCGCGCCTTTTGAATATCGGCAAGCACATTGTCGTGTGATTCCTGCGCCTCACGAAGGAGCTCCTCAAGCTGTGTGACCTGTGCCTCCAACGCGGTATCAGGCGCCTGCTCGTCCCGGGCCTGAGTATCAGTAGAAGCCGCGTCATGCTGCGCTTGCTCAAGCTGCTCTTCCAATCGCCGGACCTCAAGCGTAAGGGACTCGATTTGAGTCGCATGGTGTTGAACTTTGGGTTCCACGGCTTCCAACACGCGATTGGCTAGAGCGGCACTCTGCGATTCAAAACACGAAGACAGACAAGATGAGGCAACAGCCATGCAAAGCTGGGTTACGAACAGTCGAAAGTTGGTGGGCTCTGCTGATGACACTAGCCCACCTCGCCGCGAGCAGTCCGCAGCGCGTGTCGCAGAGCGGAATCAAGGCTGAGAACCTTGCTATACTGGCGTAGGTCCTGGATGCGGTCAAGTTGATGCGTCGAACACAATGACATGTGTGAGTCAAGCGATTGAAGTCGGCAGGTGTGGGCAAAGACGTCTACAGCTGTGCAAGTCGCATACTCGCGCAGAAATGGTGAATGCGTCATCAGGAGTTGTTTCTGGCGGAGAGCGCGTTGATGGTTTATCAGCAAGCGAAGTACGGGCTCCTGGGATGGCGCGCGCCTGGGGCTGCTTTTCAAAGGTAGGCATCGGGAGTGAACAAAAACATGGTGGCACTAGCAGGAGGAAACGACAGGTTTGCAATGAGAAACTTTTGGCTTCACCAGGCACGCACCTGTGTATCAGCGTTGGCACGAGTGCTAGCAGGCACGGTGGAGGGTGCATGGCCCGCGAGCTGCTCCTAGAGCGGGCAGGGTAGAGTTAAGCAAAGGGTCTTAAAATGGAATACAGTCTTTGGGTCCGTGCAAGATTGTGCATGGGATACGGCCGTGGACGAACCTCGTCATTGTCCTGCTCTCGAGCCAGTGACTCGTCCAGCACCGATTCAAATTGAGTCTGTGGTCAAGAAAGAAAAAAATAAAAAAATAAAAAAAGCTCATGTCATCAGTCACCAGCATTTTGCGTGAGATGGCGTGTGCATCACCAATCCTAACCTGCAGCGAGGTAAAGGTCGAGTCCAAGCGCGAGCTAAGGTTGTTGAAGAAGGACATGATGTGGGGTCGCTTCACATCACCCCCCACTATCCGACCCGGTCGGCCTGATCTGCTCCTGCTCGCCAGCTGGCGATGCCTTCAATCGTTGCATTGAAAAAAAAACAGGCGATGAGTCGATGTGGTCCTGCCAGTCTCCTAAGCGATTCTTTAAACTACTACTGGTCATGGCAGACCCACTTACGACGCCAAGCAAGCCCTTGATCACACGAACTGATTCGCGCCGCCTCTTCACACCACCACCCTGAAAAAAAAAAAAAAAAAAAAGAGAGAGAGACAACGCGACACAGCAGTGAAAAATGCTGACAATACAATAGCGCGTGTTTTGAAAGCCTTGATATGTAAAACTATTCTTCATCGCTTTCGAGCATAGCAACTCAACACCTGTTAGCCTTCGGGTTAATAAGGGGGATATGGCGCAGTTGGAAGCGCGTTAGACTGAAGATCTAAAGGTCCCGCGTTCGATCCGCGGTGTTCCCAGTGCTTGGAACAATTTGAGGCACGGCTAGCTCCTCTCATCATTCTTTTTGATTTTTTTTTGCTGTATCTTTTTGCATGCTTTGTACGGTGGTCGATCGTAAGCCTCGTTTGTCATTTTCGTTTCCTCCTGCTCGACGATCAATTTTTTGTGACCGTACGTTCGCGTGAACGGTAACAACTCGGCGTGTACGTCACACCATGAAGGAAAACTTCAAGCTGAAGACACAAAAAGTCTGACATCATCGCTATTGGAATTAAACTAAACCATTTATATACATTATTTTCGGTCACGTTGTCGAGCATAGCAACTCAACACCTGTTAACCTTCGGGTTAATAAGGGGGATATGGCGCAGTTGGAAGCGCGTTAGACTGAAGATCTAAAGGTCCCGCGTTCGATCCGCGGTGTTCCCAGTGCTTGGAACAATTTGAGGCACGGCTAGCTCCTCTTAACTTTTTTTTGCCTTCTGCACTTCATGACCGTGTCGTGGTTTGACAGCAGAAGACAGGCAATCAAGAGCGAGCACGACAATCTTTCTGATGGTGTCTTAGTGCCACAGTGGTTTTTTTTTTTTTTTTTTTTTTTTTTTTTTTTTTTCAAGAGCACCTCCAGGACAGCGCCAATCTTCGTCAATGCATGCAACCTGTACTTTTTTTTTCCCACCCCCCTTTGTCAGCAAAATTTCAAACGTAGTAAATGTCAGCGCCATATATATGTAAATTTATCAGGTTGAAACTTCGAGCATAGCAACTCAACACCTGTTAGCCTTCGGGTTAATATGGGGGATATGGCGCAGTTGGAAGCGCGTTAGACTGAAGATCTAAAGGTCCCGCGTTCGATCCGCGGTGTTCCCAGTGCTTGGAACAATTTGAGGCACGGCTAGCTCCTCTTAACATTTTTTTTGTTTTTTTTTTGCGTTTTTCTTTTCTCGCTTGATGCGTTGAGGTCTGTATTTGTGCCAGCAGGGTGGACGGGTTCGCGACATGGGCGAGTCTTTTGAGTCGATTGGGATTGTCTGGTTGACCTTCAAGGGCACACACTATCTATCTATCTCGCTCACATTTTCTCTGGTCTATGCCACGTATGAGCGAGCACGCACGAGGCCTGTAGCAGGTGGCGTTCAACATGCGAGCGACTGCTTTGCAGGACTTGCTGTCGTTGAGGGTAAGGGCAAGGGGCTGGTGGGGCAAGGGGCTGGTGGGGCAAGGGGCTAGTAAACCTAAGAGCGTCTCTAGCTCTGGTGTCTGGATAATGTCAAACCATGCTTGGCACTGGTGCGGGTATGAACAGTCGGGCTGTGGGGCGCGCACTTGACGCAGCACGCATCAACAGGCTTCATTGCCGTTGAGGGAGGCTTCAGTATCCGAAGGCTCATCGCTGCAACTGCTGTGGGCGTCCTTGTGGTAGTGCGGGTGATGCAGGCGTCGAAACATGGTGGCAAAGTCGGTGAGTTGTGCGAGATCTTCGGTAGCAGCTGGTCCGTTGAGGACTTGCTGCAGGGCGCGAATGCGCGTGGCGTTCGCCCCTGTAAGCGCACCCACTACCCGGGCCTCGTGGCCCGTGGCGAGTAGTGCCATTACAGTGTGGGTGCGGCCTTTCTTGAGCCGCGGCTCTGTGCAGTAGCGATAGCTGGCCATGATGTATTCTCCGTGCAAGCTGGTCGGCGTGCTCCGCTTGAGCGTGAGCCCGACGCGAGGCGTGGCAAAGACCTGGACTTTGGCTCGCTTAGCCTTGCGCTCCGAGTCCTGCGAGCCGTGTTGGCAGCTCACCAACAAGAAGCCGTCATTGGAGCTTGTCACCGCGGAGGGTGGCGGCTTACGAAAGCGCCAGCCACAGTGGTGTCGGAGGTAAGTGGCAATGTCTGGCTCATCATAATCCCGCAGCAGCCGCTCAACCACAAGGCACGGGCCTTCAATGAAGTCTTTGCTGTCTGTCTGCTGCAGGCAGCGAATGATAAAACCGCCCTTGCGCTGGGCCTCAGCGCTGCCAAAGGTCAAGTCGAGTCCCTACGCCACCCAGAGCATGAGCAGGGCCGAGGCGATGACATGGGGTGGGGAAACCAAAGTTGACACGACGGAGTCACACGTGCTCGGGCGATGTTTTGAAAAGGGTGTGGATAAAATACCTTGTACGTGCCACCCTTGAACGTATCCTTTTGCCTGAGCAGCCCAGGTCAAGCGCAGATGGCAACAAGGCAGGTTGGTGAGGGTGCACTGCGGGTGGAAGCAAGGGGGACGAGGACAAAGTATGCCTGGCAATTTGGCGCCAACAAGCAATCGGATGGTGGGCCTGGCTCGTGCTGGCGGGCAGGGGTCAGATTGAACTTACTTGTGAAAGTACCAGCAACACGCGGTCAATTGGTCAGCTGCACCGTGGACAAAGGGGTCTTCATGATTAGGGCAGTGCAGGTAGGCCTCGACTTCAATAATGCGGTAGCGGCTGCGAATTGAGATGAAGGATGAGCAACAGGAGCTCGCCAGCAACAATCAAGGGAGGGCAGCGGGTACGTACGCGCGCTGGGTGACAATTTCACACTCGGTCAGCAAGCAGGTGGCTAGTTTGGTGAGCAAGGGTTCAAACTGCTCGCGTGATGTGGCAGCTTGCAACTCGGGCTCGCAAGCTGCCAGCAACTGTTGGAACGCAGACATTTCCAGGCCACCTCGGGCTTGACTGAGCGTTTCTCGAAGCATCCGAATTGTTCTCGATGGGCAACAGGGGATAGAGGGCGCCAAGTAACAAGCTGGTGTCAGAGATGGACAAGGGGGGGAGGGAGGGGGGGGTAGCTGTGAGCCAAAGCGAAGATGTCCTGGCCATGTGTTGAGAGGAAAAAAAAATGAAAGGTGGAGCCTCGGGTTTTAAAACTCCCAAGCATCATCCACGAGCACGGAAGTACCGAGTGTGGGCAAGTGTGGTGTGGGTGTGCCCATGGGCTGATTGGCGATGGCGCGTCCCACTAGCCCAGGGTATACATATTGACGTGTCAATGGAAAGCAAAGCCGGTCGATTCACCTCGTAGTTGGGACGGGGGATGGCACTCAGCAGTCAAGTAGTTGATGCGCAAAAATAAAAGGGGCAATCGGCGATGGCGCAAGCTAAGCAAAATGATCTTGGTAGGTAGAAGAAGGGGGTGGGATAGTGGGAGTAGGACGACCGTCCACTGCAGTGTGTAGGGATGAGCGATGCAGGCGATGTCCCGCGACGCGGTGGCTGTGTGCTCCGATGGTTTTCAGCTCTGCGTCAGTGGAGCGTGTGCTGTTGACATTGGACAATTGTTGCACCAATTGGTTTCTGGTCTTTGATCGATGAGGCGCGGAGGGAGGCAGAGGATGTGCAGAGGGAGGAGGCAGAGGATGTGCAGAGGGAGGAGGCAGAGGGAGAAGAGGGGAGGCGAGACGGAGACGCTAGAGCGGGAGAGAGGGATAGAGGGAGAGAGGGATAGAGGGAGAGAGGCTGGAGAGGCTGGAGAGGCTGGAGAGTAAGAGGGAGGTCGGCAAGAGGGAGCGCCACCCACACGGTTCCTACCCCACGAGCGGGTGGATGTCAAGGGGTCGCGCGTGTGTGGTTGATGTGTGCTTGAGTCTCACAGGAGGGACGGGCATATTGCGATTGCAGTAGGGGCGGCAGATGCGGTTGCGGTGTTGCAGGGGAAGCTGGTCCATCAAGGAGCGCGCGCGATGTCGCCTGAACGACCAGGCAGCTCGTCGTGCACGTGTGGTGTAAATGAGCTTGATGTGTGACGTCAATATAGGGGTATAGCTGGTGCGATAACGTTCATGTGTGAGCTGTGCACCGTGTGTGTGTGTGGGGATGACATCACGAGGACGGTTTTTTTTTGTACTTTTTTTTCCTTTGTTTCTTGATTCTGTATCGCGATTGCGATGTCGGCGATGGCTCGACGAGGCAGTCCGGGTCGGGGCCGAGGGGGGCACACCGGGAGGGGTGGGAAGGGCAACCGGGTGGGCGAGGAAGCGTGAACAAAAGGGGGACCACGGGGGTGAATAGGATCCCAAGGGACTGAAAAGCGCGATCGACCACTGCAGAGATTGAGCACGGTGATATCAAAGGCCCGCAACCAGCATGTGGTGCGCGGCAGAGAATGTACCGGCACGCGATAGATGCTTCAGAGAAGCAAGCATTTAACGAAAAATGCCATCAAGGGAAATACAGCTTAAATCAGAGATGGTGCAATGGGTGGTAAACAATCGAGAGGCTGTAATTTGCGTGCGCTCGGTGTTTGGAGTGGAATTGCGCATGGCATGGTTTTGTCCTGTTCTCTGTTTCTATGGGAGAGCGAGTAACGGACGGGAAGCGTCTTCAAGCCAACTGCCCCCGCTCCTAAAGCCATTTGAAACGCCGCTCGCATCAATACATCGGCAGTTGTAATTGTTGAGACTTTGTTGGCTGAAGACATGGTTGCAAATCAAACATCATCATCATCATCATCGCAGCGCCACCCTTGAGGTTTGGGTGATGAACTTTTGAATGACTGTCCTTGCATGAAATACGCCTTGCATGATTGCAGCACTCGGAGCAAGTTCCTTCCTCCAGTAGGATTCATTCGGAGGTACTCTGGTGCATGGGAGTTAGGAAATGGCAAAAACGGAGCGAAAGCTGGCAAGTGGCAAGGAGGACAGGGAGAGGAGCTTTTCTGAATCCAAAGTTTGGCTTTATCCAGCCAGGTTGATGTTCATATCTCAATTAAAAACCCCCGAAAGGAAGAAAGTCGTCGCTGAGAGGTCCAGAAAAGCGGCAAAGATGGGACAAGGCAACCGAAAGCAAGCAAGAAAAAAACAAAACAAAAACTATAAAGTGCGCACGTTCACAAACAGCCATTCTCTTTGCAGCAAGCAGCAATTGCTGCCCGCATTGACAGTGCCCAGCGCACGAGGTAAAGGACCATGGCTATTCGGCCGACACCCAGAGCGAGTCCCGAGCTTGCCAAGCCGCTGACCACTGGTCAACCATTCAACCCCACCCAGCTTTTCAAAGATTAAGTCACCATCAATAGAAAGAAAGTAAAAGAAACTCCGACGCAGGCTAGACAGAGCACCCCATACAAGCAACAAACATGAACAAAACCAAAAGATACACATCCGCTCACATATCGGGGTAACTTGCAATCCAGCTCGCATTAGGTCCAAAGCATTAGCTATCTAACTCCGCTTGCTGCGGAAGCCGAACAAACCCTTGCGCTTGGACTCCTTTCCATTGGTCGCCGCGCTTGCTGGCTCTTCGTCCTTGGCCTCAACCAGCGCCTGCGCCTCGGCCTCAATACCCATGTCCAGAGCCTGCACAAAGTTGCTCGGAACCAAGCCCTTTTTCTTGCTCGCAGTGTGCTCGCACATAATGAAACCATCCTCATCCATCGGGCTCAATACACGCAACACATCCAGCGCATGGAAGGCCAGCTCCGTTTCCTGCGCAGCAGACACAACCAGCAGAATCAGTTTTCGTGCAAACCAAGAAGGGCCCGCCAAGGCCAAGAGAACAAAAGACTTGTGCGATTAGAGTGTCTCAAACGCGGAGCGAAGCCAAGTACGTACCGTGTCATCATTGGGCGACAGCTCGCTGGGGTTATAGTCGTACATGGCGCTGACCATATCACCAGGCAAAAAGTCACCCTCGTCCTCCATCTCGGAACGTCCATCTGACATGGCATCACCATCTACGCCACCGCTGGCGGCATCATCCACGGGCTCCACATAGTTTGATGGAATCAACCCAGCTTGTCCTGACAAGGACTCGGCTTGGAAAAACCCGTCTTCACCAACATCGCCAATGACAATGACTTCTTGGCCTTGAACCAGCGTCAGTTCCTCACCAAAATCATCATTGGGCGAGTCTTGTTCTGGGTTATAATCATACAACACAAGGAAGCGACGACGCTCATTGCTCTCTGGGTGGGAAATGATGCGAGTCTCGCTTTCCGGCGTGGGCTCTTGACCCTGCTCCTGGCCCTGGTCGGAGTCTGCAACGGCAGGGGCCGTCACGACAAACGGAGCGGGTAGACTGGCCTTTTCGTCATCAAATCCAACCGAGGTCAGCATGACGGTAAACTCCATGTTGGGATCTCGCTCAATCGTGTAGGAGGTCGCCCCGGCAGGGTCTAAGATATCTGCCTCCAACTTGCCGTCAACATACAACTCGATCCGGTCCACAAGTCCCACGTTCTAGAGTCAGGTGCGAGACCGGAGGAAAAGCAAAACAAAAAAAGCAAAAACATTAATCTGGTAGGACTTCGTCACAACAAGACAGAAACAAACACTCCCCACTGACTGAAAAACAGAGAAGCGAGAGTTGGCTGAGCCTTGGCCAACAGTTTCATCAACATGCATCCTCACCTCGGGACAGGTCCAGGCCACTGTAACAGATGATGTACCAACTTCTGCAACGTGGACAGCAGTCGGCGGGCTCAGGGGGCCACCAGCTTCCACCACACCACTGCCCAACAGCATGCGCGCAGACTTCTCGCTGATACGTTCCATGAAATTGCTCGGCATATAACCGCGCTGGCCCTTGGAGTTCTCTCCAAATGCAAAGCCGTCGTCATCAACGCTAAAGACCTTGACCACTTCGCCCGCGGTGATGGGAATCTCGTCAGTGGGGTCATCGTTGGGCGATGCATCAGGCCCATAGTCGTACAGTACCTGCCAGTACGTGACACGCTGTTCATTCAGGTTGATAGGATCAGCCGTGGATGACACAGGTTCATCACTGGTGCCGGCATCGGCAACCTGAGTTTCGCTTACGCTACCAGGCACACGATGGCCTGCCTGACGGGCAGCATCAACTTCGGCAGGGTTCATTGGTTGCAAGAAATTGGAAGGAATAACCCCCTGGCGACCCTGGCTGTCCATACCCGTGGCATAACCGTCTTCATCGATCGCAAAGACTTGGACGATGTCACCCTTTCGGAGAGGTAGCTCGTCGCTCACGTCATCATTGGGTGACATCTCCTGTGGGTCATAATCGTACAACACTTGGAAATAATCACCCTCGCTTTCTTCCGTCGTCGCCCCTGCCTCGGGCTCCTCTACCTGCTCGGGCTCCTCGACCTGCTCGGGCTCCTCGACCTGCTTGGGTTCCTCGACCTGCTCGGGCTCTTTGACCTGCTCGGGCTCCTCGACCTGCTCGGGCTCTGCGACATGCTCAGGTTCTTCGTGTTCGGCTTGCTCAACATATTCGGGCCCCTCGGCTTGCTTGTGTTCGTCAGTTGATACAGGCTCCAAAAAGTTGGATGGCATAGAACCACGCTCACCACGAGCATTTTCGCCATGCGCAAAACCATCTCCGTCAACGTAAAAAACCTTGACTTCCTCGCCCTCGCGCAAGGTAAGTTCGTCCGAGACATCGTCGTTCGGAGACATCTCCGTAGGAATATAGTCATACAGGACACGATACACCCGAGCATCAGCATCAGCAGCTTGAGGCACCACACTGTCAGTGGCGGTATCCTCAAGGGCTTCGAGAAAGTTTGAAGGCATGTGACCACGGCGACCAGTCGCATTCTCGCCAAATGCAAAGCCGTCGTCGTCCACGTAAAAGACTTTGACTTCCTCACCCTCGCGGAGCGGTAGTTCCTCATCTACGTCATCATTGGGCGACATGGTCTCTGGATCGTAATCATACAGCGCTCGGTGCAAGACAAAGTCGTTCTCATCCAAGCCAACAGCCTCGGCCTCGGCCTTCTCTTGGCCCTCAGCCACTTTCTCAGCAATTGCACCATCAGTAGCGGTATCCTCAAGGGCTTCGAGAAAGTTTGAGGGCATGTGGCCACGACGACCAGTCGCATTCTCGCCAAACGCAAAGCCGTCGTCGTCCACATAAAAGACCTTGACTTCCTCACCTTCGCGGAGAGGCAGTTCCTCCTCTACATCATCATTGGGCGACATGGTCTCTGGATCGTAATCATACAGCGCTCGGTGCAAGACAAAGTCGTTCTCATCCAAGCCAAGAGCTTCAGCCTCGGTCTCGGCCTTGCGAGCGGCCTCGGCTTCCTCTTCGGCCTTGCGAGCGGCCTCGGCCTCGGCTTCCTCCTGGGCCTTGCGAGCGGCCTCAGCTTCGGCTTCCTCTTCGGCCTTGCGAGCGGCCTCGGCCTCGGCTTCCTCTTCGGCCTTGCGAGCGGCCTCGGCCTCGGCTTCCTCTTCGGCCTTGCGAGCGGCCTCGGCTTCGGCTTCCTCTTCAGCCTTGCGAGCGGCCTCGGCCTCGGCTTCCTCTTCGGCCTTGCGAGCGGCCTTGCGAGCGGCCTCGGCTTTCTCCTGGGCCTTGCGAGCTTCAGCGTCTTGTTTCGCTTGTTGCCGCTTCACCTTGCGTTCCTGAGCCGCTGCCACAGCATGCGAGGCAGCCGGCTGAGACGACGTGCTTTCCTCCACTGTCGGCGGAGGCGCAGTGGCAGATTCGAAGGTGCTTTCGTTTTGGGACGAGGGTTGTTGAGACTGCGCATCCTCAAGTTGAGCCTGCAAACGGGCAAGCTGATCACGAAGGTCATCATTCTCCTCTGCCAGGGCTGAGTTGGTGAGCTGCAAGGCTGAGGCTTGGTCTTGGAGCGCAGCTTGGTCATCAGCGCCATGCCGCGCCTTCTTCAGATCAGTCAAAGCAGCGCGTAGCTTCTCCTGCGTCTGTTCCAGCTCAGCCTGATTGGCCGTGAGCTGTGCCTGCAAATCGCTTGCAGCTTGATTGAGACTTGTCTCTTTAGCCTTCAAGCTTTCCATGAGAGCTGCCTGGGCCTGCAGCTGCTCTTGCAGGGCACTTTCACTCTTGGCAGCACCCGATTGCATCTGTTTTCGCTGCTTCTCAGCATCCTTGTATTGCTGCTCCAACGCCTTGACCTGCGCAGTAAGCGCTCTGTTATCAGCAGTCAGCTTCTCTGCCTTTGGCCCGAGCACATCGGCCTTTTTCTCAGCAGCAGCCAGGTCCCTCTTGAGCTGAGCGTTTTCCTTATTCAATGCGGCATTGCGCGACGCCAGCTCCTTTTTAGCGCGTTCTTGGCTGCTCAAGTCGGCCTCCAGTTTGGCCTGTTTCTTTTCTGCAGCCTTGGCTTGCTTGTCACCAGCGGCAGGGCTGGCCGGCACTTGCTTACGCAGCTCGTCCAGCTGTGCTTTGAGGCCATTGACCTGTTGCACAAGCTCCTTATTTCTGGCCTTGAGAGCCTGGGGGGTCTCACGCGGACTGGCGGTGGCAGCATGTGGCTCCCTAGCCTTGGAGCGAGGAGTACGAGGGCTTGCGCTAGCAGCAGCGCCAGAAGTCGAGCTGGGTTGTTTCACAGCACGGGCCAACTCTTGCTGGAGGCGAAGTTGTTCGGCACTGTGTTGCTTCACTTGTGCTTTGAGACGGCGATTCTCTGCGCGCACCTTCTCCTTATCCTCCTTGAGCTGCTGCACCTGCTGTTGCAAGGGCTGGCCGGCAGCATCTGAGCCTTTGCGTTCCAGAGCGGCTACACGTCCGCGCAACTTGCGACGATCAGCTTCCAGCTTGGCCTGCGCTTCTTGAGCGGCCTGCAGCTGTGCAGCTTGTTCCTTGAGGCGGGCAGTGAGACGAGCCACTTCACCACGCGGAGCTGCAGAATCACCGGCGGCAGCTGACGAGGGCCGCTGCTGTTTGGCCCGGAGACCCCGGACCGAGGCCTCTGCCTTGTCGGCCACAGCCCTGACACGAGCAAGCTCGGTCTCGAGAGTACTGATACGGGCCTTGTGTTTGGCATTGGCCATTTGAGCATCTCGGGTGGAGGCCTTTTCACGCTTTAATGCGCCTTGTGCTAATTTGAGGCGACGGTCAAGCTCACTGACACGTGGGTCCGTACTTGAGGCCTCTGCTGCTACATTGGCCTCGGCCAGACGGGCTTCAAGCGCATAGATCTTGTCCTTGAGTTCTTCGATCTCATTCTTTTGCGCGTTGGTACGGGATTGCAGTCGGCGTACGGCGGGTGAGCTGGCATCACCATTGATCGACTCCTCGGGTGCACCACCGGAGAAAGCGGGATCATAAGTTCCTATGCCCTTGATGGGTTTGCGAGGAGCACGGCGCTCTAGACTCTTGGCTGCCTTGAAGCGCTTGTTTTCAGCGTCGAGCTCAGCTTTGTCAGCACTGACAATGTCAAATTGGCGCTTCTGGCGGCTCAGCTCCTCGGTAAGGCGCTGGATCTCGCGATCTTTGCTGCGCAGCTCTGCACTTTCCTGCTTCAGGGAGACGTTGTTGGCACGCTGCATTCGGTTAAAGCTTTCGTCGTGATCGCGAGCCAGGTGGCGAATTTGCTCAGCCTTGTCTGAGTTGGCTTCAGCCATTTGCTCATACAAATGTTGGTACTAGCAAGATGGGTCCGCAAAGACGCAGGAATAAGAGAGATGGGGAGAAAAATGAAACAGGGAAGATGAATCCGGGCCAGCAAGAGTTGGTGATGGCCCTAACCTTGTGAGCTTTTTGCTCGGCCTCATAGAGCTTGGCTTCCAAGTGTTGCAGTTCAGCCATGGTCTTGCCCTCTACCTCCTACGTGGTGAGCAAAGAGCACGGGAGAAAGGGTGAGGTCAGCTGTAGAACGGTAGGGCGAGCAAAGCGTTTCGGGGTTCCGAGCTGGGGTTGGGAGATTGGGCAACGTCGGTCGTACCAAGGTGGTCTCGGCTTTGACTTCGGAGCGAAGAAAGTTTTCATGTTCAAGTTGCTCTTGGTGGAGCTGCTTGCGATGAGACAGAAACTCTTCATCGCGTTGGCGAGCATAAGAATCGTGCGCACGCTGTTGTTCACGAAGCAGCTGCTCTTTGAGACGTTGAATTTCGCGAGCTTGCGATTCGAGCATCTTCTGGCGTTGAACGTCTAGTTCAGAGTTTTTCTCAGACTATGACGACAGGGGGTTCCTCGTGAGCATTGGCTGCCCAAATTCTGGGAAGAGGGTGTCGGATAACAAACAAGCTAAGCCAGTGTTGCGACAGGGTGTGTGTGTGTGTGTGTGTGTGTGTGTGATGGTACCTGGGCTTGTTCGCGGGTTTGCCGAATGGCGTTGATGCGTTGATAGTGGGCTTGCTTGGATGCATTGCGCTCGGTTGCCAGCTGCTTGCGAAGCTATGTACGGCGCAACAGGGCAATTGCACAAGAGCATGAGGTGTTCGAAGCCAAGGAGTTGGTTAGATCTGAACGACAGAGCAATTCAGCCAGACAGGGCAAATGCAGGGAAGTGGGTGGTGTATGTGCGCGCGCGCGCGCGCGTGTGTGTGTATGGGGGGGGGGGGGGGGGGAAAAAAATGTGGGAAAAGGAACGTAAGGGAAAACGGGGGCAAACGCCGAATTGAAAT